AGTAGAATTGAAAAGCATCTTGGTCTTGTGAATTATGAGGGAACTTGATTGCTGTACCATTCATTTCAAGCCTGTTTTGTAATAGCAATTCATGCAGGAGTTTATATCTAAAATATGATTTGTGATCTTGTCTTTGAAAATCTATAAGAAAAATCGTATAACTAATCTTAACAATTCAGATTGAATAGTATTTGTAGTGATTTTTTAAAAAATAGTGTCAGGGTAGCCTTGGTCACTAGCTCTGTGCATGAAGTGGTCATAGACTTAACTTTAGACATTGAGTGATACCTGTAGGGTCTCAGTGGTCAGTCACCAGGACCAGTACATACCGCCGTCAGCCAGATGTGCAAGAGGGGTGTTGTAGATCTTTCTCTCTTTTTTTAATGTTTTACACTAAAAATCAGTTGACCTCTGTATTTTTCCATCATAACTTAAACCTAAAGCAGTGGCTCATACATAGTATGTGCTTAGTAAATGTTTATGAAAAATATGAATAAATGAGCATAAATTCAAATTCTTCATTCAATTGATGTTATTTTTGGAGCTTGTTAATCTTGAGATGTTTTCTTATTTCTTTGTCCTTATCTGGATTTAGCAGTGCTTTCTAGCTATAATTTTTTTTTTTAGAAAACCAATATGTTCACAGTAAATTTCAATACTAATATTTAATTAATATATGATACCATATAATAGTAATAAAACAAAGCCCATATTTTCCATAATGAACTGAAGAAGAATAACCTGAAAATATTTTTAGGAAGGTGTTTTCAGAGGAAGTTTAGGAATAAAGGGGATCTTGCTTAAATGCGTTAAGGAATTTTGGCGTACAGATAATCTCTTGTGGGACAGAAGTGCTGGGTGAAGGAGAGCATTGGATGCATGCAACACGCACCATCTGTGGCCAACTGTTAGTGCCCAGTTTTCTCACGGTGTCTGGGCACCAGGAAGCTAATAGCCCTGGGGTACACTGATACAGGTGAGAGAAGCTGCCAGTGGAAAGCTTTGTGCCAAAGGTGTATGCCAGGGGCTACCAGATACAGGAGTAATCTCTTCAAATGGAAAATTTGATACATCTTTCTTCTCTTCACTGCCTCCCCCCCTAAGGTCTGATACCACAGGGGTTTGTACCCTTTCTGTTTCTCCCTCTTTCCCCTAGTCATTTTCCTGTTAGACAGCAACTCCCTGAGGCCAGACATCATTCTCTTTGTTCACTGTTCGCTTCTGAGCACCTAGTTATATGTGACACACAGTAGGTACTCAGAGAAACAGAAATAATAAAGGTGTAAGCAGGCCTAGGAGTTTCTGCTTGTTCTGCTTAATGCTTCTTTCTTTCTTTCTTTTTCTTTTTTTAGTTATTTGGTTCTTTCAGCCCAACATCAAAATTCTTCTAGCTTCTGCTTAATGTGTAATGTCTAGCTAAGAAAGCACAAGGCATTGCTATACCTCATAACTTGACTCCTAGGGGTCATTTTGAAGGTACTGGTGCTATGCAGACGGTGGCTCACATTTTGTAGAATGAATCTGTCTGCCTTGCACACGGCACATGGACACTGTTGGACTCATCACTAGTCCAGAGGAAGATGAATGTGGGTGTGCTTGTGTTTATGACTCCTAACTTCTAGTAAGTTGTTTCCGAGGTAGGTGAAGGCCCCTGGGAAAGGCCAGGAGTGCCTTCTGTAGCTTCCTCAGCGCCTCTGTAGATTGCTTCTAGTGGTTCCTGGCATGCTTACTTAGCAAATACAGCTGAGACTTGGGGCGCAGCTGAGTGGAGCGCATTTGCCAACCCAGTGTGAGGCCCTGGGCTTGATCCCAGCACGAGCTATATAAATACATAGTTTTCAGTTAATGATGGTGTTTTCCCCAGTGACTTTGGGAATGTTGACAACTTTAAACTCCCACAATGAATGCCAGCAAAGCTCACTGACTTCTTTGCTCAGTATTCCTGCAGCCAGACTTCCTTTTAGTTTCCATGAGTTTAAGGCATCTCTTGGGGTAATGCTGGGAATTGGAGCTGCCCTTTAATGGATCACTTTATAGAGTCTTTTGTTGGCTTATTTATTTGATTTTTTTGAGAAAGGTCTCAATATGTAGTCTAGGCTGGATTTGAGCTTGTGGTGATTGTCCTGCCTCAGCCTCGGAGTGCTGAGATTGTAGCTGTGAGCCACCTTGCCTGGTTTACAATGCCTTGAGGTACTCTGGCAAATGTGAACATTCTTAGTAAGAATGAGGGTTGACAGGAAGGGTTTCCTGGAAGATTTTCTTTTTTATAACTCTTTATTTATTTACCGTGTGTGTATGTTTGTGAGTGTATCCACATAAATGTGCCATGGCCTGCATGTGGAGGTCAGAGGACGATTTTCGGAACTCAGGTCTCACATTCTTCCACAATGTGGGTTCTGGGAGTTGAACTCTGATTGTCACCTTTGGTAGCCGTCAACTTTACTTACTGAACCATCTCACCAGCCCTGACAGATTTTCTGAGAATCGCTTCACTACAGATTTAGGGCCGTGATGAAAGAAGCAGAGTTAGATATGTGCCTTGAACTTTGCAGTCTTCACTGAAGAGTTTCAGAACATGGTTTAAATTGAGAAAGCGATTTGAATAGTTCAGTTTACCATTCTATTTTTGGATTGGTGCTTTGCTGTGTGATTTTGATGTTTTCAGAACTTTTTAAAGGATAATTATTCCTAAATGATCACCACTGTCCATTTCTTTATGTGTATAGAAGACTGCTTTCAAATTATTAGTGGTTTTAATGAGAGGATATGGGGGGGCAGGAGAGGTGTGACGAGGGTCTGTTAGAGTGGCGATCTCAGTTTTATGTCACTTAATCCCCACAGCAATTCTGTAAGGTAAGTGATACTATCCCACCACTGAGATAAGGGTAAGGATAAGATCGGGGAGGCAACTGGCTTAGAGCAGTCCGTGGTGGAGCAGAGTTTCAAGCCTTGGTTTTAGGAGAATCCAACTCTTTCTAGTCTGTCATCTGTTTCCTCTCCCGGGTGGTGTGAGCAGTTCATTCATGCGCGGGTGACTGTCAAGTTGTGTATATCGTACTAGGCCTTAGAGCAAGCAGTAAATAAATGGTCTATGCCCTGATGGAATTACAGTGGCCCAATGAGATGGATGTTTTAGCAGGATTAGTGCTAGTCTGAAGATTGGCAAGAGTAGAAGCAGGTAACCTCTGTAAGAGTAACTGCAGAAACCTCTGTGAAGGCAGTGTTAGTTTGGACTGTCAGAGGAGATGCAGGCGAGTGGGAGGATATGGGATGTTTGTGGCAGGGAGAGTTGGTAAAGTTAAGGGGTGATGAGAATTTGGAAGGAGTTGGAAGAATTGAGAATGACTCCAGGTGTGATTTGGATTGAGTGGTGTTACCTTTACTAATGCAGGGAAGAGCAAGGCGGGATCCAGACCAGAATATCTGTTAGTTGTGTTATGTTCCAGTAGGCAGGCAAACATCTGGGAATTCCATGGGAATCTGGGATGATGAGAGAAGTTTGAGTATTGCTCACATACAGATGGTATATGATGTCATGGGAGTGGCTTCAGTTGTCTAGGGAAAGCAGACATGCATATAAGGCAGTAGAAGCCTAAAGCAGAGTTACCAATTTACCTTCTGTGGAGAATCTTTGTTTCATTTGTTAACTTAGAATTACATGTAAATGTAGAAGCCCTTCCTACATAGAGAAGGTAGCTCATTCTATAGCCAGTGCATAGGAAAGGTTAACCACCAAGCACACTGCAAGATGCCAACACCTGAGCAGCTTTCAACTGGACAATGTGTCTCTCTCTGTGTGACTCTTGTGAGGGACTACATCTCAGAGTCCACATGGGATCTTTGATGGAGCTCCCAGGCACACAAAAACAAACAGTATGTTACATAAATCGCCTGTTCTTTAAGTATAGGTGAATAGTGAAAGAATTAGGTTCCCATTGAGATACTGAAAGTAGAACATCTAGGTTCAACTTGCTGGCAGATTGAATCACACATTAGTCTTATAATATTGAAGCTCCTCAAAACAAAGCATTTTGGGTAGCTTGTGCCCTTTGGGTTACTTAGTAGGCATAATTATAAATGTTAACATCACAGAATACCAAGAGTGAAAGCCTCATGGGAACAGTTGAAAATGGGATGTCTTTAGTGGGCACTACCTAGAAACCATTCAAATATAAGATAACTGGTAAACAGTGCAATGCTCAGTAGACCCACACAGCACTTTGGTTGACTGTGCTGAATATAGAAATGCTTTTTAAATGAAGGAAGCCAGACACAAAAGAATGCAGACCATATGATCTCATTTATATGAAGTTCAAGAACAGGCAAAAACTGAGGACATCGGAGATGATGCCTGAGCACAGGGAGGCGTGGGAACTGTAGGGGGACAGAGATGCTCTGTGAACCGAGGAGGGTGCTTCTAGATGGTGCATTCATCTGTCCAAACTCATTAACTTACATACTTAGATTTGTTCACCTCACTGTGAGTTTTAAATAAGCAGCAAAGTAAGAAAATGAAAACATATGCTGAGCAGTTGTGTGGGAATGAGACTGGGGAGTACATGCCTGCTGTCTCAGACTCGGGAACCCACAGGAAGCCTCCCCCACAACCCTTCAGGTCCAGAATGAGTTCTTTTTACACCGTGTTAACTTTGTACCATAGATATCTATTCCTACAAGAGTACTGAGCAACTCCACATTCCTTGAGGTGGTATTCTAAATTACCTTCAGATTACAGGTGAAAACTGAGCATTTCCATTTCTGAATGTGCTCTGGTATACTCACAGCTGAAGGAGGGAGGTTACAGGACTTACCTGAGGGTGGAGCAGCCTCTGCCTTCCTTATCTAAGGTGGGCAAGAGGGCAAGAGGTAGCAGGATGGGGGAGGGGAGGGGTAGCCGGTGTTTTTATGACTTGAGATTTACATGTGCATGTATAAAGGAGACACATTTTAAAAAAATCTCCACAGTTATTCATGTTGCTTTTTTTTGTTCCTTTGAACAGGAGATAGTGGATAGCCTCCTTCAAAATGGAAGATGGAAAGCCCGTTTGGGCACCCCACCCCACAGATGGATTTCAGATGGGCAATATCGTGGATATTGGCCCTGACAGCTTAACAATTGAACCCTTGAACCAAAAAGGCAAGGTGAGTTTCTCAGAGAGATTTCAAAATGTGATCTCTTTCAGATACAGCCCCCCCCCACATATATATATTCTCCAAGAAAGGTGAGAATGAAGTAGATACTCCTGACATGGTGGAGGAACCAAATGTCTGGTAATGTCATTGAAGTTTTGGGCTGACTTCCTTGATTAAATGGGAAGTGTGTATTACGAGGAAATAGGTTCCTGCAATAATCAGAAACCTAACATTCTTCTTAGTTGTGTGATAAGATCCTATCAGTGGCAGCATTGTTATCCCATATGCCACACTATTATAGTCACTGGTGTGGCTGTGATGTAGTCAAGGTGTGACGAAGCAACCGTGGATGACGTGACTGCTGCTATGATGTCAAGTTCTGCTTGGAAGCTTCAGCTTTCACATCTTGTCTCCTTTTCCTTTTCTTTTTCTTTTGTTTACTTAAACTTACTTACTTAAACTTACATCGTATAGAATTTGAGTAAATATCTTTCTATTAAGTAAAGACATTTGACTCTTAAACCTCCCACATATTGTTTTGTTATGATAATGGTGTAAAATATACTTTAATTCTGTACATACATTATTTACTTCCTTTTATAAAATCTTAGACATAGACTAGTCAAGATTCCTAAGTGACCAGGAGTTGTGATTTGCTTACAGCCAGGCCTCCAGTGTAGACATGTATCTTTCAGTTTTCATGAGATTGGCTATTTCTTGGTACCACAGTCTCACAGTTTTAAGTCTAACAAATGCTACTATTAAACATTACTTCTGGCTAAATATGTGCATGTAATTTTTGTTTACTTCAGGCTCTGCAAATATCCATGAATAATTTACATTCTACCAATTCGTGGTTAACTAATGCCATATGACTGCCATCCTTCTGGGAACCTTAGAAAAACAAGGTGGATCTCTCATGAGGTCTTTTCAGAGAGAAGACTATTCTGTTACTGTAAACAACCCAGGAACCAGAATGCATAATATATAATGTGCCATGTTAGTGGAGGCCAATTAAAAATGCCTTCAGGAAAGGAAAGATAAAGTGTTCTCATTTTCCCTCATTAGTGGTACCTGTGTGTACTTACAGACACCACCTATTTTAAAAGTGGGTTTTTAAAAGTTCACACACAATAAGTTTTGAAAGCTTTTGCCTTTTGCTTAACATGTTTTATAAGCACAGTAAGCTAAAAGGCCAGAATTAAGTGAGGGCTGTACCTCCTGAGTCTGTTCTGTTGAGGTCTGTCACATCTGTAGGTGACAGGATAATTCAGTTCAAAAATAAAAGAAACTTGATTTAAGGGTATGTGCTTTTGTTAAATATTTTACATATTTCAATGTGTTTGAACTATGTCATATTAGTGTTAATAAGATATATGTATAGAACCAATAGAAGTACATTTTAGTTCAGTTATTTTTGGGTGCATTTGTTTATTTGTTGTGTGGATATGCGTGTGTGTGTGTGTGTGTGTGTGTGTGTGTGTGTGTGTGTGTGTGTGTGTTTGTGTGCACATGTGCATATGTACATGTGGAAGTCAGAGGCTAACTTGAGAGAATTGGTTCTCTTCTTCTACCCTGTGGGTCCCAGGAATTGAACGGGTTCCAGGAATTGAACTCAAGATCTCAGGCTTCGAGCCATCTCACCAGTCTGGAAGCATAGTTTAAGTTATGGCGTCACATACATTTTATAAGTCTACAAATAAGTCTATAAACTGAAGTCTAAATTTTCAAAAAAAAGCTATTTTTATTATTTGTGTGTGTGTGTGTTGCACAAAATCCTTTTGAGTAGAGATCAGAAGATAACCTGAGGGAGGTGGATCTCTTTCTTCATTACATGGGTCCTAGGAGATGAAGCTCAGGTCCCCAGGCTTAATGGCAGGCCTTTATCTGCTGAGCCATCTTGCTGGGCCCTGGTTTTCTTTTTATAACAGAAAAACTTTCCTATCAGAAAAATAAAAACTTTTTGATAAATTTTTTTTAAATGAAATATTTTGTCTCCTTAGGGGAAGAGAAAGTAGAGGCTGGTTGTTAATTTGGGGGCCTGAAGGAAGAGGGAGAGAGGCTTCTTCTGGACTTGTCTTAGCTTACTGTTAACCTTTAAGGAACTCGGTTGCCCCTCCCCTGGAGCATTCATTGCTCGTCTGGAGTCTTTTTCATTGGCTATAGTTCCTGCCAGGTTAGGACCAAGCCCTCTGTTGCTATGGCCCTGATAAGTGTACACACAGTTCTGTGGTAGTAGCAGCTATTTCAGAATGGATTTTCCTACAGATTCATTGCTATGAATTAATTGTTTTATGCTATCTTCTTCTACATACTGTTCACTGTCTGGTTCATGTTGACCCAAGTTCCCTTTTGAAAGAGTGGCCTCTCCTCCAAACCTTCCACATTTATAACATTGAGGACACATGTATTGGATCGCAAAGAGTTAACTTTCAGAGTGTTGAGTTTAACAGTCTTGTAAGTTGCGTGTGACTTTGTTGGTGTCCGTTTGTGTTAGTGGTACTAGAGGTTGCATTCAGGGCATGACATATTTTACACAAGAACTTTACCACTGAGCTATCCCCATACCACTAACTTGGTTATAACTTTAAATTGGAATAGTCTTTGAAGCCTGGGTTTCACTTTTAAACTATGATCACCTTAATGTATACAGTTTGCTTACACACATAGAGTTACAAATTGTTTTTTGTTTTTATTTTGGTACTGGTATGCACATGCTGAGCACAAACTCTACCACTGAGCTAAACCTCCAGCCTGGCAGCTATTGTCGTGAAAGAACCAAACCATTTTTCTTAAGAGTTTAATTTGATACAGTTGGCAATGTCAACCAGAAGAGTTAATTGTAATTATTTAGAGGTATAAATTTATAAATAACTGTTAAGATAGCATGAATTAAAATTTAATTCGCGTTAGATGTAATTTGAGATCATTTGTTCTCTGTTACAAGATGCTATCTTAATTCTGCAGTGTCTCCCATAGCATTTTAAGGGATGAATGAGTGCAGGTTTATTTATGGGTTAATTTTTTGTGGAGACAGGGGCTTGTGTAGCTTTGCCTGGCCTTAGCTCATTATGTAGTCAAGCATGACCTTGAATTCATGATCTTCCTGCTTACACCTCCCAAGTACTGGGATTGCAGGCATGTGCCACCACACCCAGCTATTTGTGGCACTTTTAATTATATGAACCAGATATTTTTATATTGTTGACATAGTTTTATGTAGGACTTGTTGTCAAATATATTTCTCAAATAACAACATTAATAGTTTGTTTATGTTATATGTAAGTGATTATGAATGTTTCCTTTTTAAAACAATAAAATTGTTTATATGCAAATATTAAAGTGCTTTTAATTTTTGGTAACTAGCATGTCTTTAGGATTGGTGTGTTTGTTACTTTGTTAGGATTAGTGGGTTTGTTATTTTGTCCCACTGTGGGTGTGGGAACCCGGGATACTTATTTGTTAATTGCTCTTACTGATTCATGTCTACAGTGGTAATGGACACAGTTTTTGATGAAAGTTATTGTCTTTTGAATGAGTGCTTTGTTAAGCAGTAGAATCTGTGTTATACTCTAATAGAGAACAATTAGAACCAGTTGAACTCCTTGTCTTTTTTAGTATCTAAAAGCCTCAAATGCTCAAACCTTTTTGTTTGTTTGTTTGTTTACTAGACATTTTTGGCTCTCATAAATCAAGTATTCCCTGCAGAAGAGGACAGTAAAAAAGATGTGGAAGATAACTGTAAGTATTAATTTCAAAGTTATTTCTCCATCCCATCAAAGTGTCTGCTTTCAGAAAGTGGGTTAGTGGTTATATTACTAGTACAGGAGACTAGGGCAGAGCACACAGGCTTCATAAGAGCTCCCGGGAGCTTGGAAGGCCTACGTTCATTCCTGTATCCCATGTGTACTTCTAAGAACGTCTCTTGAGTGTCTCCTACTGTTATTTCAGCTTGGGAAGGGTGATAATTTAGTGTGAAGTTTCAACTAAAGGCTCTTCTTAGTTGACTCTAAAGTCATTTCAAACCTTATAGTGGGGGATGAGTTCTTAGTAATTTGGAAATTGACAGCAAGAGTCATTTAATATCACTCTTTGGATATGGCAAACCAATATTAAACAAAGCAAACAACACTGCTGAATAATTTATAATTGAAAAGTTTATTTAAGAGCATTATATTAAAATATAGTATTAATTTGAATTATAGACACCTTAAAATACTTGGTGAAAAATTCTTTTTTCATTGAATAGGGCATATTTATTTTATATTTTCAACATTAAGAGGTAATCACACTTCAGTAGTTTGATCACTGTAACAAAATATCTGAATTAATTTAAAAAGGAGGGAAGGTTTGTTTTGGTTTATAGATTGGGAGATTTCTGTCTATGGTTATTTGACCCCTCCATTTGGGTCTTTGGTGAGATGCAGTGCATCACAGCAGGAGCATGTGTAGAGGAAGTCGCTTACTTCACGCAAGCCAGGAAGCAAAGACAGAACTGAGAAAATCCCGTGTCCTTATCATCCCTTTAAGGCACACCCCAGTGACAGCCCCAAGAAGTTCCCATCATCTTCCAACAACTTCAGGGGAAGTTCTAGGCCTTAACAGAGGTGTCTTCGGAGAACGTTCTAGAGCCAAACCTAGTGGGGTAGGCATGGTATTTGCGGATCATTTCTATTTACTATGGATTTCCTTAGAAGCATCTGACCTTAAATACTCTCAAAAGAGAAGACAAGAGAAAGATACGGGTTTATTCTTAGTGTTTTTCACTGGGGTTTACAATTGAGTAAGCCTGAAAGACCCCAAATGAAAAAACAGGTGTTGTAAAATAGTGTTGTTGTTGGGGGCACAGTGGGCTGAGGCTGAGACAGTCGTGGGTTCTGATTCAGACTTCAGTTTGGAAGCTTATGTGGCTGCTTTTGGGAAGTTCGTCTGCAAAGTAGGAGTTGTTATGTGTGCTGCATACTTAGAGGTGATACATTCAAGTGTTTGGCAGAATACTTGACTTCTACAGACTAAGTAAACAGCAGCCGTTATTATTAGGTGTAAAGACACCATTTTTCTTCCTTTCCCAAGTTGCCAGGGAGTTTGTCTGTTGAAACAATGCAGTTTTGAGGAATAATTGAGCAAAATAGAAAGAAAACTATATTGTGTTGAAAATAGCAGAAAGTATCTTCCTGTTCAAGTTTTCTAGGGAGGCCAGTGAGATGGCTTAGTGGGTACTGGCACTTTGCACAAGCCTGAGGACCCGAATTTGATCCCCAGGACCCCCATGGTGGAAGAAGAGAACTGACTCCCACACACCATGTCTTGCAGTGCCCCTCCCTACAACATACATAAATGTAACAAAAAATTTCCTAGGGTATATAATGTAACAATAATCCTCTAAATATATTAACATGCTTTTCTTAGAGATATATTCATCTGTAGCTAAACATAATAGGTTTGAATTTTCCATCTTTTATTTTTCCAATTAATATTTTTGAACTCTCCTGTTTACTTTGCTGTGCTATGTTTCACCACTGTTGATTTTCCCTGGCCCCAGTGGAGTTCTCTGCCTCCTCCAAGTGCTCTTACCGATGACTGCAATGGTACCATGTGGAAGCTAATTGTTCTCATCATGCAGCTGCCTGTCCTGACTTGAAGTCTCTTTTCTGAAGCCCTGTCATTTAAGCAATTTCAGTTGTTGACTTTATAATATATTTTTTAAGCCAAAGTTGTTCCTTCACCTAGTCTTTGGTCTGAGACTTGTCATTATCATACCGACCTTTCCAAATGCAGTCTGCCTTATGTCTCATATCATCCCCCTCTTCTGTATCATAGTGATAATGTAGTGATTAAATGCCTGATATCTGTAGTTTATGGTTATGAACCATGTGGTAAAGGTTCATTGAAAGCAAAAGTATAGGGATGATCGTGGTGCACACCTGTAATCCCAGCACTTAGGAGGCTGAGGTAGGAGGACCCCAAATTCATAAGCTGGGTAGCAGGACCCTGCCTCGAAACCAGCCAACCAACCAAGCCAATACCCAGAAGTATTTGTTATCTTTTAAAGCAAAACTACTTTTAGCTTTAAGTTCCATGTGTAAGTGTTTTATATGTAGAGATTAATATGTTAGTTTTACATTTTTACTTGATTCTTGGCATTAATAACAGAATAGAAAAATAATTCAGGGGTAAATTCAGCAATTAAATAGAAAATAATAGCACAATTTCATGCTGAATTTAAGGTACTATTGTTTCTATTGCCTATAACATTCCTCATGAATATTCCTCATGCCAGATGTTGAGAGTAAGTACAGAGTGTAAAATCAGCCTAGAAGTTTTCCCTTCAGTCTCAGTGATGCGATGACTTCTACAGCAAAATACACCTCTCCTTGACTGGCCTCCATGATGTTGAGATTGATTGTGGGTCCCTTCTCTCTCTCTCTCTCCCTCTCTCTCTCTCTCTCTCTCTCTCTCTCTCTCTCTCTCTCTCTCTCTCTCTCACTGAACTAGAGTTCTAGTCAATAAACAGGATCTCAAATATTCAGATAACATCTAGTCATTATTGTAAATTTAATGAAGCCACAGATGTTCTTCATTAAACATTTTTGGTATGGTATATATCACCAAAGTATGTCCAAGGGAATAAATTGTGTTTATATTTCTATGATGTCTTACTTTTAAAAGTCTATTGACTAACATGCATGAAGTCATTGTCATTGCCCTGGTTCAATCCCCAACACTTCCAAAAAAGAAAAAACAACCTGACAAAAAATAGTCTTAGAACTTTCTGACAAAAAATAGTCTTAGAGCTTTCAGAAGTTCACTGTTATGGCTTGGCTGATAAAGGTCCTTGCAGTTAAAGCTTGGCATCCTGAATTCCATTTCCCTGGTCCATGTAAAGGTGGATACTGAGAACCACTTCCACAGAATTGTCTTCTGACCCATTCAGTGCCATGCCATGTATCCCCCATCATGCATGCATGTGTACATGCACTGAAAAAAAATGTTATTTGAGGTGTGGTGGTGCTCACCTTTAATTATAGCTCTTGGGAAGTGGAAGTAGGCAGAGCTCTGGGGAGTTCAAGGCCAGCCTAGTCTCTATAGTGAGTTTCAGGCCAGCCAGAGGTGCAGAGCGAGACTCTGTCTCAAAAAAATACTGTTGTTCTTTTGACTATAGTTAAATCTATAAATACTTAGACATAAAAAGTAAGCATTCTTTATGAAGTAGTGCATGTAAATAGCCAAGCCAAGTAACCCTAGGGCTGGCTATCAGAAGCGGGGAGGATGAAACTAGGTGGTGCACGACATTGTTTCTGGGACCCTTGTGAACATTCCTGGATCGTACTACTAGGGAGGTGGCTGAAACTTAACATCTCTCACTTTGACAAATAGCAGACTTTTTCCCATATAAGTGAAATAGCCTGATTAGTGTGATGAGAGGTCTTCCTGCCACTGACAGATAGTGAGCCTGTTGAGGGTTTATTTGGTTGAATGAACAGATCTCCTTGAGAAGGCAGGTGGGGAGTAAGGACTAGGGTGAAGAGAATACAGTTAGCAGCCATCCACATGTCAGTATAGGGTTACATGGCTGGTTTTAAACAGGGTGTGTGTGTGCTGTGCTATCAGCAGTTCTCACTTAGAGGGAGCAGATGCTAGTGTGTAAGCAGCTGTTTCGGAGGAAAGTGAGATGTGGTGAGAGGCTCAGCAGTGTTTTGAGTAAAAAAATAGCAACGTGTAGGTCGGGCTTCCAGGGGATGAGTGTGGAAGAAGAGCAGGAATATAGAATGAAGGTGACTGGATACCCAGACTAGACACACCTCTGCTGCTTGAGTCCTTCTATATCTTCCTCAGTTCAAAGGAAAGCTACAGCTCAGCTGTTAAGAGCCCCAACCTACTTCGTAGTCTCTTATTCTGCTTCCAGTGGCATCAGAAAGCAATGGGGCCCTTGGAAAGTGAACTGACTGCATTGTCTAAGTGCAGAAACATGGCCTTTCTTTGCCAAGTAGTCTAGCAAGAGGCTCTTGTGCACACTATTGACTTGTATACTGGGGATGCAGGCACTGAAGATGCTACAACTTCAGTGAGGGACCATGTAAAACAAGTGAACTATGCAGCCCTTAAGTATTTCATTTAGTAACTAAAACCAGATGTATAAAATTGTCATCCTAATCCTGACAGATGTGGAGAGCAGCAGGAGAAATTGCAAAGAAGAGACTAGCTCTGGAGGTGGTGAGGTTGGAGAAGTATCATTTTGAGATAGGTTTATATCTATCTCAAAGTATCATTTTGAGAAGTGACTTTAAAGGATGTGTGTGTGTGTGTGTGTGTGTGTGTGTGTGTGTGTGTGTGTGTGTGTGTATGGAGAGTATATTATAGTCAGAGACAATGTATGAATAGATTGTGGGTTTGATAAATAGCTCAGTTTGTGTACAAGTTAGGTATTAAAACAGGTATAGAAAATTATAAAAATGACCATTTGAATGCAGGTTTATTAACAGCCTTGAATAGATTTTAAGGCGAATGTTTATAGTTGAGCCCCAGCGAGTTTCTTTGATATGGAAAGAGATTTAGTGCTCTAGTTGACTTATTCTACTCTGCAGTCTGGACTGGAGAGAATAGAGATTAAAGCCATAGACAAATAGAGGTCACTGTAACCACAAAAGAGAAGGTATGGCCTGCACAGTGATCCTGCATAGCAATGGAGCAGTAGAAAAGGAGGGAGGGGCATGTCAGAGATTCAGACTGTGTTAACATTAGTATATTTACCATGACCCTGGCAATGGGCTATATCTTTTTATGTGATGTGAAGACTTAGAAACTGACATCAAATGGGAGGACAAGAAGAGATATGTCTGTTGTTGACTACTGTTTTCAGTTTGGATAACTGATAAAATTATGGTCCCAACAGCAAGCAAAGTAGGTAAGATGAGTATACTGTCTGCTCTGTCATGTAGTGGAAGTGAAACATAGGAGATGGGATTGTGTAAGGACTAGACAAGGAAGAACTTGAGATGGATCGCTGTAACAGAACAAAAAACAAGATGTTTACTCCGATTCTGAACTTAACTTGTAAATAAGATGGGTTAAGATGTGCATGATGTCTCATGATCTGAATTCATCAGTCATTGTGAGAATGGTCCAAATGACCTGATGGTCCCTTACATTCTAAATCTATATGGTTTCTGTTTTATCTGTAAGCTTCTAGCATTGGACTGGATTAGTATTTTACTTTGTAGGGTCATAAACGGCTACAATAGTTCTTTCCACTTGATTGACAGTTGACATTTAAACCTGCCCTCAGCAGAGTACATCACTGGTACTCACTATATGTAACTCCTGTAGCTAGAAATGTGTCATCTAAAGTTCTCACAGCTGTATGTGAACACGATTTGTTTTAGGAAAGTGTTCTACCAATGCAATGTACCCCAGATGGATTAGTTTTACACTAGCCCATGGGGTTTATGTGTACCTGTGTTCTAAAAGCATGGGATTAAATCTACCCAAACAAGTGAATTATAAACTTGAATCAGAGTGATTATGCATAATGAATTTTCTTTTACCTTTTTTTCAACTCTCCAATCTAAAATTTTGTCTTAGGTTCATTGATGTACTTAAATGAAGCCACACTCCTCCACAATGTCAAAGTTCGGTACAGTAAAGACAGAATCTATGTAAGTATTTGACCAATGACTTTAGATTTTGTGGGGGACTGTCTCACATGCCACATTTGCTTTTGCCCTGCTTGGTCTGAGTGTGATGTATATGAGAGTTCCAATGCATGCTCTCCAAACAGAGCTCCCCATGATCCTGGTACATAGTGGGTACATAATAAAATCTGCAGAATAAGATAATGAATTCAGAGAACCAATTAACCTACTTCAGACTTACAAAGGTTCAATTTGAATGTTTAAAAAACTATTTTGGAGTTTGATTTATTTTTGGTATACGTTTATAGATCTATTTAATTTCACTTTTCACACTGTGCAGAGAATGTAAGGCAGTCTATATGTACTGAAGTTAAAAAAAAACTAAATGAAGAAAAATAAGTAAATTAGAATAGAAGGCAATAGCTAAAGAAGTATCAGATAGATAAGGATGCTGATCATAGAGCCTAAATAACTGTAGGATTTCATTATCCTTGGATGCTGGTCCTTGAATGTCCAGATCATTAAACACAAAGAAAGACAATGCTTTGGCTGTAAGTAGTTTGCATCAGCTCATTCAGATGGAGATTTAGCTACTGCGTTTTAATTATAATTATTCATTGGGCACACATGAGATTTTATTCTGCCCTGACCTGGTCATGGATTCCTTTGTTGGCTGGAGATGGATTACCACACTCTGGTATCCTGTTATAAGGATGGGCTTCATTATTTTTGAACGAAGGACGCACATGGCTTCTTTGACACTTACAAGATCAAATGACAGTCTTAATCTTTTATATCACTATCAATTTGCCTAATTGTACTTACTTAATTCTGACTAAATGACATCTAGTCTCTGCCATCTGTCAAGTAGTGCCAGCTGGGAAATGGAACTAATGTAGTCTGCCCCAAAGAATCTACTTGTCTCCTGATTGTGCACACTGTTAAGACTGCGCTTTCCTCTCTTCTACCCCATGAATTCAACGGAGTGAAGATTATCTTTAGGTGTGAATATAGGTTTTCTTGGGTAGAAATACTTTCAGATGCAAAGTTTATTCAGTCTATAACTTGTATTGAGCAGACTCTAATGCTCACTAAGTGCTGTTTTAGATACTGAAGTAACCAAGTTTTAAAGTCTGTTGAAACCATTTAACTTGTAGTAAATCAGTGAAAATTAATTTGTATCGAACTGGGAGACTGCCTCTTCAGAGTAGAGCTTAAGAACCAGTGTTGTCAAGGTTGCCTGAAGGCAGGAGTGGCATTTTCTTTTCTCTTAGCCAGTTAAACCTTTTAGTTCTAAAGTCATTTTATGTGGGCAACCCATAAATGCATCTGTTATTATTATAAAATCTAAATAAATCTGCTAGTTATCAAATTTATATAGATACATAATTATGGGAAGGAAGCAATTTAGAGTAATAATTTAAACTCGACATTTGGTACTTACCAGAATCACTACCCTCCCTTAGATTTGAGTAAAACAATAGGTGAATCTCATTTAACACTTTCATGTTGCTGAAATCTCTGAGCCTTTACTTTTTGTCCTCATTTTTAGGGATTTATCCCTTTTTACTTGATGTATGTGTGTGTTTTGCCTGAATGGATGTATGTGCAGCATGTATGTGATTAGTGCCCATGGGGGCCAGAAGAGGCTGCTGGGAAACCAAACCAGGATCCTTTGTTCCAGCAGACAGTGCTGAGCCACCTCTCCAGCCCCTTCCATTCTCATTAGTCACTCTCCTCTAGGAAATGTCTTTGGGGACATTGTGTGCATTTAGCAGTTTGAGAGCCCAGGATTTTTACAGCGCTTCTCTCCCACAGTTGGAAAGAGAGAAGTATGGCATTGTATGCCCCAGTTTTGTCAGGGTTACTAAACTACAGCTCTCTATCTACCCAAGTAGTTTTATAAATTCTATCAGTACATTTCTATGGTCTTTAAAAAAAAAATCAAATTTCACATTTAAAAGGAAATTCAAGTTGCTCATGAAATAGTTACCTGCCAGTGGTTTAGTATGTGGTGCTTTGCAGAACTCCCAAGACCAGGTGGTTACCTCAGAGCTAAGTCATTCCTGAGCATTCATTGACAGGGAAGGCTCAGACCCAGCTACAGGATCGTTTAAAGGCTTTAAGAGCAGGGTGGAATAGTGGGAGGATGCCGGTGACCTGAATTGAGCTGTAGGACCCAGCATGGGGACTAAGTCGAGTCAGCAGGTGGTGAAGCTAGTACTTTAGAGAACCATGGGAGGGTTTTTTGTTTTTTTTGTTTTTTTTTTTTTTTTAATGAGACATAGGGAAGTGGGAAGGTATGATCTTGGTGTGTTGACTTTGAAATGACTGTGGAATGACAGCATAAAGACATTTATTTGAAAATAAGTATTTCTTTGGAATTTGAGAAATGGTGGGCTCAGTGAAATCAGAAAATATTTAATTTGGGATAGAAATGTAGATTTTTGAAGTCTTGTTTATATGAGAATTGAAGGTTTCCATTTGCTGATTATTTCTCCTGTTTGCCTTGTTTAATTTTGAAGGAAAATAATAATTGGAAATTTCCTTTTTCTGCTTCTCCTACTTAGACATATGTCGCCAACATTCTGATTGCAGTGAACCCATACTTTGATATACCTAAAATATATACTTCAGATACAATAAAGTCATATCAAGGAAAATCTCTTGGGACGATGCCACCTCATGTCTTTGCAATTGGTAAATTATATTTTAATTCTTGTCTTTTCCTATATCATACAAATTTACTTGATTTTTAAATTGTTTTGAGTCCCTTAAAAGATCTCAAGGTATTCATTGTCCACAGTACTGTGTTGTATAAGGATCTTTTTATGCAGCTGTTTACTGTTCATTGAATATATGCACCTTCCCCCACCCTCGCTCACACCCTGTTCTCTCCTGCTTCTCTACCCGCCCCTTCTGTTAGTCCACCTTGTTCCCTAGATAGCTTCACCTCTACTTTGATACATGTGATTTTATGTTTCTATATAAAATCTAGGAACTGTATAGAAGAGAAAACACGAGACTGGCTCAGTTTTGCTTAATTTGATGTTCTCCAGTTATATCTACTTTCCTGCAAATGATGCCATTTTGTTTTTCTTTATGGCTGGGGAATTTTCTGTGGCACATTCTCCTTATCTGTTCCTATGTTGTTGGAAACCTACGTTGGTTCCAGGACTTAGCTGTTGTGAATTGTGCTGTGGTAAACATTGGTGTGCAAGTACCTCTGTGGTCTCTTGACTTGGAGTCCCTTGGGTAAATACCCAGGGTTGGTAAATCTATTGTTTTTCATTTAAAAAAAAAAATTGTGTTTATGTGTTGGGGGGGCAGTGTTGCATGTGGCAAGGTGCGTGTGTGGAGATCAGAGGACAGCTTGGAGCAGGTCATATGTGGCGGTCCATTTGTTTCTCTTCTTTCACCTTTACATGTGTTCCAGGGATCAAACTCAGGTTGGTGGACTTGCATGGCAAGTACTTTGCTGAGCTATGGTAACAACTTTATTTATTTATTTGTTTATTTTTTAGTTTTTTGAGGAACTGTTGTACTGATTTCCATAGAGGCTGTACTAGTTGACATTCCCACCAGCAGTGTATAAGGGTTTCTTTTTTGTTTGCATATATTAATTATACATAAAGTTTTTCATTATGACATTTTCATATATGGTGCATAATGTATTTTGATGATATTCACCCCATTACCACTCCCACTAACCCTCTCTTTGTTCCAACCTCACCCTTTCTACTTTCATCTTTTGTGTGTGTGACCCAATGGATTTAATTAGTTTTGTTTACAGGAGCGTGGGCATCTTATCATGGCTATAATACTAGAGAAAATGTCTCTGCTTCCCTATCAACCATGGACTATGTATAAATTCTTAGGAAGAGGTGGGGCTCTGTGAGCGCTCTCCTCTCCATGACAGGGTGTTTTTTATCAGGCCCAATGTTGTGCAGATAATCACAGCTGATATGAGCTCAGGATTGGGACAGCCATGTCATACCTGTCACTTTTCTCCCCATCCCTTTCTCTGGCTCTTACGTTCTTTCTGCCCCCCTTTTTTGAAATCTTTGTATATTCTAGATATTAGTTGTTAGATATCTAGCTGAAAAAGATTTTCCCCTGCTCTGTAGGCTGTTTCTTCCCTTAATTAATGTTTCCTTTGCCATGTAGAAGCTTATTAATTCTGTGAGATCATATTTGTCAGTTGTTGACATTATTTGCTGAGCGATTGGACACCTCTTCAGGACCATTCAGAAAGTCTTTGCCTATGCCTATATCTTGCATTTGACCTACTTCTTCCTCTGACAGTTTTAGAGCTTCAGGTTTCACACTAAGATTTTTCATTTATTTAAAGTTGGTTTTTAATTTTTTAATTTTATAATTTAATTTAATTTTACATATCAGCCATGGATTCCCTTGTTCTCCCCTTCCCCCCAGCCCACCCCCCATTCCCATCTCCTCCAGGGCAAAGACTCCCCTGAGGATTGAGTTCAACAACCTGGTAGATTCAGTCCAGGCAGGTCCAGTCCCCTCCTCCCAAGCTGAGCCAAGTGTCCCTGTATAAGCCCCAGGTTTCAAACAGCCAACTCATGCAATGAGCACAGGACCTGGTCCCACTGCCTGGATGCCTCCCAAACAGATCAAGCTGATCAACTGTCTCACTTATCCAGATGGCCTGATCCAGTTGGGGGCTCCTCAGCTATTGGTTCATAGTTCATGTGTTTCCATTTGTTTGGCTATTTGTCCCTGTGCTTTATCCAACCTTGATCTCAACAGTTCTCGCTCATACAAACCCTCCTCTTTCTCGCCAATTGGACTCCTGGAGCTCTACCTGGGGCCTGGCCGTGGATCTCTGCATCCGGTTCTCTCAGTTGGGTTTCTAGCACAACAGTTAGGGTGTTTGGCCATCCCATCACCAGAGTAGGTCAGTTCGGGCTGTCTCTTGACCATTGCCAGTAGTCTATTGTGGGGGTATCTTTGTGAATTTCTGTGGGCCTCTCTAGCACTTTGCTTCTTCCTATTCTCATGTCTTCATTTATCATGGTCTTTCTTTTATTCCTTGTTCTCCCTCTCTGTTCTTGATAAAGTTGATTTTTGAATGTGGTGAGAAACAAGGATTTAGCTTCATTCTTCTACATGTGAGAGACTGTCTTTTCTCTAGTGTATATTTTTTGGCACTTTTGTATTTAAAAATAAGGTGGTTTGTATCTGGGTCCTGCATTCTGTTTTATTGATCTATGTGCCTGTACTATGCTGTTTCTTCTTCTTCTTCTTCTTCTTCTTCTTCTTCTTCTTCTTCTTCTTCTTCTTCTTCTTCTTCTTCTTCTTCTTCTTCTTCTTCTTCTTGGTCTGTAATACAACTTGAAATCAAATATGGTGGTCTCAACTGTTGTTCTTCTTGCTTAAGATTGCTTTGGCTCTCTGGGATGTTCTGTGTTCCCATATGAATTTTAAGAGTTTTTTCTACGTATGTGAAGAATGACATTGGAATGACATTTTATGGATATTGCTTTAAATCTGTAGACTGCTTTTGGTAGTGTAGCCATTTTCATAATATTGATTCATCTAGGAGCAAGTAAGGTCTTTCCACTTTTCTAGTATTTCTTTCAATTTCTTCTCAGTGTTTGAAAGTTTTCATTGTAGAGTCTTCCACTCCCTTAGTTAGGTGTTTTCCAGGGTATTTGATTTTATTCTTTGAGGCAATTGCACATGAAATTGTTTCCTTGATTTATTTCTCAACATGCTTGTTATTGGCATATGAGAAAGTTACTGATTTTTGTATGTTTATTTTGTGTCCTGTCACATTTCTGAAAGTGTGTCTTAGCTCTAGGAGTTTTCTGTTGCATTCCCTAGAGTATTATGTACAGTCATATCATCTGTTAGTGTGGATATACTGACTGATGTTTCTGTTTGTGTCTCTTTTATTTCCTTCTCTTCTGTTATTTCTATAGCTCAGACTTGAAGCACTATGTTGATAAAAGTGGAAAAAGTGGAAACTCTTGCCTTGGTCTTGATTTTAGTAGAAATGCTTCCAGGATAAGGCAGTTGGATTACAGGTAGAATGAAAAGAGAGAGGGGAATACACCAGTCAGACAACCTAAAAGAGTTCCAGGCCTAAAGTGGCTGAGATATGGAGACCCGCACACTGTGCTAGCATGTGGTCTGTGGGAAAGACAATCAAAAGGAAAACAAAGAAGGGAAAGAATAGATAAAGTGAAACAAAAGGAGGGGAGGAGAGAGGGAGAAGGAACGAGATGGGGAAGATAGGAGATCGGGGAGCTGCTTTGCTAGAGCAGCAGGTAGATGGAGACAAAGGACAACTACAAAGGGGGAACTGGTGGGGTAGAGTGTGAGTGCAGTCTCCCCAATGTAGGTGGCAGTGCCACTTCCCAGACCCTCAGATTCCTGGCACACCTCTGGGCAGTCCTTCATGGGTCAGGTCCCAGACACTGGTCACACGCCTGGCCAGTCCTTCAGGTGCCTGCTTGCAAATGCTGTTCTCCTAGTTAGTTTATTATTTAATAAAAGATGCCATGCGTTGAATACATATTTTTCGAGACCTGTATGCCTTTTGGGTGTATTAGTGTTGTTAGGAGCATGTATCCTACACAGGGAGGGCCTGAATACTTTTGTAGTTAACTCATGGGCCAGTCATGTATTATTTATCAAATGCCTGTGCCCTCTGAGGCGTGTCTGCCCCATTGAAAGTAGACATAATAAAAGATGACTTAATAGTACTGTTTTTGAGAGAGAGGGAGAGGGAGAGACTGACTCTCAAATGCACTAGGCTACCTTTGAGCATAATATGTAGCTGAGGCTGGCTTTGAACTCCTGATCTTCCTGCCTCTACTCCTGAGTGCTGGGATTGCCAGTGTATGTCACCATGCCTGGATTTAATGGTATTTATCAATCCTTATGATCAACCCCATCACAAAGATGGTCTCTTTTACAGCTCTGAGACAAAGCCTCCTCCTCTCTTAGCTTGGGCATCACTTGTAAATATGTTACCTGGGCCAGACTGGAAATGTTTTTTTTTTTGTTGTTGTTTTGTTTATTTGTTCTGTTCTTTTTTTTTGAGACAAGTGTTTTTTTGTGTACCCCTGCTGTCCTAGAACTCACTCTGTAGATCAGGCTGGCCTTGAACTCACAGAGATCCACCTGCTTCTGCCTCCCAAGTGCTGGCATTAAAGGCGTGCGCCACCACAGCATGGCAAGACTTGAAGAGCTATTATAGCAGGCTTCTTCCTTACATTATCTTGCACCTTAGCTTTATAAAATTACAGTATTTCTTTTTTTTTTTTTTGGTTTTTCGAGACAGGGTTTCTCTGCGTAGCTTTGCGCCTTTCCTGGGACTCACTTGGTATCCCAGGCTGGCCTCGAACTCACAGAGATCCGCCTGGCTTTGCCTCCCGAGTGCTGGGATTAAAGGCATGCGCCACCACCGTCCGGCAAATTACAGTATTTCAAGTGACTGAGAAACCTAAGTGGGAAAACAATAGTGTTTGTATTGTCTTTCTTAGCCTCTCATCCTGAAGATTCCAGTTTGGAGGCACAGAGGGGTGGAGCAACTCATCAAAATTATAGCATACATTCCACTTGCATCCTAACAAATTCAGATGTGTTGGCTAAGCCTTTGTTGTCAAAAATAGCCAGCAGCTGGGCATCTTGTTTTGGTGCTCTTCTTTTGTGTGGTCTGTTTCTCCTTAGACGTTCCCCTGTGCTTGTGTTTTGGCTTAACTAGGTTTCACTTCTAGATTTGATTATTGTGTATAGACAGATAAACATGCTCGCCAGAAGCAGTGCAGTACTTGAGCGATTTATGGTTCTCAGATGCTCTGGTGAACATTGGAGCATTCTCTTATTAGCCTACAAAATGCACAGTCATTAGAATCTGAATATGATGAAGCTCGTCACTGGGGAAAGTTAAAAGCCTAAAATGGAAATAAACCAGCTTTTGTTTTTAGCCTTTACTACTGACAAGGTGTTTAGAATGACAATATGAGGGAAAGTGTAAGAAGGCCTTTGTAGGTTGGACAGTGGGATGTGTATGTTGCTTATGGTGTTACTTGTCTGTTTTGTGTTACTACTGAATATCTCTCATGAAGAAGCAGGTTATTTAGCTCACAGCCTGGGAGGAGGGGGTCATAATCCATAGCATGACACGTGCTCTGTGGTATGGACCACCTCTTGGCTGCATCCCCTCATGGCACAGAGCAATGGCTACAGGAGCACATAATTGATCTCCAACCAGAAGTAGAGGCTCCGAGATCATTGTTGAAGAGGGGCCAGAAAGACTGTAAGAACAGAGGTGGTGGATGACTCTAAGGATACTGTGGTTTTTTTTTTTTGGATGCAATTGGAGGTACCAGGCTTGCTCTTTTTATAACAACTCTCTTGTTAGAACTCAAGGGGTCAAGGGAGAAACCACCTTCTCAGAGTATGTCTCCAGTCACCCAAGGGCCTCTTACTGAGTCCTTTTTCTGCAAGGTTCCTCTGCCTTCCAGCAGCATCCTTTGCAGGCAGCTGCTTCAGTCACAGTGGACTGTTGGGAATACCCATGCAATACTGCTTGTAGCTTAGTCTTAGAGTAAAAGCCATTTGTAAAGCTATTTTTGCTTGTATGGATAGCACATGTTTAGGTTAAAAAATAATTGTCTTCTTGCACCAAATTGCCTTGGAACCACTTTTTTTTAAAGTTTGCTGTGCAGAAATGAGTTCATGATGACATTTTTATAGGAAATTGTATCATGTATTTTTCTCATATTCTCCTCTTCTTTATCCTCTGTTGTCTCTCCTTTCTTGCTGGCCTCTCCTCTTCTTAAGTTAGTCTCCCTTCTGCTTTCAAGTCACAGGAGAGAAAACGTGGTATTTATCTTTCTGAGGGTGGCTAATTTTGCTCAATGCGAAGATCTCTGGGGGAACTAATTTTGACTTCATTTTTTTTTGTTGTTGTTGTTTTTCAAGACAGGGTTTCTCTGTGCAGCTTTGCGCCTTTCCTGGAACTCACTTGGTAGCCCAGGCTGGCCTCGAACTCACAGAGATCCGCCTGCCTCTGCCTCCCGAGTCCTGGGATTAAAGGTGTGTGCTACTACTGCCCAGCTTTAAATTTAACTTCATTTTAAGTTTAGCCACATTAACAGAATTAGTTGTGTTTAGTTTGTACAATCTAAACATTTAAGACATTACAGCTTCAATTCTTATTGTGTAAGGAAGATAGCTAAAAATTCTATATAAATAATGCTAAGTCAGGGAGATTTAAAGCAGTTTAAATTTGCCTGTCTCAGAAATGTTAACAAGTTCTATATAATTTTTGGATTTAATAATACAGAGAGCAAAATTCCATAGACTTAGTTTTAAAATATTTTTATTAACTCTTTGAGATTTTGTACATTGTATTTCGTTTGAGTTCACACCGTCACCCATCTCATCCCAGATCAACTCCCCATTCCATCCCCACCCTACTTTGTGTCTTCATTTTTTTTTATTCTTCACAAAAGTACATTGAGTTCTGTTAGTGCTGCCTATGTACTCTTATATGTGGCCATCTGCTGGAGCATGCTAGACCTACAAGAGCCACACTCTTCAAGCAGTTAACTTTCCCTCTTCTGGCAGCCATTAATTACCAATAATTCCTCATCTAGTGGTGAAACTTCGTGCCTACCTCTCCCTCTCCATGCTGGGCTTTTGTCTGGCTTGAGCTTGTGCAGGTCTTGTGTATGCTGCCACAACCTCTGTGGGTCCATATTTGCAAATGTCTTCTTGTATCCAAAGCTGCCATGTCCTTATAGTCATCTACTGCCTTTGCTATTACAATCTTTCTGCCACCTCTTCTGCAGTGATCCCTGAGCCTTGGGAGGAGAGCGCTGTGATATAGTTGCTCTATTTAGGGCTGAGAATTCCACAAACAATTACTCTCTGAACCTTGACCAATTGTGGGAATCTGTGTTAATCACTATGGAATGCCAAAAGAAGCTTTAGACTGGAGAGATAGGTCAGTGGTTAAGAGCCTTGCTGACTCATGTTTGGTTCCAAGCACCCACATAGTAGCTCACAACCACCTGTAAACTATTGTTGTAGAGTGATCTGATGTCCTCTTCTGGTCTCTGTGGGCACATACATATGTGGTACACTTTAACATATATCCAGTCAAAACATCAGTACACATAAAATAAAAAAAAATAGGTCTTCAAAAAAAGAACCATTTCTGATGAGGTTTACGTGCTGCAGTAATCTGTGGGTGTAATGAGAAGTAGTTAGGAGCTAGTTTAATATTGTATTTTATTAGCAGAGTAATAGTAGATCACTCCTTTGATCCTATGATCTGTATAGTCACAGGTTTTTGGCTCTCATAACTGTGCCAACCGTGGGTTTCATCTGGTGGGGAGGGCCTTAAGTCCATGCAGAAAGTGGTTGGTTACTCCTATGACATCCATGCCACTATTGCGCCAGTGGGCATGTCTTGCAAGGCTCACTGTCATTGAGGTTTGCAGGGTCCACATCTGCATAAGCCTGGATTACTTTTTTCCTCCAGCAGCATGCATAGCACCTCCAAGAACTAGGAATATTAGCCAGTGGGAATGAAACTTCCATCCAGGTCATTACCAGTTTGATTTCTCCATGTTTTATGACTCAAGTATATGATAGAGGGTCTTAATGTCATGTTCTGGAGGGTGACCAAGAGCAATGACAATCTGTAGATAATATTTGGGCTCTCTGGGACCTCATTGGTTAACAATGAGGCAACATATTTCTAACATTGGGCCTTTTATTGTTAGCCTGTAGTATCTAGTAGGGGGTAACTCCATTAAAGTTCTTCTATATGTATGTTTATATTTTAGGAAGCTTTTGCAGTAGTAGATTTTAATGACTGTTTTAAGAAAGTTTTTAGTGTGAGTTATCTCTCCCCATGTTCCCTCCTTTGCCTTGCCTCCCATTCTCCACTCCTCTCCCCTATTCCCTCTTTTATTCTGTCTTCCCATTCCCTACCCCCATTTAACCATTTTTATTCATTATTCCCTGTATGTTACTGCATCCTATTTTCCCTCACTGGAAGCCTCACTTCCTGATGGTCCCCTACTAATTTCTTGACTTCTGTGGTTATTCCAAATGAGACACACACATCAGAAGATTCAAGGCTAACAACAGCCAACAAATTAGAGAAAATATGTGATATTTATCTTTCTGGGTCTGGGTTTCTTCACTCAGTTGTTAATAAAACTGCAACTATAAAATTTATGGGTAAGTGGTTGGAACTGGAAATAATCACTCCATAGATGTCTTTTTCATTTGTGTTTCTCTCTCACAATGGAATCACTTGCCAAATTTCTAATTGGAAGTTCATTCCTTCTTGCTTTTCACTGGGGACCTCATTAGTTATGCACAATGAGCATTTTCTGCCTCTCTGCAGATCTGCTCTGGCATGTGGGGAAGCTGAGCTAAAGCTCAATGTGGAAACAGTCTAGCACAGTCTTGAGATGTTTGTATTTCCTGTTACTTGTCTGTTAGGAACATTGCAAGTAAATACTTACAGAAACCTTTTAGATGACTTTATCTTTTAACATGCATTCACGACTTCTTTAGGAGTAAAGACCCCTATAGCAAACTCTTGTCAATAACTTAGCTTGCTATATTACTGTATTACTTTGCCTCCAGCTGACAAGGCTTTTCGAGACATGAAGGTGCTAAAGATGAGCCAGTCTATCATTGTGTCTGGAGAATCAGGAGCTGGCAAAACAGAAAATACAAAGTTTGTTCTAAGGTGAGTATTTAGCTGATCTGAACTGTTTTGAGCTGTCTGACATTATTTTTATGGAAAAGAAGTTGAACACTAAGTTTGTCGGCTTCCCATTTTGAAGTTCAGTGATGCCAAGCACATCCACATCATCACATTCATGTCATTGTGTTGTTTATATTCCTCATCTCATACAGCCTGGGACTGTACTCATTAAATAGTACATAAACAAAATATTACTCCTCCAGATGCTGTACTCATTAAATAGTACATAAATAAAACATTACTCCCCTAGAACCATTGTTCTCTCTTTTGGGTTTCTGTGAGTTTCTCTAAGTACCTTGTTTAAGCAGCATCATACAGTATTTATCTTTCAGTGACTTCCTTATCTCATTTAGTTCAATATGTGATTCACTCATATTTGAGCTGGTTATAGTGACATGTACCTATTTGTACACACACACACACACACACACACACACACACATACACACACACACACACACACGCTCAGCTTCTTGGGAGATTGAGGCAGAAAAATCACTTTTGTTTCAAGAGGATGGGAGCCTAGAGAACTTAGTAAGACCCTGACTCTTAAAAACTATATAATCACCCACGTTATAGTATGTGTCCTATGTTACAGTATGCATTAGAATTTTCTTCCTGAATTTTAGGGGTGAATAAATTTCATTGCAGAGATTTATTGTATTTGCTGTATTTGTACACGTATTGATAGTTAGTTGGGTTGTTTCTGTCACTTGGTCATTGTGAATAGTGCAGTTTTGAGTGTGTGTGTGTGTGTGTGTGTGTGTGTGTGTGTGTGTGTGTGTGTGTAATGACAAAGTATTTAAGAAGATTGACTTTTAATACCATTGCACACCTCATGGAATAGTTTGGAAGAAACAAACATCTTATATGGAAGGCAATCTCTACTTGTAGAAAGCTGGCTCTGATATGTTATTTCTTGGAGGATTCTGTAAGAAGTTATTGCTAGCTAGGCAATGAGAAACCTAGGAATGTTCCTCCAAAATCCAAATGGACATTCTATTCTCCATGCTGGCGCTATGAAATAGCTTCGAAACTACTTTTTATTTAGACTTCTTCTTACCCTTCTCTCGTCAGATCCCCTTTTCTACCATTACAGTAAACTCTCCACGCTTGGTATATAATCATAACATTTTAAAGTGGAAAGAGCATTACCACAGGACTATAGTTTCGTTCTTTTAATTTAAATACTGTGAATTTAAATTAAGTTAAATTTGAATTTAAGTTAAGTAGTTATTGAGATACTTATGTAAATCTAGTTGAAAATTTGTTAAAAATCAGAATATTTCCAAACAGCTTAAAATATAATTCCATGGCCTTCATGTGCCCACACAAGATATAAATAAATAAAAATATAAATAAAACATAAATAAAAATATAATAAAAAGTTAAAAACATTGCTAAACAGTTACAATGATGACCCATGTTTCAGTTTGATATGTACTAAATAGTAAATTTATAAATATTTTGTTCTCATTATTATTCAAGTTTTTTTTTAATCCTGTATTTTAAATAGATACCTGACAGAATCTTATGGAACTGGTCAAGATATTGATGATAGAATTGTTGAAGGTATTGTTGATTTTTATTTTTTAATATTGAATATCTCTGAAGTTAACTTATAAAAATCTTATCTGTGGTCTACAGTGCTTTCCTCCCAGAGGTGTAAGGGACTTTCCATCTCCTATAAACCTTTGCTCAAATACTACCTTCTGTTGTCTTTCTCTGCTCTGGAGGCTTGTCTCCTAGATGATTCTAGATCCTGTCAACTTGTCAATCAAAAGTAAAACCATGACAGTGGGTAAACATTTAACACTTGTGGAATTTGACATTACTTCCATAGTAATATTCTTCCATATGAATATTTCTAAAAGCACTTATTCCATCATTTTCTTCAAAATTTTTTCCCTCTGGAGATTTATATGTATATTGCTTAATAATTTTTCTTCATGCCTTTCTTGTGATTTTTTTGATGAAGTATTTTCATTTCTTTTTCAATAGCTAACCCACTTTTAGAAGCTTTTGGAAATGCAAAGACTGTTCGTAACAATAATAGCAGTCGATTTGGAAAATTTGTAGAAATTCATTTCAATGAAAAGGTAAATGAAAGTTGCTTTTGGGATACATTTGGGAAGTGTTGTGGTAGGTGTAAGGGTCTTATTAGAATTAAAATCAGTACAGTTCTTTGTAAGATTATTATTGTAATTATTATGTGTGTATGGTTGTTTGTATTTACAATGACTTTGTAATTTCTATTCAGTTTAAAATCAAAATATTGGATTTGACTGCATTATCAATCGTAGATTTGTAGATAATTCTTTCTTATATTTGATTCTTTTGTTGTTTTGGTAGCATGTAATAATGTACATGTTCATGGGGTGCAGCATGATATATATAGTGATATGTATATCTGTGGATATGTGTAGTCTGTAATGATCACATCTGAGAAGTTAGTGTCTTGTCAGCATGAAGTGAGTGTGATGGCAATCTGAGAGCTCTTCAGCAACTGTCTGTGGGCTACTGTGGACACGGCCCACTACCAAGTCAGTTCTGATTCGGCAGAGGCTCAAAAGGTAGAAAGGATCAGGGTGGAGATCAGATAACAGTGTTTAAAATGACGGCTGAATTGTAAAAATACTCAAAGCTTACATTTTAGTTATTTCTTTGCAGTAGTTGGTAAATATTTTAATTTCTTATTAAAATATTTATTTTATTATATTTATTAGAAAAGATTAAATTAACATTAAGTTATATTTCAATCCCGTAGATGCAAAAATGTGTTTTCTCTTTTGTCTTTTAGAGTTCAGTTGTTGGAGGATTTGTTTCTCATTATCTCCTAGAGAAGTCTAGGATCTGTGTTCAAGGCAAAGAGGAGCGGAATTATCATATTTTTTATAGGTTGTGCGCTGGGGCTTCAGAAGACATTAGGGAGAAGCTTCACTTGAGTTCCCCAGATAATTTTCGGGTAGGTTGAAGGAAAATACATTTTATACAAGGTTTGCAAATTGTTTATCCTCTCAGTGTTAAAACTCACTGTATTTTGATACCTAGTTATATTTGTACATAACTTACATGAAGGTCAAGTACAGTGGGCTTTCTGAATCTGCAGATTTTACATCTTAGGCTTAACTAATCATGAATTGAAAATATTGGGGATGATGAAGAATACATCTATACTGAGCATCTATTATTTCCTTATTATTTTTACTAAACAACAAGGAATAATATTCCTTCACAGAGTGTTTACATTATAGAAAGGATTATAAATAATTTCCATGTAATTTGAAGTATTTGATAGGCTGTGTGTTTGCAGATCATATACAAGTGTATTGCTGTTTTAAAGGGTTTGCAAACTTTGGTATCTAGTATTCAGAAGGGGCCAAGGCTTTGATCCTCTTGCCACCCCTCATACCTGAGATGATGTGTTAGAATTATAGTCTTGCTGGTGAAATCTCTATTGAGATATATATTGTAAGTCTATCATGAGTTCAATATCTCTAATATAAAAACCCTAAATCTCAAGCACTACGAAGTCTGCCTCTTTGTAGTTTTAGATTTGTGATGCTCAGCTGGAAAATAAAAGCTTATGCAAATACTCTGAAATCTGAATTACTTTTTCAAAATACTTGAAACAAGTGATTCTCAACATGTGTAATTCAGGAGGTAAAAGGACAGATGTTTAAAACCTTATTAATTTAAATCCAATTAGAAACTTACAAGGTTTTGTAATACTAGCCTTAAAATTATCTTTAGTGTAGCTGTAAAAACTTCTATCACTGAACCAATATTAAAAAGAGTGCGTCATTATATCCCTTGGTTCAATTCAGCAATAATTACTTATTGCTCAGTTATTAGGTGGTAGACATTGTGCCAGAATTAAAAGATAAATAAGGCATTATCTTGTTCCTAGGCAACGTAGAATGTGGTGGAAAATGCACACATTGTCTGACTGCTTTGCTGAATAGTAAGAAATTATACTTGCCTGCCCCACCCCCAATGCTGTGATAATTAGGGATTTGAAAATCCTAGTGGAAGAATTGATTACTTGAAAGAATGCTGGTGTAGGGCTGGAGAGGTGGTTCCACAGTTAGGAGCAGTGGTTGCTTTTGCAGAGGACCTTGGTTCAGTTCCCAGCACCCACATGGCGGCTCACAACCCCCTGTATTGCCAGTCTGAGGGAATTTGACATCCTTTTCTGACCTCTAATTCTCAAGTTAATTGGAATTTGAAGTTAATTGCTTATCATATCTTCATGAAAACAGAAGAGACATTTTTTTTTTCTTGATTTTTTTTAGATTTTGCCAACACTTAGCTGGCTAGAAAGTAAGGTGACTGCTATGGTTTTAATCTAGTATTTCTTTTTGCTTGGAGGCTTGTGTGCATAGCATTTCAGTCTCAGAAGTTACAGCCTTTCCCTGAACACTGAGGGGCATTTTGCAAGGGCAGCTACCAAAAGTAACCAAAGGCTTTCCTGCCTTGGTGGTATGAACCACCAGGATGGATTTCATTTCCTCTAGGGCAGTCCCAGTGGTGGCAGGAGAGAAATCAGGGGACATGCATATGCCATTTTGGACATTCCTGTCATGTTACAAACAACTATACCTTTATCCCATTCCCCAAATAATTCAGTCTAAGTGGTATGAAGGTGTTTTGATAATTTCATCAGTTTTTTTTGTTATATTCTGTCCTTATAATTTACTAATCAAGTTGTAAACACAAAGGAGTAGCATGAACACTTTAAAAAATGGTTGAACTTTATTTTGTCATTACTTTATCCAAACTGATTTATAATTTAGAGATTAACATATTTGTATTAACTATACATGTATCCTGCAAAATAAAGTTAAAAATGCTCAACGTTATTGTAAATTTAAAAATCCTTTTTACACATTTTTCTGGAAGCATTTTTTGCGGTCAGGCAAAAATCCTGGAATATAAAGAAAGCTTTCATAGACTGACAATAGATGGCAAGAATAGGCACCGACTTCTTATAATAGCAAAACTGGAAGAAATAGTCTCTTTTCTAGATGTTTAATGTTTTTGCAATTCTTGAGATTAACCCCAGGGCCTTATGCATACTAGGTTAATGCTGGGTCACTAAGTTTCACCTTCAGGTGTCTAGTTTTTGCTTGTTTGCGTTAGGCAGAGGTTCATTATGAGCCCTGGCTGAACTTGAATTCACTGTGTAGTCATATTCTTTCCCCATGGAGCCTGTGTTAATTATACCATCAATTCTTCATCTCAGTATTTAAACCGAGGCTGCACTAGATACTTCGCTAACAAGGAAACTGACAAGCAGATTTTACAGAACCGAAAAAGTCCTGAGGTACAGTAGATTATTTTTTTAATTAAAACCCTTAATTTAAAAATATTGCCGATAGATATGTCTTTATTTTGGAACTTCTTGCTTTCAGGTTTATGGTTTTTTTTTTTTTTGCCTCAGGTTTATGTTTTAAAACAACATGATGATCCAAGTCTCTCTTGTAGTGTGATGCTCTAAACCACTGTCACATAGAGAACAATAGACTCTTGTTCTTCTTGGGCCCAAATACATTGCTTTTCTCATGTTCTTTCTTGAATTTCTATGCTATGAAACTGCTTAAAAATCATCATATTTTAGCAGCTTACTCTGATATTACTATTAGTAGTTAAGTGTATTTATCAGTAAGCTTTCTACTGCTGTGACAAAATATATGAGCAGTTACCTTGAAGTGGGGAAGATTTACTTTTGCTTATGACTTTGTATTTCAGCCCTTGGTTAGTTGTAACAGGCTTTCTTTGGGCCACCAACCGTCTATCCAATCAAGACATGGAGACTCTATATTAGTTATGAATTCTTGGCCTCAGCTTATGTTTGTCTCACAAGCTCTTTTAACTTAAATTAACTGATTTCTCTTCATCTATGTTTTACCTTGGGCCTTTTTACCTTTCTATCATTTTGTATGACCTACTCCATGTCTGGCTACCTGGCCGCTGCCTGGCTGACTGGCTGGCCCCAGGTGTCTCCCTCTCTTTGTTTTTAGTTCTGTCTTCTCTGGAACCTAGTAGATTCCTCCTACTTTCTCTTTCTGGCCACCAGCGCTGCCTATCCCGCTACTGCCTTGCTATTGGCCATTCAGTTATTAGACCAATCAGGTACCTTAGGCAGGCAAGGTGAAACAGCAACACATCTTTATATAATTTAAACAAACGCAACCTAAACAAAACAACACACCTTTACATAATTAAACAAATGCAACATAAACAAATTGTAACACACATTTACATAGTTAAAGTAATATTTCACAACAGTTAGTGGTCTCCATGATTCTGGGCCAAGGTGAGGGATAATTCACAGCAGAGGGCAGGTGTTTAGGTAAAACTGCTCACCTCATGGTGGCTGGAAGTGAGTGGGAGGTGAGGTAGAGGAAAGAGAGAGGCTGTGCATCAGGGACAAAGTAAAGACCACAAGACCCCTAGTTCAGTCAGTCAAATTTCCAGCACTTACTAATAACCCATCACATTTTGAGACCATCAATGGATTAATCTATTGACAAGGTGAGAGTCTTCATGATCCAGTCACTTCCCCAAAGCCATTCCTTTGAATACTGCTGCACTGGAAACCAAGTCTCCCACACATGAGCCTTTTGAGGAACATCTCGGTAGAAAGCATAAAGTATGCTTTTTCATGTGTTGTCTACAGAAGAGAGGGTTGAAATAGACAGTAAATACCTTAAGCATTCTTGTGAAAGGCTGTTCATGTATTATAATTTTGCTGTATCAACCATATATCTGGAATATATTATACAGTTTTATATATTTTGGTCTCATTAATCTAATAATTATGTAATTATTATTTTAAAATATTAAATGTTTAAGAATTTTAAACTTTTAGAAATTTTAACCCACAGAATTCAAATAATCAGTTGTATTGTGTCTAAACAACACACTTAAGTTAAATCAGGATTAGTTATTGGTATTAGTTAATCTTGACTATTATTTTTAAAAAATATTTATGTCAGTTGAATAACTTTTTACTGTTAGCAGTTTTTAATGGTTCTGCACTTGCCAATCAGATGTTTTGACTTTAGTCAGACTGGGTAAGATAAATTATGTGTAAAATGCATTAATATAAATGTATAGAAGAAAATAAAATTATCATTTCAAATTATGAACACATGGAACTACAGTTAATACTTGTTTAATTTGATACTTTGCATGTTGTTTTAGACAGAGCTATCTGAATTCTGGGTAAATTTTATGTCCTAGCCACAGCTGAGACTTTTGGAAGCAGCATCAAAGTTTATTACAGCATTTACTTTACTATGTCTTAAAAAGACTATGTTTTTTTTTTTTTTTTTTTTTTTTTTTTTTTTTTTTTTTGGTTTTTCGAGACAGGGTTTCTCTGTGTAGCTTTGCGCCTTTCCTGGAACTCACTTGGTAGCCCAGGCTGGCCTCGAACTCACAGAGATCCGCCTGGCTCTGCCTCCCGAGTGCTGGGATTAAAGGCGTGCGCCACCACCGCCCGGCAAAAGACTATGTTTTTATAAGATGCCATCAAATATATAAATTGCAGTCTTTCCACTAAGATAATCAAAGCACATCTGGGACAATTGCAGTGGTCCTGTAGGGAAAATAAATAAAAAAATGCAAAAGCGTAGGAAAAAGCAATAGGGAGAAAACAAAGCCTGTGTTTACCCTCCAAAGAGTAGCATGCCCCCTGCTAGAGAAGAAAACACCACCTTTCCATAGTTTAGAGTGAGAATGCTTTATCAGAAATCTTATATCACTGAAAAAGAATGTGCATGTGTATAATATATAAAGGTGAACAGTGGACTAATATATCTAAATTACTTTTTATGTCTTCTTTGTCAGGAGGATGAGGTGATCATTTTGACTAATTAAACCCTTTGCTTCATTCTGTCTGGGTGTCTTCATGCTGTGTGCAAATTTTAGGAGAATGCAGTATTTTCAGTCTGCCGTGAAGCAAATACGTTCCTGAAGTCTGATCAGAAAACAGCGTTTAAATGCTGCAGATGCTCAGCTGCGAGACTAAAAATTCTGCATGATAGTGTTTCTTCAAACTTTGCATGTGATTGTTGCTTTTGCTTCTTTTAAAGAATAAAATAGAATTCCATTTTCTAGACATTTTCCGGAAATCTGGCACACACTCACACATTTAAAGCACCTTGTGAAAAGCAGGCAGACTGTTAACTTGAGAAATAATTGCATGCTGGGAGAAGACAACATCAGACAGCTTTAATCCTCATTAATTCTGATGCTGAGTTTCCTTATTTTAACTTTAGCTTTTAGTGCTCTGGTTCTGGAAAATTCCTAGATCAGTTTTTCTGTGTCCAGTAACTTCTCTTTTTGTTACTTCTTTTTGCTTTGCAGGCCTGACTTCCTTCACTCTCTGTCTGAGTTTGCTAGATCCTAACATATGAATGCTTGAGATACAAATTTTTCTAGGAGAGAAAACCAGTTTCTCTCTTTCTCGCTTTCTCTCGTTTTTAATCCAGAAAGCCATTACATGCATTCCTGGAGTTACCCTAATGTGTAGTAATCCACCTCATCTCATACATACAACATAGAAAAGTTACAGGATTGCTTGTCAGGCCATGGAGATGCTGTTGCCTTGTCTGGATTTGCTTCTGTTTATATTGATGTAATTGTCAGTAGTTAAACTAGTGCCAAGCTTATTGGCACATTAAATTCTTTATTACAATTCTTTTCACTTGTCCTCTTTTTTCATATTTATTTTTAATTGACAAAATTGCATATATTTGTAACCTGCATGGGTTAGCATGAAACATTTTCTCATTGTATAATTATAGATTAACCGAGTCAGATGAGTGAACTCATCCATTACCACTTTATTTCTCTTTGATCTGAGGCTGTTGCTTCATTTCAGCCAGCCACCCTTTCCCCTTTCACTAATTTATATTTATCTAACATCCTAGACTCACAATACTTTAGCATTAGCATCATACTTTAACTGCAAAACACCTTATTCCATTGTTTTAATTCAAGTTTTTATTGAAAGAATTGTAGATTCACATGAAGTTTTAAGAAATAGCACAGAGAATCCTTGCATACACTTTATGTACCATTCTATCCTTAAACATATTCCAAAGCTTACATTTTTCTGTTGACAGATTTTGTTTTTGCATGTCGTATATTGCATTAACAGGCCTGCTGGTATAGCTTTTAGTTGAATTGAGTGGCATGAAAACCAGTCAGTTGATACCTTCTTGTTTTATAGTATGTTAAGGCAGGTTCCCTGAAAGATCCTCTGTTAGATGACCATGGAGACTTTATTAGGATGTGCACAGCCATGAAAAAGATTGGTTTGGATGACGAAGAAAAACTTGATCTGTTTCGAGTCGTAGCTGGTGTCCTGCACCTTGGAAATATTGATTTTGAGGAAGCCGGAAGCACTTCAGGTTGTTCCTTAAGTTCTTAACTAAAGAATAAAATTGAGTATAATGCTTGTCATCTCCTAGCCATATGAATATTCAGTCATTTGTGTGTACGTTTGTTGAAATTATAACAAATTTCTGGGACATTCTCTGTTACATGGTGATTTGACAGATGAAGAAATAGGTTTGAATAAGTTAGTAGCTATTATATGGTTTGTACTTAAAAAATTCCAGCTAATGTTTACTTTTAATAGTTAATGGAATAATTCTCTTATCTGTTAATATCCATTTTTACTTTTTCTATTTCATAGATCTAAACTTGAATCAGATAATTGGGGTAATTTAATATACAGCAGCCTATCCTTCTTTAGTGGGAGATAAAAATAAAAGTTTCATTCTTATGGAAGTTGAAAAGTATTTAAACCCAACCAAGATAGTACCTTTTCAGTTTTAATGTTTCCATTTCTATATAAACAATAAGACTTTTTATATATTTGCAAATTTGTACCCAAATATAGAATTGACAAATGTAGCCCATCACCTGTTTTTATAAATAAAATTTTAGTGGAATATAGCTACTTCCATTGTCTATGTATTGTTTATCCCAGTGTGCATACTCCAGTGGCAAAGCTGTGCTCCTCAGAGACTTTGCCCTATGAAACCAAAAATATTTACTACCTGCTTCCTTAGAATAAAACGTTTACTAGCCCTGCATTAATACACTTTTCTAGAAACTTACACCAAGGATGCATTAAGAGTCTGAAGCATCACTTAATACAGCAGCCAATGCTATGGGCTTTGGTGTCAGATCTCACAGACATAATCATTTGCAAAATGAGATAATCTGTAAGTGCTTTTAAAAAGTACAATTCCTAGTAATAGTATATGTATAGAAAGGGGCCCTCAGAGAAAGACAGAAGGACTATTTAAGAAACAATGTGTTAGGCTCAAGTCATCAGTGTGGATGGAGGACTTCCCTCTCTCTCACCTGTTCCATCCCTCCCTCTTTTTAAAATTTAAAGGTTTTTTTTTTATTTAAATGTATGAGTGTATGCACACTACATGTGTGCCTGGTACCCATAAAAGCCATAAGAGGGTATCAGATCCCATGGAACTGGAATTACAGGCAGTTATGAGCCACTTTGAGGGTACAGGAAATGGAACCTGGGTTCTCTGAAAGAACAGAAAGCACTTAATCATGGAGCCATCTCTCCAACAACCTCTCTTGTGCTTTTGGAGACAGGTCTCATACAGCCTAGGCTGGCCTCAAAGTGATCTTTCAGCCTCCACCTCCCAAATTCTGGGATTACAGGTGTGTACCATGATACCCAGCTTTGCTTAGCTTTTTTTTGAGGCCCTAAGTTTGATCCCAAGCACTGGAGGGAAAATGTCTTCTATGCAAAAAATCCTTCATAATCATAATTGAAACATAAAAATGATGAGCTAGGAGGTACCTCTGTTTTGCAGATATGGAACCTGCACAGTGGTACTGAGCATGGCTACTATTGAAGTAGTAGACAGGAGAGCCTGGTTGTAGTCATGTCTAACTGGCGGAGGAGATTGTATTATTATCTCTCATGACCTTCGGTCCACTGAGCCTTGTCATCTGTGAGTGAGCAGACTAAGATAGACAATCTTCAATGACTTTCAGATCTATTGTCCTGTGATCTGTGAAGTCAATAATGTTGGACACAACATAGTGTAATGGATGAGCACATGACTGTCAATCAAATTGTTTCATCGTGTGCTATCTGTTTGTGTGACCTTGTCCATCCTGTGTCTTAGCTTCCTCCCTATAAAGAGATAGTAGGCCCCAACTCATGCCATGAAGAGAAGTCAATGAGATAAGTATTTACAAGATGTTTTGAATACTGGTGTTTGGCAGATAGTAAGTGAACAAATTAAATAATATATAGACTATTATTCACTGAAATGATGCATTAAAAATTAGGTACTTGGAATATGCATTACTCATCTTTAAAGTTTTTAAAAGAGGAATTGGAAATTTTCCTTTGAAAATATGTTTCAAGATATATTTCGTTTATATTTTAGCATTGTTATAGGAAGGGAGCTTGTGGGAGAGGGTAAATAATACACAAAAATAATTTAAAGTGTAGAATAGTCGACATCCATGGGAATGTTAGACATGTGCTGAGTGGCACTTTCCTGTCTCTTACTACTGACTCAAGGAAGGACATGCAGCTCTATAGTATATCCTAAATGTCATGTGACTAGCTGAAGCATGCTAAGTGATCAAAATGGACATAGTCTGTGCTTGCTTTCTCTCTTACTTAAAAAAAGTACTTTCTGTTGTGAGAGAAAAAAAAAACAGAATGCAGGAGAGATTGGGGTGAGATAAACAGATAATTTTTATTTTCATAGATAAACTTTTGTTGTATTAATCTTCATTTTTTTCCATGACTTCCCATGGATCCAAATCATTTCCTGCTAATTAAAAATGAGGTGTTCTTTTTTTCTTCTTCCTAGAAAATTTAACTTTGGATTGCCATAGTGACTTGCAGAGAAACCCAGTACCTTTGTAATGATTTTAACATAAAGTTAATTCTCCAATAAACATTTGTAAGGCTCCCCAATATTATAAAACTGTTTTATTTAGTGGCAGTATAGAAAATACTTCTTAAGATTAACTGTGTTTTAAAAATCCCATGTAACAAATATGTATGCCGTAACAGTAAAAATATCACAATAAACAACACAACAGTAATAAAAACATTTAGAGAACATTTTTAGGGACTAACATGAATGCTCTGTATTATTTTAAAGTTTTTGCTCTTCCAAGATTAAAAAAGTTCCTTATGTTGACCTACCATGCTCTTGTAAGAAATGCTGTAATATGATTTTTAAAAAAAGGAAACATTTAAATAAACGAATGGATTCCTAATGGTCATGTTTTTGTGTAATTTTAGTGTAGACAGGTCAGAGAAAGGGATTATAGTCCTGGTGAGGATGGCGGGAGAGCCTGTCACATTGTTCAGATGGATGCACAAGTTAAAACTTAGGAATTGTTTATTTCTGCACATTTCCAGAATAGTTTTGCCTCAAGTTGGCAGCAGGTAACAGAAACTGTGGATGAATCTGCTGCCAGGGAGGGTCTCTAACACTGTGGATTCGCCCCAGGTTAGGGTTTTCTGTTTAACTTGTTAGTAGGGATCTCCAACAAGGATGGAAAAAAGTGATCTGGGTTTGAAAGTTAGAAATGATCCTCATCTATCCCATAATACTACATAGGTGAAGAAGATTCTAAGAAATGAATCTAGAAAACCTCGTTTAACTCGTGCGTATTAATTTCACATTGAAACATTTCCATTAGGTGGCTGTAACCTGAAGAACAAATCTGCCCCATCGTTGGAGTATTGTGCTGAGTTGCTGGGATTGGACCAAGATGATCTGCGAGTCAGTTTAACCACGAGAGTCATGCTCACCACAGCAGGGGGCACCAAAGGAACTGTTATAAAGTGAGTTCGAACTCGTTGCTCCTGCCTTGTGCTTTGTCAAGGAAGAACGTGTATTTTGAAAACACTGAGATTTGAGGTCAATGTTTATGTATCGTTCATTCTTCCCATTTGTATGTTCAAGCTACGCTTGATAGATCAAAATTCTGTGCTTCCAGCGACTCCAGTTCCCCACAGAGATGAATGGGGTTCTCCATGGAAGTGGTGTGTGCTTGAGCGCCTACTAAGAGAGACTCACTTTATAAGAGCATCCACTTCACACTTATTTTTCATTTGGAACGACCCTGTCTCAAAAACCAACAACTGAAAATTACAACACGTTCTTTTCTACTGATACAGCATTTTAAATTAATGAAGTTGCCCATTTATTTTTCAATGCCACTCATATTTGGGTGGGTCTTCCCGCTTCAGATAATCTCACCAAGAAAATCCCAACAGGGTGTGCTGCAGCTCACGTTGTAGTTGATTCCAGATGCAGTCAAATTGACAGCTGTGATTATCCATGTGCTCTGTCTGATATTTTTATTTTATTTATTTTGTGTGTGGTGGGGAGATGAGACATACATGTGCCATGGGACATGTGTGGAGGTCAGAGGACAACTCTGACCAGAGGAACTCGCTCTGTAGACCAGGCTGCCCTCAAACTCACAGAAATCCACCTGCCTCTGCCTCTGGAGTGCTGGGATTAAAGAATTGTGTGCCACCACCACTGCCCGGCTCATACTTGAATAATTTTTAAAGTCACTAAAAAATTGAACATTTTTTGTGTTTTCCCATGGTACTCGATACTTAGGATCTAGCATGGCATTTGGAAATTCTCTTCTGTGATACTCTCTTTTTATTAGACTCTAATTTTACTGAGGAAAATAGCTTGCCCATCATCCCATATAGTTACTACATATAGGAGTTAGAAAATTCAAATTTTAAGATGTCAGTATTTTTTTCTAAGTTAAATAAGTTACCAAACTTTTAAGTTTTCCTAAATTAAACAAAATTTATTTCATATTTTAGAAAAGTGAAATAGGAAAATTATTTTTCTAAATAATTTTTGTATGTTTAGTGTGTAAAGTGTGGTATAGATGAAGGTTAAAATGATTTTTAAGCCATTTTTTTGCCCGATAGTATATTTTAGCCTAATTTTAATTAATTGTTTTAGTTTGTCTCTTGTAATTTTATTCCTATTTTCTCTCTGCCTGCTTATCTGAAACTTGGCAGCTGTCCCTCATAGCCAATATGTCAGATATGCTTTGACTTTATGTGTCCAGCATCATTTTTACAGTCTGTCGCTTTAAGGACTTTGCATTGGAATATTCTTTTCTCCCCACTAGGGTCCCTCTGAAAGTGGAGCAAGCAAACAATGCCCGTGATGCTCTGGCAAAGACTGTCTATAGCCATCTTTTTGATCATGTGGTAAACAGAGTGAATCAGTGTTTTCCTTTTGAAACATCATCTTATTTTATTGGAGTCCTGGATATTGCTGGTTTTGGTAAGTATTGTTTCTTTTGTTAATTTGTATTTGATATTTTTGACAAATATAAAAATGTTTTTTCTAAAGCTGTTGTGTTAGCCTTTCTCATTGCTATGACCAAATACAGGAAGAAGCAAAAGAAGCAACAGCCAGTTTATCCTGGCTTGAGGTTTCAGGTTTCAGTCCACCCTGGTGGAGCAGGGCTGCTCATAGCCTGAAGGCCAGGAGGGGAGGGAAAAGGGGGGGGAGAGAAGAGGGAAAAGGGAGGGGAAAGAAGAGGGAAAAGGGAGGGGAAAGAAGAGGGAAAAGGGAGGGGAAAGAAGAGGGAAAAGGAGAGGGGAAAGGAGAGGGAAAAGGAGAGGGGAAACAGGAGGGGGAAGGGGAGGGAAAAGAGGGTATGACTATATTTGGTAGATTTCTGATCCAGTCTTGTTGCACCTGGACCCCCAGCCTCTAGGATGGTACTTCTCACATTCAGGGTAGGACTTTTCTGTTTGTAGCGCTCTCTGGAAGACCCTCACTAGAGGTGTGCTCTAACAGTTTTCTAGGCACTTATCCATCTAATTGAGTTGACAGTCAAGGTGAAGTATCCCAACCTTTGACACACTTGATTTATTTTCTTTATATGTTCATGTCTGCATTTCACTGCAGCTTCCAGAGGAAGCTGATTAGTGCTAAAATGAAAACGTGTTCCTCTAAACTGCTACAGTTGAGAGGTCTCCATCTTCATGGATGAGTACAGATGAAATAAAGATAAACTGAGTGCTGCTGCTAAGCACAATAAAGTTGGGACATAGTTCAGAAACAGATAAACTCCCATCACTGATAAGATTTCATAATCATTAGACACTTTTTAGCATGGCACACATGTTCAGAGTTATAAAATTATAGAGCCTCATGGATCTTAGATATAATCCAACCCTTGACTTGAGGACACATTACTATCATTGCATTTTTTGGTAACGGATTAAGCGGGAAAAAAAATCTCCTAAAAGCACATGAATTTTAAATCATGTTTATATTTTAGGTTGTTTTAGTACCTGTGCTTTAGAAATTTGTGTTAGAGAGAAATGAGTTCTAACATTTTAATTTTTCACATCAGACACTTTTTTGTTCTGGTAGAACAAGGTATTTCTGATACCTAAGTGTAGTACCTGACAAAGTATGTTTTGAGTTAAGGACATTTTTGGGGATGGACGCAGAACAAAGAATTTCATGTAAACCCAATTTTAAATCAAAGCATCAACATCCTGGGATAAATTAATGAGCGTCGTTGGATGGTGACAACTCTGCTCTGGTTTTGTTTTCAGAGTACTTTGAGCACAACAGCTTTGAGCAGTTTTGTATTAACTACTGCAATGAAAAGCTTCAACAGTTTTTTAACGAAAGGATCCTGAAGGAGGTGAGTAATGTCATCATTTAAATTTAAGATCTGTATTAAGCGGTTTAAATCCAAGGAAGACAATCATGCTGCAATTACCCTGACTGATGGAGTCTGTCATGAAGTGGCCCAGTGGTCCAGCAGGTGATAGCCGCTCAGTTTGGGGCCCTTGGAAGAGTGGACAGGCAGTTTTGCAGAAGGGAGCGTCGGTGATTTCCTACCAGTGGCTTTCATTAGTAAACTCAGCTCGTGTCTTTCATTGTGACTTGCTTGTCTCTGTTTCTGCCACTGCTAAAGAGCTTCCTCCTCTCACCTCTGGCCTTGGCCTCTCTTGTCCTTCCAGGGTCTGCTTCTGTTTGCTTGCCCGCTGTTTGCCCTCTCCCTGTGTGCCGCTAAGCCACTAGTCAGGAGCTTTTGAGCAGCTTACCTGTTGCCAGCACTTTTCCTTCTGGGCTGTCTTGTGGGCTGCACACTGCTTTTGAATGGCCTATCTTTGACTGGCCGCTATTTCTTCTCTGGGAAGGAACTCCCTCTGCTCTCAGCATATAATTCTGGGCATGGCCGACATTCAGAATACCAAGTTAGACTAGATAAAGTTATTTTATGATCCTTTACAGTTTATTCAAAGCAAAGATAGCTTTGGATAAGTTGGTTTGTTCCCAGGCTCATGCTTTTCTCCCTTAAAGCTGAATTCTCCCATGATTTCTCCCACTCACTTGGCTTTCCTTTTTCTGTACCATCCGGGATGGGTTTGGCTGATTGAAAAAGCTGGAGTAGAGGGACTGGGAAGTTTATCCAAGACAGCCCTTCTTTGTTCAGATGTGGAAGGCAGGTCCGAGGGCATTTGCCAGCTGCTCTAGGCTTTACTCTCCTTCCCGCGGTTGGCCCACCCTGTACCTCCTTTGTACCAGCGTTGCCATTCCTGAGATTTGAGCTGAAATATGCAGTGTTCTGTTTTCCCCTCATTCCCATCTCATCTGTTTTCTCCCAAAATTTGATTGTTTTTGTCTTTGCAGGGTTTTTGGCACATCACAGCTTTGGTTCATTTTTAAATAGCTATAGTTAGTCAGTTGTTGCATACACAGATGAGCAGTACTTCCCTGTAAGATGTGTCTATGCTCTGTTCAGTGGCGTTAGTCCTTCCCACATGCATGCTTGGTTTTTAACATGCCATTATGCTTTCCTTCATACCCGCCCAGCTCACACTCTGTGGAGAAATAGGAACCATGTAGAAAGGGTACACTGTCTTGATTTATGTTTGCTTTTATTACAGGCTTTAAAATATACACACGAATTTCAAATTCAGATTGGGTCCAAGTTGACAGTGCCTTCTAGAATGTGAGGAAACTTCCCTGGTATAGGATGTGAGAAGAAATATTTAACCATTGAGGGGAAAAATTATGTTAGAGCACATTAACTTAATTTCAATGTATGGGTTACCCATATGATAAAAACTTAATTATTTTAAGAAGATACTGACTTTACATATAGGGAGTATTTTAATTGAGATATTAATGATGTATTATCTTCCTAATTATATATATTATTTTGTTGTGGAGTCTCTGCATCCATTTGAAGTTATGTGCTATTTTCCTGGTTTTAGTACTTGGCTACAAGTATTCAAACTTGGTTCCATCTTCAGGAAACCATTTAGGGCTATACCTGTTGGTAAAGCATTTACATTTTAACTGGTAACTCTTATGTAGAAATGACACCAAACACAGGTGGCATTTTATGTTGCACGGTATTTCCATATTGATGACTATAATATTTGATTCACAGGAACAAGAACTCTATCAGAAAGAGGGCCTGGGTGTTAATGAAGTGCATTACGTGGACAATCAGGACTGCATAGGTATGGATACTGTGAGTCTGCCTTTGGGAAGCATGGGAGAGACCATGTATTTGCTGGGAATGTCTCTGTGTTCCATGGTTTGGACACTAGGTATAGACTTGGGACTGGGGTGTTGCGAGGTGGACTTTCTTAGTACTCCTTGCCGGTTATGTTTCCTGGCAAGGCATTTTGTCAGCTTTGTTGAAAGTTTTCCTACAATCTCTGTTTCTTGGGGTATGCATTTCCTAGTTAGGAGGCTGTTTTGTGAACTAGGTAAGAGGGGAGCACCACTACTCAGGTGGCAAGCAGACAGCTGTGTCATCTCCTATGACGACGTTTGTAGTTTAGTGAGATTTGCCTCGCCTCTTGGTTCTGTCTTCTGCTGTGGATTGGCTGTTTCTCTCACTAGCTGCAAGCTGGATTTAGACATTCCATGTTAAATCTAGATAGTACCGTGTAACAACAGAACAGGGCCTCTGCTTTTCTTTGATCTCATCAATAAAGAAACCTTTACCTACTGCCTTCCAGCTAGCTCTGTCGATGTTTGTTTGTTAGTTTGTGTGGATGTTTTGCCTGCACGTATGTCTGTGAACTACATTCATGCCTGGTGTCCACAGAGGCCAGAAGAAGGCATCTGATCCCCTGGGACTGAAGTTAAAGATGGTTGTAAGCTGCTGTGTGGGTGCTGGGAATCAAACCCAGGTCCTTTCAGTCACCGAGTCATCTCTCTATCTCCCATCCTGTTTCTTTTCTTTCCCACCCCATCTCTGAAATGAAGTGTTTGGCAAGTCTGGGAGTTGAAAACCCAATTTGATAGTCGAGTCAATAACTCATATGCTAGACTTGGACAGCACAATATAGTTCAGCATCACTTTGTACCAGTGCAGCCTTCCAGAGGCTTCCTTTGTGCCCTGGTCTAGTCAGCATCCCTTAGCCTCTGTGACTCTTCTCCCCTCCGGGTCTTGGCTGTGGGGTTGTTAATCTTGCTGGAATTTCTCCCCCTCTGTTGATCTTTTGCCCCACTTCCATCTCATTCAGTACTTACTGAAATACTTTCATTTACAGCTTAGTTCAACATGTTCATCCTCCTTCATCATCAATTTTCAAAGAAGTATCGTTTTCTGATTGGTACACTAGGAACCTTGATTTTTCTTTCTGGGACTGTATTCTAGTCTCTCTATATATTCTATATATATATAATTGTATTTAAGATGTTTGAAATTTATAGTTATTTTGGTTAGGCAGAAAAATCCAACCAACATAAAGGAAGGAACATAAAAATATATTGTTAGTAAAAATTATGTTTGAAAGTTTTAAAATCAGTTTTGAAGATGGTATTAAGAAACTCTGTGTGCAAAAACTTCTACAGTTTTGAGTTTGAATGTAGATGTCATCTGTAAAACAGCCTCCTTCCCTCAAACTCCTCCCATGCTCCCTTTCAAGTTAATAGACTCTTTTCCTTTTTTTTTTTTTTTTTCAGGACAGAGTTTCTCTGTGTAGCTTTGGAGCCTTTACTGAAACTCACTCTGTAGCCCAGGCTGGCCTCGAGCTCACAGAGATTCACCAGCCTCTGCCTCCTGGGTGCTGGGATTAAAGGCGGGCGCCACCACCATCCGGTCTTTATTATTATACACATACTTCTATGTGTGCGCGCGTGCCAACACCGCCCGGCTCAGTATTACCTTTAAATAAATGCTCATATTTGAAATTTAAACTCTCTTATGTCTAGATAGCCTCTGATAGAATATGTTCATGATTAACTCTTACCTTGTTTCCAAATACTTCTTGAAACTGAGTAAATTTTCTTTAAAGTATTGTTTCACCACTATGAATGTTTTGATGTCTTGAAATAGATTTAATTGAAGTGAAATTAGTGGGAATCCTGGATATTCTGGATGAAGAAAATCGTCTTCCTCAGCCGAGTGACCAGCACTTTACATCTGCAGTTCACCAGAAGCACAAAGACCATTTCCGACTCACTGTGAGTTTACCATTCTAAAAGGGATCTTCTGCTGGAAAGAGAAATCTTTAAGCAAACAGCTGCACTAGATTTCAGATACTGTTAACAACTGGAGTCAGAAGTTATCCAAAGATTAGAGCAACTAGCTTATAACCAGCAAATATTTCCTATATAGAGGGCTGTAAAATTGTGTGTGTGTGTGTATGTGTGTGTGTGTGTGTGTGTGTACATACATATTTTCCAGTAAAGCTTTAGCTGAGTACAGTAGCTCGTGCACCCAGAGAGGGAAATGATACTGAATTGGTAGGAAGATCAGGTCATCTAAAGGGAAGAGAGACAAGGCAAGGGATAGAAATAAGTACCCAGGTGGCTGAACTGCTGTTGGCTCTTGAGTGCTCATGGCAGTGAAAGTGAAACTGTGCTCTGGGAACCTGGCATTTGTGGCTGTTTAAACAGTTTTCTGTGTTCCTCCAACTCTGTGCTAATCCTTTCCCTCCACCATCATCTCTGAGACAGTCCAGACATTGCTTCACCCCAGTGCAGAAAGCCTGACCAGCACAGAAAAGCTGACCTGAGTTTCAGTCATGAAGGTAGATGCTACTTCATATCAGCAGGACTCTCCCCACTCTCTCAAAAGTAGACAGAAAAAGAATCGAGAGAAGCTACTTAGAGTTGCTTAGTGGGCTTAGGGTACACGTTGGCAGATGCCTCCATTAACCGTGTGTGTTTTGAAGTTGTAAAATAGTGTAATGGTCACTGCTTTGATGGTCAAGCTGCTTGAATTAATGGTAACAAATATGCTCACTTGTGTTCATTTTTAACAAAACGACAGTGCGTATATACACCAAGTGTTACTAGAGACCCATTAATATGTTAAAAAAGAGGCAAAGACAGTTTGAAATCCAATAAAAAATGATAAACATCAGTGGAAGATAGACTCAGTGGCTTTACAAGAAAAACTCATGTTCAAACCCTCAGAACCACCTTCTCTTTTGACTTACAGTTCTTACCTATCCCTAGTAGTTATCATAATACGCGGCCTGTTTTTAGTACTTTGGTGGAAAGAAACAAAACAATATGTATCCGTAATGAAACTTCTGCTAATATTGAAGCTGTGTACCCAGTCTTGCTTGTTTATGACAGTTTGATATATGGCCTATGATGCATGGTTGCCTCACTAAGGGTGCTAATCTCAGTCAGCATAACTGTGGCCAGAGTAATCCCAGAGGTGTGTAACTTAAAGACAGCATGCTCAAGCGTCAGGAATGAGGCCTGGCTGCTTTTCTCAGGGAGACCAAGCAAGAACAATGCGATAAATCCCGATTTACAGAGGCTGTTAGTTTGCTGTTTTTTTCTTTAAACTAAACCTGATGGCCATTCATGGAACACTTTGCATTGTCCCAGTGCTTTTACCTGAATGATTTTATTTAATCCTATTAGTATCTTTATGTCACAGATGAGAGACAGAAAGGGGAGGTAAGTGACATACCTTGATGGCATGTGAGGATGGGGTGGGTTAGGAGGCAGGCAAGGTGGTGTAGCAGCAGAGTCTCCATTCCGGCTCCTGAGAGATTGCCCTGTCTCTGTTCTAAGAGCTCAGACCTCAGGTCCCATGGCTCAGTCTGTCCATTTTAAATGGTACTGTCTCCTTTGCCTTGGGTTAGTTCTAGAGACAGCTGTGATCATGGATGTGAAAGTATTTTGGAAGTTTAAATAATTCAAATATGTGATACTATAATTAAATGCTGCCATCCTAGAATGGCGTAGTTTCCTTGAAGTAGTTTCAGGCTCACTGTGGAAGTGTTAGGATGGTTGGTTTGAGACACCAGAAGTGTCCTTGTGCTGACCTCATGGTTTTCTTCCTGGCTGCACTTGAGAATCATCCTATACCAACACCATGGGGTCAGGGAGGTTTAAACCCCCTGAGTGACTCTAATAAGCATGAAGATTGAGCTTTAGAAACAGGTGGTTAATTTCACAAAAATTGCAGCTGTGTTTTGTGTTTGCTTTCATATAAAGTTTTATTTTTAAAGAGGTTTTATTTTTATATGTGTCTGTCTGTGGGTATGTGCACACCAGCATAGTGCCTGCAGAGTCCAGGAAAAGGTGTTGGATCACCTAGAGCTGCAGTAGTTTTGGGCTGCTAGACATGGTTACTTGAAACCAAATTCAAGGCCTTTGGAAGAACAGGAAGCACGCTTAACCAAGTTTTTGTGTATGGCAGGTGTGGATGTGTGTATGCTTTGTATATGGCATCCATCCATGTATTTATATTTTGTATGTAGCATTCATCCCTGTGTGTTTATTTTGTATGTGGCATTCATCCATGTGTGTATATTTTGTATGTGATATTCATCCATGTATGTATATTTTGTATGTGGCATTCATCCATGTGTGTTTATTTTGTATGTGGCATTCATCCATGTGTGTTTATTTTGTGTGTGGCATTCATACATGTATATGTGTTTTGTGTGTGGCACGTGTGTGTATGTATGTGTGTATGTGTTTTGTGTGGAAGGCGTGTGTGTATGTTTTATGTGTGGCATTCATGCATGTGTGTATGTCTTGTGTGTGTCAGGCATGCATGTGTATATGTTTTGTGTGTCAGGCATGTGAATATATGTTTTGAGTATAGGAGGTATGCATGTGTATGTGTTTTTTGTGTGGCAGGGATGTGTGTATTTGTTTTTTGTGTGGCAGGCATGTGAGTGTATGTTTTGTGTGTAGGAGGTGTACATGTGTATGTTTTGTGTATGGCAGGCATGTGTGTGTGTGTGTGTGTTTCCTGTGGGGCAGGTATACATGTGTATATGTTTTGCTCTTACACCATTTTTTTTCCACTAAGACACAAGCAAATATTGATTAGGTTCCACAAGTACTTTAATGTGTACCTGACATTTAAACATAGTATCATTATGAGAAATGTGAAACTTGTCTTATTATTTCAGGTAATCTATATCCGGGATTGTCTAAAAGACTGTCTGACAGTCTTTTCTTAATGTGGTAACTGCGACCTGTACTTTTCCCTCAGATTCCCAGGAAGTCGAAGCTGGCAGTGCACAGGAACCTCAGAGACAATGAAGGTTTTATCATCAGGCACTTCGCAGGGGCAGTGTGCTATGAGACGGTGAGTATAACATTGCTTAGCAGAAAACCGTTGGTGTTGAAGCCACACTGCAGTATGGCAGCCTCTGGCCTTTTACACTTGAATAGCTTTACAAATTCAGCTCCTTGATGCACTAATCACCCACACTGAAGTGGCCTGCTCTCTTGGTCAGTGTGGAAACAGAACATTTGTGTTTTCTCAGAGCTCAATTAGGGGATGTTTATCACAATTGTGAGTGGAAACAATTTATTTGATTTTTTTTTTTCAGACCCAATTTGTGGAGAAAAATAATGATGCACTCCATATGTCTCTTGAATCCTTGATTTGTGAATCCAGGGATAAGTTTATACGGGCATTATTTGAATCATCCACAAATAACAACAAAGATACGAAACAAAAGGCTGGAAAACTTAGCTTCATCAGCGTGGGAAACAAGTTCAAGGTATTTGTGCTACATAACTGAATTAAAGGGGTTTGTTTTGGCTGTATTTAAAATAAAAACCATTGTTTTATACTGTAAAGTGGATCATGTAGAGCATGGAAGTGCCCCAGGTATGTCTCAAGAGAAGACCCTGCGTTATCGATGCTTGTATGTACCATCTGATTGTGGTCATAGTACCTAGTCTACAGAAAGGCTTCTATTTCCAGACTGTGTTTGCACACAGCAATCTGCTTGATTCTCCTAATGTTCTTGCTTCTGCATACTGCCTGCGTGACCTTCAAGCCTTCTCTTTCCCACGTTTTCTGTTCCCTTCCTTATTCAGCAGTTCTGTTTAGCTGCAGTAGTTCAGCTCCAGCTGGCTGGAGAGGACTAGTTGAGTTGAGAGAGGAAAAGCAGGCACATCCAGACTTCAGGTAAATGTTCGCCTTCACAGCATGGCGCTATGCTAAGGAGCCTGTCTCAAGTTCATGGTTTTGTTTGTGACTCATTTTCAACGCGTTTTCTCTCACGGCATCATGGGCATGCACATTACAGTAAAATTTAATCAGAGCTTTTGATAACTTTTATAAAAGAGAAGTGCTCTGGTGTGGAAAACTCCTTAATTAGGTTATCTAATGTTAAAGAATAATTCATTTTATTAATTTTGAATCAGAAATTAATTCTTAAAATCTAAAAAGGAATGTTTTAAAACAAGGTGTGTTTTAGTGATAGAATGCTGTTAATTGCTTGTAATTATTGTTCGGTATTGCTTATAATCATTGCTTAGTATAGAAAAATTTAAAAACCTTTAGTAAATAATTGCAATGTGTAGAACAAAGAAATACAATTAAATTCTCTATATATTTCCAGTAAGTATCATTATATTTTCTATACAACTGCATTTTGCCTCTTGAAATGCATACTTTAAATATTAAAAATGATATAATTAAGAACAGTATTTATATAAAGCAGTGGTTCTCAACTTTCCTAATGCTGTGACTCTTTACTACAGTTCCTCATGTTGTAGTGACCCTAACTATAAAATTATTTTCATTGCTAATTCATAACTGTAATTTTGCTACTGTTATGAATCATAATGCAAATACTTGATATGCAGGACATCTGATATGTGACCCCATGAAAGGGTCAGTCAACCCCCAAACAGGTCATAACCTACAAGTTAAGAACCACCTATATAAATAGTACTGTGGTACTAACTAGTAGCACAAACCTCAAATCCCTTTTGGGTTGAAATGGACCCTAACCTGGGCTTGATGACACATGTCTGTAATCCCAGATCAGGGGAATTAGAGCTAGGAGGATCAGGAGTTCAAGGCTAGTCTCTGGTACCTGGATCAAGATCAGCCTGAACTATGTGAGACCCTGTCTCAAAGCCAAAAACCAAACAAGATGAACAAAACAAAAAAAGAAAGAATTGACATGGATCCTGAATATCTAACTTGATGCTTACATTTCTAAAACCTAAGTTTCTTTTCAAAGCTTTCAAAATATAAATATTGAAGAAAAAAATCATAAAACATTTTAGGTCGCTGAATGTGAAGGTTTGAATTTTGTTTAAGATATATTAATTATAAGTTCTTGATATACTCAGTGTCAATATTTTTTATCTAGTATTTTTCCATTCCAGATTAAACATTTGATAACAGATTGATCTGAAAACAGCACATGGGCTAAGTGTGGTGTCATGGCTCCTGTGGTCCCAGGTGACTCAGGAGACCAACAAGGAGGATCACTTGAGCCTAGGTATTCAGGGCCAGGCTGCGGAACATAACCATCAGACCCCTCCTCAGAAAACAAATCACATCATCTCATATGAATATAGTGATATTGCTACTAAAACTGTACTTAAAATGATTAAACAGTATAAATAACCTTTAACTAGAAGGTTTAAATACCTTGTAACTGTTTATATATAATATCTACTTTTTGCACTGATTGCAAAAACTCTGAGTGATAGGAATAAAATATTCCACATGTTTTTCTCTGATATGCTTTAGAATGAAGTCTTTTTATTTTGAAACAGGGTCTCATTTTGTAGCTTTGGCTGATCTGAAACTCATAATAGGATGACCTTGAACTCACAGAAATCCACTGGCATCTGCCTCCGGAGTGCTGGGGTTAAAGACATGTGCTACCATTCTGGGCTGATATGAAATCTTAATAGGACTCTTAACTTTAAAGATACTTCAATAGCTCATTAAATTAAATGTGAGCTGTCTAAGACAAACAGAAAAGAGGCTCCATTGCAGTAACACTAGTTATCCAGTGCCGTGGGACCAAGCATTTTTCCACCACTTACTGATAGTGTTTTAGAAAAAGTAATTATTTTTGCTGGAAATCTTATTATATTATAAACATGAATATTTATGTTTTAATAAAATAAAGGGCTAGAGAGATGGTTTAGAGGTTGGGTGTGTACTGCTCTTGCAGAGGACCCAAGTTCTGTTCCCAGTTCCCACATGAGCTGATTCACATGTGCCTGGAACTAGTTCCGGGGAATCTGGAGCCTCTGGCCTCTGAGGGTAACTGCACTCACTGCAGCATGCACACATGTATACATAGTTAACATCAAATCTAAAAATAATTATACAAAAAATGCACATCAAGCCTGATTTGCCAAGAGTACTCCTGCTCCTGGGCTTTGGCTTGTGTTAATGGACTTTTTTCTGTTTTCTCAGCTGTGGCTATTAAATTTTTCCTTCTACTATTCTGACTTTATCTCCATTCTTTTTTGGGGGGAACAAAACAGTGCCTTCGTCTATAGCTTAAAAAGGATAGATTTATAACCGTTGCTTTCTTTTCAAAGAGGCTGTTGACTTACTTTTCAGTTGTCTGAGGTACAGACTGATGTTGACTTCTGTCAACTAGTTATGTGTGATGTTGACTTCTGTCAACTAGTTATATGTGATATTTACTTCTGTCAACTAGTTTTATGCATCTGACTGTACTCTTTAGTCCCATGACAAATTGATTTTATTCTAATAACACAGTAAGAGAATGAACTTTGATGTCAGAGCTTTGCCATTGCTAGCTCCATGGTCTCAGATACATCATTTTTTTTCTCCCTAGATCTTAATAATACCTGTATAATGAGGCTAATAATCTATTCTTAATTAGGTTCATTGTGCTGTATTCTTCATTAGATTAAATATGACAATACTCAGGAAAAGCTTTCTTTGAGCATTGCCTCACGGAAAAGCATTCAGCAAAGTCTACATGTTACTATTAATTATAGTTATGCTCAACACAATATGTTAATTTAAGGATTAGCATCTTAATTTGTATTTTCCAAGTAGCATAATAAGCATTTCATCATAAAATTACTTTGTAGACTAGCAAAACAAACATAATTTCAGCCCACTGAGCCAGTAAAATTATAATCAGTATTATGAAACTAGGAAAGCATGGTAACTATTCATTGTGAAAAATATTTTAAGGACATTGTTCGAGTGTTAAAAGCACTTGAAATGTATAACAGTTTAAAATAGGGAAGAGCATTTCTGAAGCTAGATAAAGCAGTTTGGTTTTGCTGTGCTGCATGAACTAATCCTGCTGTACAAATAGTGCTCATTTTAAACATCTCAACCTTCATAGCATGTGACACGGCGGTGCCTTGTTCGCCCCATACTTGGATACTGCACTACAGCTTTCACACTGAGTGTGCCCCCCAGTATCTCACGTACTTTCATTAATTGCTTATACAGTTTCCCTTATTCATCTTCTTTGTTGGTATCACTAATTTTCAGCCTTAATTATACAAGTTCTGTGTTAATAATGTAAGTTATTGTCCTTGACATTTCATTAGCCATTTTGCATGATGCTGCCTGTTACAGAGTGTGTGTGCCAGAAGGTTATTATAATATGTTACGTATGGATATTTTTGCATGTTATTTTAGTCTAATAGTGGCGAGTCAATATTAGTTCATTTCCACTGTGCATTTGGACTTTTTGAAATAATCTTGTCTTCTTTCTTTTCTAGACACAGTTAAATTTGCTTCTGGATAAACTCCGAAGTACTGTGAGTATGCTTAATAAGAAAACACGTTTTTAAAATGGTCTTTTGAAATGATTATTAGTGGTTATTCAAGTAAGCACAGTAACCCTTGGATAATGAGAGGTATATTTTAAACCACATTCTCTTTCAAAAAGAAGTTGGTTTTTAGAGGGCTGGAATTTAACTCAGTGCTAGACTTTTAGCTCATAAGCATGAGGTTCGGGATGCCAGCCCCAGTGCACACCCCAACATATGCACACATAGCCACAGACACACCCAGCCATACCCACAACTACACCTCCACATGCATACATACCCACAGCCACAGCCACACCTACACCCACACCCACATACACAGTCAGCTTTTGAGATGGTAAGATGTTTATTATTAGTTTTTTTTAAATTTTTTATTCATTTTTTATTTTTTTTTTTTATTTTTTTTTTTTTTTTTTGGTTTTTCGAGACAGGGTTTCTCTGTGTAGCTTTGCGCCTTTCCTGGTACTCGCTTTGGAGACCAGGCTGGCCTCGAACTCACAGAAATCCGCCTGGCTCTGCCTCCCGAGTGCTGGGATTAAAGGCGTGCGCCACCACCGCCCGGCTTATTCATTTTTTATATACCAACCACAGATCCCCCTCTCATCCCTCCTCCCACTCACCTCACCTCCTCCTCTCACCTACCTCTGACCCATCCCTCATCCCCTCCTCCAACAGGGTAAGTCCTCCCATGGGGAGGCAGCTAAGCCTGGTACATTCAGTTGAGGCAGGACCAAGCCCCTCCCTGCTGCATCAAGGGTGAGCAAGGTGTCCGACCATAGGTAATAGGATCCAGAAAGCCAGCTCATACACCGGGGATAGATCCTGATCCCACTGCCAGGGGCCCCTCAAACAGACCCAACTATACAACTGTCTCCTGCATGCAGAGGGTCTAGTCCGGTCCCATGCAGGTTCCACAGCTCTTGGTCCAAAGTTCATGAGTTCCTTTGAGCTTGGTTCAGTTGTCTCTGTAAATTTCTCTATCATGATCCTGACCCCCCTTGCTCATATAGAATCCCTCTTCTCTCTCTTCTACTGGAGTCCCAGAGCTTGGCCTGGTGCTTGGTTGTGGACCTCTACATCTGCTTCCATCTGTTACTGGCTGTAGGCTCTCTGATGACAGTTAGGGTAGTCACCAATCTGATTACCAGGGTAGGCCAGTTCAGGCACCCTCACCACTATTGCTAGTAGTATAATCTAGGGTCGTCCTTGTGGATTTCTGGGAATTTCCCTAGCACCCAGTTTCTTCCTTACCCCATAATTTCTCCCTTATCCCATAATGTCTCCCTCTATCAAGATATCTCTTTCATTGCTCTCCCACTCCATCTCTCCCCAAGTTTGACCATTCCATTCCCTCATGTTCTCATCTCCCATCCCCTCTCCTCTATTGCCCCCCTTATCCACAGTTTACTAATGAAGATCTCATTTTTTTCCCCTTCCCAAGGTGATCCGTACATCCCTCTTAGGGTCCTCCTTGTTTCCTATTATCTCTTGAGCTGTGAGTTGTAGTCTGGTTATCCTTTGCTTTACCTCTAGTATCCACTTATGAGTGAGTACATACTGTGTTTATCTTTCTGAGTCTGGGTTACCTCACTCAGGATGATATTTTCTAGTTCCATCCATTTGTCTGCAAATTTCATGATGTTGTTGTTTTTTTCTAGCTGAGTAGTACTCTATTGTGTATATGTACCACATTTTTTTTTTCCATTCTTCGGTTGAACATCTAGGTTGCTTCCAGGTTCTGGCTATTATGGATAATGCTGCTATGAACATAGTTGAGCAAGTGTCCTTGTGATATGATTGAGCATCCCTTGAGTATATGCCCAAGAGTGGTATCATTGGGTCTTAAGGTAGATTGATTCCCAATTTTCTAAGAAACCACCATGCTGATTTCCAGAGTGGCTGTACAAGCTTGCACTCCCACCAACAGTGGAGGAGTGTTGCCCTTGTTCCACATCCTCTCCAACATAAGCTGTCATCAGTGTTTTTATCTTAGCCATTCTGACAGGTGTAAGATAGTATCTCAGAGTCATTTTGATTTGCATTTCCCTGATGACTAAGGATGTTGAGCAATTCCTTAAATGTCTTTCAGCCATTTGGGATTCTTCTGTTGAGAACTCTTTGTTTTAGCCCTGTACCCCATTTTTTAATTGGATTGTTTGGTATTTTGCTGTCTGGTTTCTTGAGTTCTTTATATATTTTGGAGATTAGTCCTCTGTCAGATATGGGGTTGGTGAAGATCTTTTCCCATTCTGTAGGCTGTCATTTTGTCTTATTTACTGTGTTCTTTGCCTTACTGAAGCTTCTCAGTTTTAGGAGGTCCCATTTATTAATTTTTGCTCTCAGTGTCTGAGCTACTGGTGTATATTTAGGAAGTGGTCTTCTATGCCAATGCGTTCTAGGCTACTTCCTACTTTCTCCTCTATCAGGTTCAGTGTAGGAGATTTATGTTGAGGTCTTTGATTCACTTGGATTTTTTTAAAAGACAGGTCACGTATGCATGTAAAGTGAAATTATTTGAAAGTCTTTGTGGTTAATAAATGAAAATTTCTCAAAATTGAAAATAGTAATTATGAAAAAGAGCAGTCATTTTAATATTAAAGATAAAACATGCAATTTATTATAGTAAGACTCTTCAGACAGGGCAGTGTGCTACAGACAAAAATGAACTCATTATTTTTCTGTTCTTTATCCATGCCAAGCTTACTATAAGTTTATCTTTTAAGTACATTTTATTGATTCACCCTAGTATTGTTTTTCTAGTTGTTTTTTGGTGGTATTGGCATTGAACCTAGGATCATGCTATACAAATGCTATACACCTGACTCTTGATTGTTTTTTTTCCTTACATTTTTGGACAGGGTCTCCTTATATAGCTCAGGCTGGCCCTGAACTTACAATGACCCTATCTTTGCCCCAGTGTGACTTACTATACCTGGGTTCACCCCAGTGTTTTGACAGAAAAACAAAACACATATAGAAAGAAATCCTAATTGCCGAGTATGGTGGCACACTTCTGGCAGTCCTAGAATTTGGGAAGTTGAGGTCGGAGGCTCTTAAGTTTGAGGCCAACTTGGCTTACAAAGCAAGAGTTTGTCTTTATAAAACAAAATGTAAAAGAAAGACAATGAATATGTGGGTTATAGAGAAATTGTGATTCCAAGGAAAGGCTTATTTTTTATACATATCAGAGTTCAACTTCATACTCTTCCCTTTAAGGTACCAGCCATTTCCAGCAGCCAAATGTTCACTCTGTCCAAGCTGTTACTGCTTTACTTACTGATGAATTTGCCTTTGGAGCCATCCAGAAAATCATGAAGTTTCCAAATCCAAAATATTTGACTCATAAGAGCTAAGATTCTTGTAAAAATATAGTATTTTTTTCTTTGAGAAATTAATACATGTGTGTAATGTGTTTGATCAAGTTCACCCGCACTCTTCCTCACAAACCAGGCATCTTCAATTGTCAAGTCTTATGAGGAGGTTGTTTTATTTTCGCTTCCCAGAGTGCACTGCTCTAAAATGATGAGGTGATTGTGGTTTGTAGAAACATGTCATCCAAGTGTCTGTGGTGAGCATCATTATTGAAATAGTTATTCAGGGTTATATGGTGGCCACTTTGAAGAGAAGCAGCTGTTTGACTGTCTGCTATATTATCTTCCACACACAGCACTCCCGTTGTGGTACAAACAGTATTCTTTCTGCCTCGTTCAGCGAAATATGACCACCACATGGAAGCCCTTAAGTTTTGAAAATATTGCTTAACAAACAAAACACACAGTGATGCCATTGGAGACCTATTTATCCTCGAAGTTGAATGAAAATACTGATTTATGTTTGTGTTTTGTTTGCTTACATTTTAGCCTAAATTTTAAATGGCGTTGTTTTTATTTCCCTTCCCAGTCTCTATAGAGGCCAGAGATCTAGCTAGGTGGTAGAATGTTTGCCTGTGTGTGTGCAAGGCCCGGCCCTGAAAAACAAAAAGCCAATCTCTGAGGAGATGGAGTTAAGCCTACAGAGTGCATTGTTCAAAAGGGATGAAATTCTTTGCAGTGAAAGACTTTTTAAAATAATTTTTGACATTCAAAAATAAAATGCCATCTTGCTAATATTTATTTAAAATCTAGACATTCATTTCAAGGTTCAAATTATAGAATTATATCAATAAAACTCTAAGTTCCTTTGCAGTTATTATGTGTTGTTAACATTAATGTGCTGTGAAAGTTGGTGGTGTTCATAGATACAGAAATGTAAAGATGCTATACGTTCAACTTTAAAAGGTATTTCTTATTCTTTCAGGGAGCAAGCTTCATTCGCTGCATCAAACCCAACTTAAAGATGACAAGTCACCATTTCGAAGGTGCCCAAATTCTGTCTCAACTTCAGTGTTCAGGTATTTCTATATTTTCATATTCTGTCACAATATCTTCAAGCAATAGCTTACCATCCCATAATTCTAAGCAAAGCACAGGAAGCAGATAACTTGAGCAACCTTGACTTCTAGTTTTTGTGAAGTAATAATCATGGAAGTAGGCATTATAAAGAACTTGTTACTGGCAAGCCTGGATCTCTACGCAGGCTGCTTCTGGGCAGCCGCAGTCCACGGTAGTCCTCATTTCCCACACAACTGGGTTAAGAGGGGGTTGGTGTCCTTGCTTCTCCTCTACTGTTTGTGGAAAAAAAAAAATCAAAACAGGATGAAGCCCTTGGGTTCTGTGGCACTTTTATGAACTTGATTGATCTGTCACTTCCAGCCCCGGCCCTGGTTTGCTCAGTCCCAGAAGCCTCAGGCTCTGACACTCCATGCCCATGCATCCAGCCATAGCTGCTGCCTTGCTCTTTCTGGAGTTTGGTTTGGTCCAGCTCAGGCCCTGCTGCTTCTCAAACCTGACTGTTCTCTGACCTTATTCTGTTCCTCTCAGAGGCCAATTTATAGCAAGGCTAAGGTCTCTTTAAGTAAACTCTGTTCAGAGCCCTGCACTTAATTTTGTGTTAGAGTCCTCCCCAGATGAGGCAGGCTTCAGTTTTCCTGACATCTGGGTCTATTTCTAACTCTTCTCTCTAAACTTTAGCTGTTAAGAATTTAATCCAGTGCTTTCTCCTCATCTGTTCAAGGCTGGTAGGCCAGCCAGGTTGGCACCACTTCAATTCCTGGTCACTGACCTTTCGGGGATCTCAAACCTCTCCTGCCAAGTTTCCCTGCTCCATACATTTCTGTTCTCTGCAGAGCCAGCCAGCCCCCGCCCCTCAGCCCCCCCTTGCTCTCTTTAGAGCTCTGCCAGGAGATGGCTTCTCTTGCTGCCAAGCACTTCTGCCTGTCTGCATCCCCTTCACTTGTTTCTGGCCTGTTAGAAGCAGGAATCTCCTGTCCCTTTTACGTGTAGTCCCTTCCTGCCTCTCATGAGTCAGCAGTGCTGATTAAGTGCTGGGCCAGGCCCCAGGGGACTGAGCGCCCCATTTCCACTAGAACACACTTGCTCTCCTCTGCCACTCACATGCTTTCCAGATTCGCCTTTTCTTTTTTCTTTTTCCCTTGTTCTTTTTCTCTTTGCCACTCTCATTTTGATTTCTCTGCCTCCTGCCTCCCATTCCTTCTGTAACCCCTGGTGGCACCTAGTAGGGTAATCAGGGGGTTGACACTTTGAACTCTGGAGCATTTGAAATGGGGCTGGTAGGACTTCTGTAGAAGTGATTTTAAGTTTTATTCCCCACTAAAATGTAAACACTATGTGTGCCTGGTGCAGCTCAGGGCCTGCGGCCAGCGACTGCCGTGTTGGGGTAGTGCGGCCATGTTCTGTGTCTTTCCCCAGCACTGTGTGATCGACACGGTGAATGCTTCCCACCTGAAGCTGACGCCCTCTCTTGCTTCCTTGCTGCAGTTGCCCACGTATCCTTGCATCTGCTCCGTGCATTGTGGACATGTGCAGCATCGTGACTTCACCGCTCAGCACTGACCAAGTCTTCTTACTGCTTGTAGTGCTCTGAGGGCTCCTGATGGGTATTGGGGTGCAGAGTGCAATCCTGGTGCTAACCTCTGGCCTGTGTGTCCTTAGCTCCCCTCTTTCCACTCTCTTCTGTCTGTGCCCCAGCCACACAGATTTGCTCTTAGTGCTCCATTCCCTCCCACTGCAGGGTCTAGGTACATGCTGCTTCCTGTCAGGATATCTTTCCTTCATCCTTCATATGTCAGCTGAGTGCTACTTTCTATGAAAGCTAGCCTTGATCCTGGCCCCAAAGGCGGATTTGTTCATGGTGCTGAGGTCTGGCACTTTATTTCACAGCCATAGTTACAGATTTTGTGTGTACTTGTATAGTTCTTCATGAGACTGATGAGCTGGTCCACTGTGTGCTGTCTACTGTGCATCAGTCTGCTAGTATAATTATTATATATAATATATATATTATATACAATTATTTGAAGTTTCCCTCCAGGAACTGTGTTTTGGCTTCCTCAAAGTCCTGGTCTTTCTAGTGTGTATTAGACTAATTCATCATTGAATGGAATGTACAGTCTATCAGATACAAAAATATATTTGTGATTGATTTTAAACAAATACTGGAAAGTCAACTAATATTTTTCTGCATATACTAATGAGAGACTTTTTTTGCACAGTAACTACATTTGCTTGAAACCCTTTGCATATACATTACAGAGGAGTCCAGTTTCTAGCATGCCCTTACGCTGGTGTTACTTAACGAATATGTTCTGAAAAACACAGTAGTGATACATTTTGTATACTGTCTTTTAGGTGATTTTCATGACCTTGAATTTGACTTTTTTCCCTGTTAGGATTTTTACAAAGAGCATCTAGCATCTTTGTAAAGCACGTGCAGCTCTGTTGTGTGTTTAGATCAACAGAGCACGAGCTTACTGGGGAGTTAGTGGGATTCCTCCTTCACACAGAGTGTATTTTAACACGGTCAGCTAAGTTGTAGTTTAACGGGTGACACCATTTCATTGTCAAAAACTGTGACAATGCTAACCAAACCTTCCTTTTTTTTCCTACTAGCACATCTGAGAACTAAATCTTGTTCTGGCCATTCATGAGTTCAAAGCCAGCCTGAACTACATAGCCAAGAACTAGGGCTGTAGCTCAGTCCGGTGGTAGAATACTTGTTTTAACATGTGCAAAGCCCTGGTTCTGTCCTCAGAACTGCAAGGAAAAAAATAATGGTCTCCATGTGTTGATTTAATCAATATACATTATGCCTTAGATATACTTTTATTCTGGTTAGATAAATCCCAGTTCCCTAATCAATGCATTATTTTATGAGTATAATACAATTGTAATGTATTATATTTGTATTTCTGTATATATGTATTTCTGCTTGTTTTGTTTGTTTTTTTTTTTCTGTTGTAAGCAGTAAATGGATGTCTGGACAATCTCCACATGTCTTTCTCCATAAGTGAGAAAATTGTAATTTAGATTCATAAAAGTTGAAATTATGTAAAAGATAAATGTTTCCAAATTGCTATCTAAAGCTATTCCCTTGGCATATTCTCTCACAGAGTTTTAATGTTTTTTGCATTCCAATAGGCTAGTACTCAATCTGTAAAGAAAAGCCATCGTTTCCTAGATTATTTTAAAATTAAAAATACACTTATTAAAATTATATTCTATATTTTACATTTTAATTTTTCCAACTGGAATTCATTTTGGCATAAGGAATAAAGAATAGGTATATTATCATTTTTGTTTTCCACATATGCTACTCATATTCATATTTTTACCACTCCTAATTTCTTTAATATTGATTTAATAACTACATCTTAATCATTTGGAAATAGTTGCTATTATAGTTAAACAAGCACTCATACTAATGCAGTTAACAAAAATGACTAACCTGGCAGTGGTGGTGCATGCCTTTAATCCCAGCACTATGGAGGCAGAGCCAGGATCTCTGGGAGTTCGAGGCCAGCCTGGTGTACAGATCGAGATCCAGGATAGGCACCAAAACTACACAGAAAAACCCTGTCTAGAAACCAACCAACCAACCAAATAAACAAACAAAAATGACCATTTGTTACAGTAATTTTTACTTGGATTTTGTTTTTGTGGTGGTAGAGATGGAACCCAGGGACTCCTGAGCTCCAGATGTGTGTCCCACCACTAGGTTATGCCCTCGGCTCCCGGCACAGTGTTTTTAATCCTACTGCCTGTTGACTTTTGTGACTGTGTCTGAACACCAAGTCTGAATGTGTGAAAACTCTTGAGCTTTTTTTGTCTGTGATGTTAAAGATGTGGATTCGATTTGACTTTTCATTTAGGCTTTTCTGTTTTTCTGTTTTAAGGAGAATTAGTTTAAGATACTCTTCTAGTTTGCTGTTTATTTCTGTGGTTAACACCATGACCAAAAGTAACTCGATGGAAGAAAAGGTTATTTCTTCTTCCAACCCCCAAGTCATGCTCGTCACCGAGGGAAGTCAGGGCTGGAACTCAGGGTGGGAACTTGGAGGCAGAAACTGAAGCACACACTGGAGAAACACTTTACTGGCTTTCTTAGCTACCTTTCTTACACAGTCTAAGACCCAAGACCACCTGTCCAGGGGTGACACCACCCATTATGGGCTGGGCCCTCCCTCATCAATCATTAAGCAAGAAAATGCCTCACAGACTTGCCTACAGGCCAATGAGGCAGTTTTCTGATATTCTCCTTTCCCCGATGACTTCAGTTTGTTTCAAGTTGACAAACAACAACAACAACAACAACCAACCAACCAACCGACCGGCCAGCACAGATACTTTCTACTAAAACTATTATCTAGTGACTATCAGGACGACATAGGGAAGATGAGAGAAGACAGGTTTTCTTCTTTTGTAACTCTTGTGTTGTCTGCTGTCAAGCCTGACCAGAAAAGCTCGGGTTGACCTGAGGCTCAGATTGACCATTTATTAGAGTTAAATTAATAATTTATATTTATCCTATGGACTCGACTTCACAACCAATAGATCAGTTTCTTTAGTAGAAGAGGTCTGATTTTGAGGCTAGGGCTAGAACCTAGGGCCTTGGGCATGCAAGGCTAGTGTTCTCCTTGGGAGCTATTGTCCCAAACTGGTAGAAGGGTGAGGGGTGTGTGTGTGTGTGTGTGTGTGTGTGTGAGAGAGAGAGAGAGAGAGAGAGAGAGAGAGAGAGAGAGAGAGAGAGAGAGAGAGAGAGAGAGAGAGAGGAGGGAGAGGAGAGAGAGAGATGTTACATTACACATAATGTTTAAATAATAAATTCTCTTTTGCTTTCTATTAGTTCTTGGGAAGACATAGAAATGGGGAGAGTGGCCAAATGCAGGATTTTCTTTATATACTTTTAATTGTGGATTTTGAAAAGATAGAAATCATACTGGAGCCTTCTAGATGGGCTGCCTCTGAGAAAGGGTCAGCTCTGCTGATTTTACATGGGATTTCATTGTGGTTGTTTTAAGTGATAAATAAGTTGGGGTATACTGACTGGAGATGTATTTCCTGTATAGTGCCTCACTGTGGATACTTTCCCTCTATAAGTTGTCTTTTCATAAGCGTTCACTTGTAAAATTGGTGAGTCACTCACATGTTACCCTGTACTTCTGTATTGTGACTGGGAATTATTTGTGCTCACGACTCTAGGTATGGTGTCTGTGTTGGACTTAATGCAAGGAGGTTTCCCTTCAAGAGCCTCATTTCACGAACTCTATAATATGTACAAAAAGTACATGCCAGATAAACTTGCAAGATTGGATCCAAGGCTGTTTTGTAAGGTATAAATGCTGCTTTAATACAAATTTCTTAGCAACAAATCTTTTCTATTAATTTCTAGTTGGAACTCAACTTTTTAAAATCTTTTTTTCAGGCTCTTTTTAAAGCTTTGGGATTAAATGAAGTTGACTACAAGTTTGGGCTAACTAAAGTGTTTTTCAGACCTGGCAAGGTAAATATGTATTTATTTTAAACTTTAGCATATGATAATTGGGCTTGGTATGTATTTTCTTAGTTATTAGTGATTGATATTATTACTATATTACATATAACAGTGTGAAAATATGTTTCTATTCACACAGTTTTTCTGTTTGGGGGTGTTTCATATTCTGAGTTTAAATTTTAGTTTTAATCAATATTGGTATCAGAGCGTTGTTGAATTTTTTTCTTAAATAAGGAATAATCAAATATCTCTAACATTTAATATAAGTTGAAAGCATTTCTAGAATATGTTAATTTTTGGACCAGTTAGATAGCTCAGCATGTAACCCAAGCTGGCCTATCTAATTGTCCCAGATTCCTAAATGCTAAGATTATAAGCATGTGCCACTTTGCTTGGTGAGGTTTCATAGTATTTTGGAGTCTTCATTGTGAGAGAGTTTCACTGGAGTGTGGTAGATATATAAAGCATATGAAATTGGACTGGAGTTTGTGCTGACTGTTGCCAAATTTTACGGTGAAGGGGTGTATAAACACTACATAAATTAGGTTGTAATTTTTGGCTAACATAGATAGTACTGTTGATGAGATTGTCACTGACTGTAGACTACTTCATAGCTAACTGTATTCTGTACACAAACACCTAAGGCTGTTCACGAGTGTTAATAATAACATTTCCACATCCCTAACATTTAAAATACCGACTTGATTATTACACCCTTAGAACCGTAAACCTAAGTGTTATTGCAGCTAAATAACCAGTTTCACCAGTCAGCTATGTCGAGCATCTTGAGGATGAGTTAATGATAATCAATCTGGTTTCACATTTGTGAGCACCAGGAGAAAATGTGTGTTTGCACCAGAAGTAGGGGCTTTTCTCCATGGGGTCTCTGTCACAGAACCCATACCATTTCCTATGAAAAGTTAAGAGAAAAAAAATATAGATGCTCATGGTTGGCTTCGCTTTACTTAGTGTTAGTTATCATAATTTCAACATTTCTCCCATTTCAGAGGTTTAGTAACTATTTTATTAATAGCTGGTTAGAGAAAGTACTCGGATTATTTACCTTCAGAAGGATGAACAGGGGTTGTTGGAAGCTTAAAGCAAGCAGATTCAGAGTGTGTAGTCTTGTTATACCCTTAAAGTTTTTAATGATTAAAAAACCATTCTGTTGACTGGCATGCGACACCTTTAATACTTCAGTGTGATATTTGGTGACGAATGGAAATAATTCTGGAATTTGGTGGTAAAGAGCAAAAGTTACACATTTCATTCATTAGTAGCCAAATATCCATTGCATTTGTGTGGTCTGTCTCTTAGTTGCAATTTCTTATTTTTGTCTAAAATGGGGGTGGGTGTTGGGAGAGACAATACTTTGGTAGCTCTCCTGTTATAGATGACCTTACTGTCAAGAACTGTGTAGGTGTCTGAGAACTGGCTCAGACATGTTAGCCCTTTTCAACATTTTTCCTCAAATATCCCTGTAATTAGTCATTTAGGAGTTTTTCCTTTTTCCTATTTTTGCTGCTCCCTAGGAATAAGTAACCTTCCTAAGCTCCAAAAAAATTGCTAAAGGACAAAAGAAAAGGGCCACGACATGTGGACAAAGAAGTTTACACTTTCTGCTTACCTTATTAAGATGTCCTTGGAATTGGCTTTTGATGATTTTCAGGAAGTTAGATTTGGGATTTGAAATCCATGTATTTTATTTTCTCTCTATTTGAACACATTTACCCTTTACTGCTGACACTGAGTTATCTTACTCCTAGTTTGCAGAATTTGATCAGATCATGAAGTCTGACCCTGATCACTTAGCAGAGTTGGTAAAAAGAGTCAATCTTTGGCTAGTCTGTAGTCGCTGGAAGAAAGTTCAGTGGTGTTCACTCTCAGTCATCAAACGTAAGTATTTTCTCTCTGGCATAGTGTCACATTCTTAATCCCAGCACTTGGCAGGCTGGGGTAGAAAAATCAAGAGTTCAAGGCCTCGGGGTTGGAGAGATGACTCAGTGGTGAAGAGCATGATGGCTTTTCCAGAGGACCTGGGTTTGATTGCCAGCACCCACATGGCAGCTCACAGCTGTGTGCAATTCAGTCTCAGGGAATCCAATGCCCTCTTCTGGCCTCTGCAGGCATTGCGTGTATGTGGTGCACAGACATAAAGGCAGGCAAAACATCCATATGTGAAAGAAAATTAAAGAAAAAGGAAGTTCAAGGCCTTCCTCTCTCTCTCTCTCTCTCTCTCTCTCTCTCTCTCTCTCTCTCTCTCTCTCTCTCTCTTCTCCCCCCTAGGCTATTTAATTTGAAGTGCTGTGTATTGAACTCTGGGCCTTCCAAATGCTAAGCAAGCTACACCCCGGGATTTGTCTCTCTTTTCTTATTCATGAAATCTCATTAGCTGTTAAATGATGTGGATTTTGGCTTCAGATAGTATAATCCTTTATTTTCACTGTCAGTTCCTTAGTGCGACCTCTTTTTATCACTTACATAATAACTTCATTAGTTCCAAAAATTGTTTACTAGCTCCCCACCCCACTTATCTTTTTTAAACCAAAAGACATTCCTAGCCTTCCTTCAATAGCTGCAAAGTTTGAGTTCCTAGACTTTCTTTCTGGACTGTAGTTGGGGTTTCTGGTTTATCTTTGCCTCCTCCCCTGCTCCTCCCCTCTCAGACTTCCTCTTCAGTACACTAGATGAAGCTGAGCTTGAGTGTATTTCTGCCACATTGTAGCAGCTGCTTACTTCTGGTCTAAAACATGAGTGAGTGCAGAGTATTTTGGATTCCTTGAAGGCCATGGTGAAAGTTTGACTGCTGGGAGCTATGTGGAAATCAGTCACCATGCTCCCCATACTTACAGAGTACTTGAAACAATGCTGTGTATGTGGGGGTGGGCGGAGTTAGGTGAGAAATCTTCACTAACAGAGTAAAATTCACTTGGTCTAGCACAAAGGAACTAGGCACATTATTATTGAGATCTTTGGTAGACAACAGTGCCTATTTATTAAAAAAAAAACTATAATGAAGAAGACAAGACAACAGAACCTCTTTCCCCATTGTTTTCCAAGTAAAATATAAATTTTTCCTGTGGGTTCCATGCTTTCACCTTTGTATATCGTACATTTTGGAGGAAAGTGTATGTCATTAAGCTGTTGTACCACATGTCCCACTTGTGGACTGTGTTGTAAAGATATGCCACGGTCATTTACCAGATAGGATCTTTGCAGAATGTTAATTGGGAAGCTCTAAAAAGAAAATCTAAGTTCCAAGTATGCTAGGAAATTCTAGACACTAACAGCTGAAGACCCGTTTACTGTAGGATACTTAGAGAGCACACCTGTAATATTCAGTATGAGTTTCCAGAAGGAAGGAAACTGGATTTCCTAAACTCATTTGGCAGGTTAACTTTTTAAAAGACATAATATTTATTAGAACATTTAATAGAAATATGGCCCCTGACAGTTTGGTAATAGTAATGTTGCATACTGCAGATACATTTGAAATATAATGCTAGCTGCATCAATCATTTTTAAATTATTTTTTTTAAGAATTTACATTAGAAACATTAGACTTCACAGTTCTGATGGCTGGAATAACGTATTTATTAAGATTTTATGAGAATTGCTTGGTGGTAATGAATGGGTTTTTAATTTATGTTTTATTTAAACCAAAATTTTTCTGTCGTTTTATTTTACTCTTACACATAGTGAAAAACAAAATAAAATATCGAGCTGAAGCATGCATTAAAATGCAGAAAACCATTCGAATGTGGCTTTGCAAAAGGAGACATAAACCACGGTAAGATGAACAGTGTCTAAAGATCTATACAGCGCTGCAATATAAAATGGCAATGAAGTCATGATGAAGAGCAGTTGGGTCCTGCTTTCTTTGCAAATGACTTGTTTGTGCTGTGTATTCGGAATCAGCTCATTCATTACTTAGCTTGGTGTTCTACCAAAGGGCTTGAGTGCCTGGCAGAAATGTGAACACTAAAAGGTTGAAATAAAGGCTAAGAGAGACCGCTCTTCTGGCTACTTCATGCTTTGAGTTTCTTGATGATGCCAAGTTAGATGCTGTGTTGGAAGACACTCAGTAGCCTGGTCATAATTTTCAAAAATGTTCATAAAATAATTTTGTCTTGCTTGTGTATCATTTCATTTTATATATTTCATTTTCATCTTGTTTAAAATTTGTATTACCAAGTTATTTGTTAAGCTTTGAAAGTTTGAATAGCTATGGACAGCACACCTTTTCAAAGCGATGTGGGATCATTTGAGTTTTATAATATAAATCCTCATTTTCCAGTCTAAACATAGCCAGCCTTGATCTGATTGGCAGTTATCAATGCTGTTCATACATGTGTTTGATTCTTTTTATACTTAATGAGAGACCTGGGCAGACTACTAAAGAGTCCTGAAGACAGAAGTAACTTGCCTGGTTAGCCGCAGTGTTCACTTTCTGTCCATGAGAATCCTTCCTAGAATGTTAGCTTGCGGACTAAATATCTGATGGGGTCTTACTGTTGCAGCATTGATGGCCTGGTTAAGGTGGGCACTCTGAAGAAACGACTCGATAAGTTTAATGAAGTAGTAAGTGCGCTGAAAGATGGAAAGCCGGAGGTGAACAGACAGATCAAAGACCTTGAAATTTCTATTGATGCTTTGATGGCCAAAATTAAGGTGGGTGATTTTAATCTAGCTGACTTTAACTTTTTGTATAATTTGCTGATCTTTGTTATTGGTATTAAACTTGTATAGGAGAATAAGCTTATTTATTCAAGATATGAAACATTAACAAGTGGATACTCACATTAACTTTTTTCTCAATATTTGAAAAATTTTGTATTAAAAAGATAAGTAATCTTTATATGATTTTTATCTGTTATTAGGCAAAATAGTCCCTCTCTAGAGAGTAACTAAAATACTAAACTTTGTTGTTAAGCTTTTACAGTCACGATTCAGAGAGGGTTAATGTGAATTAATTTGTTTTATCCTTTCTACTTTCCAAAACCAATTTTTATTCTTTTGTATTTATTTTCCTTTCTGGTGATGTTGGGGATTGAACAAAGTGCTGAGTATGGCTGGCAGATACAGAACTATGTCCAAAGGGCCCCAGAAAGGAAACTGCTAAATTATAAAATTAATGTGTCATTGTTGAAAATGGAAAGAAAATCACCCAAAACTCTTTGATAGCACCACATTAGGCATTCAGCTAGTATATGTTTGTATTTCCTTTATAATCATACTTTGTATGCATACATTTTTACATAGTTCTTCTCTGTCATAATCATGCATGTCATTTTGTATCACTGCTGTTAGGATACATGATTTGTTGTGGTTAATACATTACCGTCATAATTTACTTAGCTATTTTAAAAATAGCAATACATTTTCTTCATTTTTTTAAATGAAACAGTGGGGTTATTTTTGGTTTCATTTTCAATTGCTTGACTATTAATATGAAAATATTTCCTATAATGCTTGTTATCATATTTCGTCTTTTTCAGTTTCCCCAATTACATGTTAGTGAGGGTTTTTATGGGTTTTTCTCAGGGAGCACTTAAATTAAACTTTTTGTAGTTCCTGTAGACAGAGTAAATATTAGAGATAGAAAGAAAAAAAAATACCAAGAAAAGGATGAAAATGCTATGGTAGATTTAGCTGACTTCACAGATCAAAGGTGAGCCTGGGTTATGAGGTTATCATCATCAATCAAAATGAATCCAGGAAAATCATCCAACAGGTTTTGATGTAATTTCCCAACTGTTCCTTAGGTACTAATTAAATGCTATAAGTAAAGAAAGCAAACTTTGACTAAATGAAATAGTCATTCCATAAAAATAGTTTAAAGCTATGTTTATAGAACATCATTCACAGCATGCTACAGCTTTTGAGGCTTGTTTGATAAAACCTCGAGTCAAGTACTTATGTGTGGAGATAGTGTTCAAAGAATGTGTGACTAGCTGGACATGATGGTGTGCGATGGCAATCCTAGTGTTTGTGAGGTTCCTCAGCTCCATAGCCAGTTCAAGGTTACCCTGGGCTATGTGAAACTGTTTAAAAATATATATATGAACATGGATTTGATGGTCAGTTTTTCCAGCTGTTGATATGTATCTTAGAGTTTGTTTTAAATGTGAAAACCCACAAAACACTGAATTCATCATTGTGACCATTTTAAAGTGTGCAGTTCAGTATGTTAAGCGTGTCCATGTTGCGCAGAGGACGGGACTGCCTAAGTCCATGTTTGTTATTTGGCTTTTTAAGTCCACCATGATGACGAGGGGACAAATACAGAAAGAGTATGACGCGCTGGTTAAAAGCTCAGAAGAGCTCCTCAGTGCGCTGCAGAAGAAGAAACAGCAAGAGGAGGAGGCAGAGAGGCTGAGGCGCATTCAAGAGGAGATGGAGAAAGAAAGGAAGAGGCGTGAAGAAGAGGAGCAGCGTCGGCACAAGGAGGAGGAGGAGAGGCGGATGTAAGGCATTTGCGTGTTCTGACCGGAAGTCCCCAGGGTGATGGATGATGGCTGTCCTAGTACTGTATTCCTACTCAGATCAGGGGATTATGTGTTTTTATTTATTTATATTTTTTTGTGACAGGGATTCAACTTGTAGCCCAGGCTGGCCTGGAACTCTCATTCTCTTGCCCTAGCCTTCCGAGTGTGCGGTGTACTTACACACCAACATGCCTGGTACAAATTGAACAATTTTAGAACGAGTTCGAAAAAAATTTAATGCTCATTTTATATAGGTGTATGAAACTGTTAACTATAGGTTGGATGTTCCTGACATGTAAACCTAAAAACTGAAAAAAAAAATTTAAAGTCTGAAAATTTTTTATTATGTTTGTGTGTGTATGTGTGTGTGTGTGTGTGTGTGTGTGTGTGTGTGTGTGTGACTTCTTTGCCATGGTGTGTATATGGAAGTCAGAGAGCAACTTGTGGGAGTTGGTACCCTCCTTCATCATGTGGTTTCTTGGGATTGATAGTATCATTCTTGGTGGCAAGTGCCTTTACCTTCTGAGCATTCTTGTTGGCCCTAAAGTCTGAGACTTTTTGAGTGAGCGGTAGCACAAACAATTTAATACAATCTAGCTTTATTGTCTTCCTTGGCTTTTGTGGACAGGGTCTTTTAGCCCTGGCTGACCTACATTTTGCTATATAAATGTATATAAATATAAAATAAAATATATAAGTCAGAGTGTCCTCAAACTTGGGGCGATCCTCTTGCCACTGCCTCTCAGTGCTGTGTCTATAGGCATGAGCCACCCTGCCCAGAAAATTTTATTTTGTTTAAAACATATTAACTGTACATATTAATGTGATTCATTTGCTACTAACATACATGTGTAGTGTGCATTTGATGTACCCACACACTCCTTTTCTCTTCCTCCTTGTCTCTTACCTGGCAAGCATTCTGCAGCGTCCCTGGAAATCACTACTCTACTTTCAGATAGAGTTCTGTCTTTTCCTTAAGTTCCCCCATAAGAGAGAACACACAGTTCCTGTGTTTCCTGGCTTATTTCACTTAACATGATGTCCTTCACTTCTATCCATTTTGCTGTAGATGGCAGGATTTCATTCTTCATCCTCTGCTGTGCTCCTGGGCTAATTCTATATCCTAGTTATTGTGAATACATGCTTCTGTTAACATAGGCATGCAGGTTGCCCTTTTGTACGCCAACTTCATTTTCTTGGGCTGTGAACTCGTTATCAAGTTAATCTAGAAGTGCTTTACGTTATGGTAGATGATTGTATTTGCTTTATTTAAGAACTGTTTATGGGAGTTAAACTTTATGGTATTTGAACCAAGTTGATGATGCGTGTGGTTCGAGGCTGGCTTGGGTTCATCCTGCTCTCTGATGCTTGTTCACTTCTAGCCTGTTTGTCTTCTGAAGGATTTCTCATAGTTAGAATTTTGAAGAGTTCTCTCTCCCATTCTTAGGAAACTTGAGATGGAAGCGAAGAGAAAACAAGAAGAGGAGGAGAGGAAGAAGAGGGAAGACGATGAGAAACGGATCCAGGTGTGTGCTCATTGAACTGTATTTCTATGAAATAGAATCCACAAGTAACGAAAAGACTGAAGCGAGCTGGCTGGCCTGAGTAGCTATCACTGGTTTACCCCAGGGGTTAAAGGCTAATTCTGAAGGGAGTGTGAGGTGGGGCTTTGGTGCTAGGGAAGTGAGTTCAAATCCAGGCTTCGTCACTAACAGAAATGGAGACATTATATATCACAATGAATTTCTCTTTGTAGAGTGGGGATAAATAATAGTTATATTAAATGAGTTTTTACATGTTAAAGCTTATAGAACAATTCCTAGTTCAGTAAGCATTAGTATTGTTACTGCATTGAGGGGAAATTCAGATAAGCATTCACTTAAATGTAACCTTAGGAACCAGAAAGCATTATGTTAAGTGAGGTAACTGAGGGTCAGGAAGACAAATACATGTGTCCAGGTGGGACTAAGTGTGGGTTCAGGCCAGTAAACTAGAAAGGGGCCATGAGACACGAAAAAAGAGATGTTAAGACAATGGAACAAAGTGGCAGGGAGAATACTTGGAGAGAGGGGTGCAGGGGGAAAGTGGGCAGAGAGATGAGGTAGGGATGGAGAAGTCAACCCAAATGAAATATGTATAAAAATCCCACATGGAAATCTCTTACTTCATAGTAATCAAAGTTAATCACAGAAAAAGGGGGTATCAATTTGAGAGCGGAGGAGACATGGAAGGAATTGGAAGGAGGGGGCATGGGAAGGTCTGGAGGGATGATAGGCAAGGGGGAAGTGATTCAATAATAATAATAATAATAATAATAATAATAATAATAATGATAATAAAGTATATTTTAAAAATTAAAAACTTGCTTAAAAATAACTTGAGTGTTTTGCAGTGTTATTTTGTAACTATAAATAATAATATGAATGAGTTAATTTTAAGATAGTCCTCAACTCCCAGCTTGGTTTTTTGTTTGTTTGTTTTTCTTTTCAAGACAGGGTTTCTCTGTGCAGTCCTGGCTGTCCTGGAACTGCTCTGTATACAGAGATCCACCGGCCTCTCCTTCCTAAGTGCTGGGATTAAAGGCCCGTGCCACTACCACCTGGCCCTTGACTCCCAGTTTTTAGAGTCCCATCTAAGAATGGTTGATCAGGTGTCTCTTGTCTGGCTTTCATAGTATATGCTTGTAAGTGGAACAACCATCCTTCAGTCCTGCATCCTCTGCATATGTGTTGTTGTTAGCGGCCGATGCTCACGTGACACTGGGGATACTCGTGCTGTGGTCACAGAAAGGCGGAGCCCTGCAGCTTCATTTGGCTTTGGGGAAGTGAAGCATTAATGATAACACGGGGGGGTGGGGGGGGACCTTGTAAGAGGGAGAGACTTGTGTTTAAGCACTGTCTGTAAGTAGAGAATCTGGCCCGGGCCACTAAGCTTTCCTCTGTTTGAGGTAATAATTGTGAGGATGAAGAGCTCTTGCTAGGTGTGCCTTTCTGTGCTGCAGGCTGAGGTGGAGGCCCAGCTGGCCCGACAGCGGGTGGAGGAGTCCCAGCAGCAGGCCGTCCTGGCACAGGAGTGCAGAGACCGCGAGTTGGCCCTGCGCATCGCCCAGAACGAGTCTGAGCTCATCAGCGACGAGGCGCAGAGTGACCTGGCGCTCCGAAGGTACTGGGGCTCTGGGTCGAGCCTGACTGGGCTTGCCTGAGCTTCCTGCTTCTCATCTCTATTTGAAGAGGGCTAGGAGAGAGTCGTAGGTTTTAGGTTTGGACATATTTGAAGTAAAAACATTTTAAAATTAGTCGGGTACTTTTGTACTTAAATGAATGAATGAAACAATTGATTTTCCATTTAGTTATTGAACTGTTAAAACATAAAACCCCAGGTATCACTTAATGGTTGTTCTATTAAGAACAAAACTCAGCTTTATTTCTGAAGTTGTTTAAGGCCATTGTGTCCGGGGTAGAAGTTAGTTTCTAAATACTTGTTAAATACTGACATAGAAGTTAGAGACTATACTATAGTGCAGCTTAATACATATAAAGTCTTTGGTTTCCTAACACAAATTTGAAACAATACACCACATTCTTAACACTGCAGTGAGGTGCAGTTTACCCTCCCGTGCCTCAAAATAAGAACGATTCCTTTACAAGGAGGAAAGCCGATCTTACAGAATTATTTTAGTTCCTTAGATTCTGAATTATGTCTAGATACTATGGTGGAGTTTGGAGCAGTATGGAAGTTCTTAATATTTGGCGTCAAGTTACAGAAAAGTTAATATTTCTCATTTAAGAACTTTAGAATATAGAAACAGTTATTTTGATTATTCGTTTAAAAAGGCAAAACAAATTTGTGAGAGGTATATGCTTTCTATATCCCAAGAGATGCGAATAGACATTGTAACCTTGGTTTTCAGACGTATCTGGTGCATATTAAATTATAATCACTAGATGGCGCTATTCGCTTGTAAAAGGAAAGGCAGCGCCATTCAGGTGGTTAGATTTTATATAGCTGCAAAGATGGTTTTCATTCATTTGTTATCACAAGTTTTTCCAGCATGTGATTATTTGAACAGCTTTGGAGTCTGAACTGTATATGAAAGTATATGACACTGTAAATGAGATGGCTAGAACTGTACACACAAAAGTGACTGTAATGATTATATAAATTATATATGTAATATTTATGTATATACAAGGCTTCTTCTGTACTAAACATTTCTTAGTTACTTTTCCAGCTTAAGTTCCTGTCCAGCAACTTCTAAGTAAGATTTGTTTGCACACATGTAATATGTTTTCCAATATCATCTTAATCCTTTACACTTACGATCCTTGATACAAACTGATAACTTCAAATCACGTGAAATTATAGAGACATCCAAATTTCTATTAACACCAAATCTCACAGCATATGAATGTCTGAATTTTCCAATCTTAATACATTTGCTCTTTAATTTTTTTACTAATTCCATTAATTTATTATTTCACAATCCTTCCAATGACTATTTTAAAAACACATTAAAGTCTTAATGATCTTATGTAGATTAAATATAACTTGTAGTTTTAAATCAATGAGTAATTAGAACACAAATTTACCTAATCCAGATTTTTACAGTTCTGAGATGGTGGTGATATTAACCAAAACATATTCTTTTCACAGAACTAATGGAGCAAGACCCCAAATGACACCGTATGTCATATCTCTTCGTCTCTTTAAAGATTGGGTTTATTTTTTGAGAAGTAGTTCCTTCCTTGGAGTAAATTTTAAATTGCTTCCTTTTATCAAAAGACAATGAAATATTTTTTTTCACTTTTTCTTGCCTAAGGGAAGTGTTTGGTGCTCAGCCATAATAGCTTGTGAATTTTTTTTCTGCTGTTGTTTGAACTTTAATACCAACTTGTTTTATGTGTTGTAAATTCACTCTAACATCTTTATAGCAGGTGTGGAAGAGTAAGAATAAGTAAAATAGTTTTCAGTGTATGTGGTGATTAATTCTACTAATACCTGAAGTGGGTCTCCATCTGAGGTTTATAGATAACACTTCTTTCGTTGTAAGTTTCCTCACAGAGAGAGGCTCTTAATAACACTGGAAAATAACAGAACATACTGTACACATTTCAGGATATTTATACAACCTGAATTTTAGCAGGGTTAAGCCAGTTCTTGACTGTATCGGACTGCAGCATCAAGAGCAGGTGTTTCATAAACAACATGGACTGTGTCAACAGCTCCCTTGAAGACACATGGGAAGGAGAAAGGGCAGCCATTCACAGTGAAATGTTAATTATGGTGCTTGCATAGTTGCTATAGAAGACATGACCCATGATTAGATGTTTCTTCTTACATAGAGAATCCCCATGAATACTATAGCTAGAAATGCAAACTGATAGGAGACTATCTCGTGAGCTCCACTGCTACAGTGTCAAGGACGTTCCTCTCCAGACTGCCAAACAAAGCTAGGCATAATCTCTCCTCGGTTATACAATGTTTGCATCTGCATAAAAGCTGTGTATTAAAAAATAAAAAAATGTGCATAGAAACTATGCAGAAATATGTTATTAACATCGAAAACAATTTGCATGCAAAATGTATTTCTGTGTGTATGCTTCACTTTTATGTGTCCAGCATACATGTTGATCTTATGTGTGTCGGAGGACAGTTCCTGTGCAGGACACTTAAGTTGCTGACCCAACATCTCAACAGGCACCAGGACTGCAAACTTGCAGCATTGTTATTACATAAGCACCAACCAGAAATTCAGAATACATGCTGAGTGGCCACTGTTTCCTCTCCCTCCATTAGAACAACTACTTTATAGTTGTCATGTGAGCTTGTTAAGTCAACACTGTAATTAATGTCTAAGGTGAAGTTGCAAGCATTTGCAGGTAGCTCAGCACAGCCAGAAGGCGAAAGTACCTAGATGCCAGGGCCAGTCTGGCTCAGCGAATCGCCTGTAGTTGGTGTAGAACCTGGTGTAAATGGTGAGGATCAGGGAGAAGAGTGACTTGGTTGAAGTTGTCTCTTGGAGACATTTCTGTATGATCAACAGACCATGTGATAAGAGCTTTGAAAAGTGATTTGACTCCTTGGAAACCTGCTATGAATAAACAAATAGATGGAGCGCACTTTAGGGGAAAGAGATGGTAAAAACAGAAAGAACAATAGAATTACAAATATTTTAAAAACGATACTTTTAGAAAGTTACAAAATTATGAAAAACTGATAGTTTTAGGAGAGATGGATGGTATATTGCTGAAAAGATAATTTTATTAGATTACATGTGCATAGTTTATTTTGTGGGTTTCCTCTTTGGTCAGCTTCTGCAAGTTTAGTTTCTCCTACTGTGCTTGCTTGGACAACTCTCCACCAATAACACACACACACACACACACACACACACACACACACACACACATGCACACACACACACACACACACACATACACACACACACACACACACACACACACACACACACACACACACACACACACACACTGAATGCAAAACCCTGCCCCCTAAGCAGAGTTCCAGCTCTTTGCAGGCATCTAGGAAACTGTACCCACAGCCAATTCATCCATCTTTTTAACTTGTGATTTTTATTTATTTTTTAACTGAAGTGCTGTGGTTGCTAGAGTTGGACGAATAGAACATATATGAAAATGATTAATTATGAAGGGGAAAAAAGCAAAGGACAGGGGTGAGATGAAATCAAGAAAGTGTTGGTTTCTTGAGCCCAATGAAACTGTCACTCTGCTTCATAGAATTAAGCAAATGCTGAGAAAAGCGACAGTCTCCTGAGTAATTAAAGAAATAGCAGCTTTTTCTTTTAGATGTCCTTATCCTTGTAAGGTCAGACTGCATCAGGTATTTCGTTTAACAAGTGCTTGTATTGATTTTCTCCTTTTCTTTTTTAAATATACATTTTGATTTGGAACTGAAGATCTCTAGACTGTTATTCGAGCCTATCAGCTTGGTTTACCCCCATGAAGCTTTGTCTAACTAACAAAAACGCGCTAAGCATCTTTGGTACAAAAATCCTTGTACAGCATCTGCATCCTGCCAAGTTTTCTGCATGCATTTAGAGCATGCTATTTATATTCTGAACATAAAAAAATACCACCGAAGCATGGCCCTCGTGAAATTTTATCTGGAGGTTTTTGCACAGTGATAGAGATGTGTGCAAATAATTTTAAACTCAAAGATCTTGGCGTGTTTTATGGATAGAACTATGGGAAAGTATGTCATTAATAGATACCTTGCAAAGTAAAGTGAATAGTTACAGTATTGATAATATTAAAAATGAAGTATATTTTCATATATTTTAAGCAATTTATGTGATGTGCCTTATGTATAATTGTGTTATATTATTATTTTTTTTCTTATAGGGAACAAATGGCCAAAGAAATGTCAGAAATTTTGAGTAGGTTAGTGCAGTGTGTTTACAGAAATAAATACTTACTACAAAAATCATATTTTTAATTTCCTTTTGATTATTTGGACTAGAACCTGTTGTATGAAATATGCCATGTAACTTTTCTGTATGAGAAATAACATCCTAACACAGAGAGAAGCAACATTCTTCTAACCCATGTTTCTCACTGAGGACACAGTTGGCATTTGGGATGGGGCAAGTCTTCACTGGGGCTGGGTTGTGCTCTCAGTCTCATCCCCATGGAATGAGTACTTTGGAACCCACCCTGGGGATGGGAGCCACATAGGCTAGCTGAGGGGGATGTAAGTGTGTATGTTAAACATGAATACTAGTTTAAAATCCACTGGTATAAAGTGAATTTCCAAATAAAATAACCATAATTTTTTTGGGGGGGCGGTGGTTTGAGCCTAGCCTTTAATGGCTGTGCTATCTCTCCAGCCCTAGTCCATAGTTTTTTAAAAGTAAATTTGAATCAACACTATTCAGTCAACTTTAAATTTTCAAGATTAATTAAAGTGCTAAGTTAGTAGATCTTAAAAGTCAAGTAAATTCTATTACGATTCTAATGCTTGTGTGATTGTCTTTATGGGAAGGCTAATCAGTAGATTATACTTTTGTTTTACGATTTTAATAATACAGAGATGGGGAGGAGAGCATTTTCATGCATTAAGTTCATTTACTACTTCTACCTCCAAATATGTTTTTAGCAGGTTTAGTAATATGAATGAAAAGCTAGTGTTACATTTTATGCGATAGTAATTTGAATTCAGTATTTTCTTCAGAATGTATCAAAGCACAATACACACATGTACACACACATATGTATATATTGGTCTCTTTTATATATTTGACTATCAAGCTATATATTATATAAGTTGACTTTATTTTCAAAACAAAAGAAAACAGAAAAACATAATAATTTTCAGTTACTGTCCTAGAAAACATTCTTAAAAGAGTAAGAGGAAAAAGTGATTTTTTTTCTTTTAGCCACTTAATTGGATGACAGTTTAGAGATGTAGAAAAGAGCATTTTCATAAGCATTAAAACATAAAGCACTGGTAAGAATAATAGTTCTTGCAGACACGTAGCTGGCTCTTTAAACAGTTTTTACTGTGTACTCATTGTACACATATGCGTTCCATAAGGACATTTTCACACAACTATCTATTGAGCATATTTCTGCCATATCCCACCCACTCTTTTATTTTGCCTGTCCCTCCTGTTAGTCCCTTTGTCCCCTAGACAGTTAAATGTCTACTTCCATTTCATAGATACATACATGGTTTTATTTATCTGTATAAAACTCAGAAGTCAAAAATAAGAGAAAATGTGAGATTTATCTTTCTGAGACCGACAATTCGTTAATGTGATTATTTCCAGTCACATACATTTTCCTGCAAATCCTGACATAATTTGGTTCTGTTGTTGGGCGCCTAGGTTTGCTCTGGAGCTCACACTTGACTCTTAGGGCTTAGGGTTAGGAATGAAAAGCTATATGCAAAATTGTCAGTTATACAACTTGGTAGAAATGCAGATTCTGCGGTAAAACAGATGTCAATCATAAAATGAAGGAAGGTATACCAGTACCTGTTATTCATCAGTCGCTCCTACATATATGATGGTCACTGTGTCAAAGCGTTTTAACTGTGTAGCAAGAAATATGCCATTTTATCACCCAAAATATACACCTAGGCCTTTAAAAGAGGCAAAGATATCTTACTTCATTTTAAGTTTAATAGTAAAAGTATAATTTCTATCACCTCAGGAAAAGGTGATATCTTTTCTTTTAATTTTTTTTTATTTTGTTGAAAATAGATTTTTTTCAAATAATGTATCCTGATTTACAGCTTTCCCTTTCTCTACTCCTCCCGGTTCCTCCCCACCTCCCCTCTCACTGGATCCTTTCTGTCTCTCATTAGAAAACAGATAGGTTCCTAGGGGGTCATAATAAAATAAAATATAATGTAATATAATGTGATAAAACAAGCACATCGAGTAGGACAAAACAAATAAGCAGAAGGAAAAGAGCTCAAGACAAGACACAAAAAGGATGTTGTATTTTCAAAGATGGTTTTCCAATAGTGTCAGTCACGCAGTGTCTCTATCTCGGCCAGTTTGCTGGGATGGCTGTTCTTTCAAAATGTAAAATGGTGAGAGACGAGCACATGCTCTCAGGAAGCTTGCCTTCATTGTCCTTTTTAAGAGGGAGGGAGGTGTTCCAGGTAGAAGATGGTAAGGGTGGGGTGGGGCTTACTTGTGTGGTACCCAAGAGGCGGGATTTCAGCTCCTCAGCGTTTATTGACCATAACATCTGTGTTCCTTCTTTTCATGTTTTGAAATCTGATGTGTTTAACCTCTTTCTTGGTTACATTGAGCTTACAATAAATCATGAAGCTTGACTCTGAGTGCCTGCTCCTTAGTCAGTATATTTCTTGTTTAAATATGTACAATTTATGATTACAGAGGTCCTGCTGTACAAGCTACCAAGGCAGCTGCTGGTACCAAGAAACACGATCTTAGTAAATGGAAATATGCAGAACTACGTGATACTATCAATACTTCTTGTGGTGAGTTCAGGGAGAAGATGAAGAGGAGGGGTCTATACCAATGCCAATAAGATAAATCCCTAGACTGGAGTGTGTGCATGTGCATGCGTGTGTGTGTGTGTGTGTGTGTGTGTGTGTGTGTGTGTGTGTGTGTGTGTGTGTGTGTGTGCAAAGTACCTATGCCAGTATATTTGTTATTCTTTGTTCCCTTGAAAATGAAGACATAATTTAGTCACAAAATCAAAAGAAAGATATGTATTCTAGTTTCCTTCCTGTTGCTGTGATAAAATACCCTGACAAAAAGGAAGTCAGCGGAGAAAGGGTTTATTGTTGCCTGTAATTCCAGGTTACAGTCCATCAGAATGCAGGACAAGGAGGCTAAAGCAGCTGGTATCACACCCACCGTCAGGAGCAGAAAGAATAAATGCGCACACTGTAGTTGTCTGGCTTGTTCACTGTTACAGAGTCCTGGTGCAAACCTAGGGGATGCTGCTGACCCTGATGGGCTGCACCTTCTCACATCAGTTAACACAGTCAGGACCATCTCCCATAGACATGTCCACAGACAGACTAGCCTGATCTAGACTGTGTCTCTTTGAGACTCTTTTCCCAGGGGATTCTAGATTATCTCAGGTGGACAATTAAAACTAGCCATCTCAGCATGATTATTGAATTAAATGCATTTGCCCATTTCTTACCTAGGTCACAGAAAAGGAACAAATAAAAATTATGACTTGGGCTATATTAGTGATTGGTTCTTCTAATGCTAATCATAATGGTTAAATAGTTGGCTATCTGGATCTTTTCTATGAAGCCATAGTAATAAATAACAATGTAACCATTCCTTTTTTATCTTGCTTCCCCCTGCTCCCAGCAGAACAGTTCATATGAGAGACTATCCAGAGCCTCACACAGTTAGAGTCTTGTTTAAACCACAGTGTTTAAGGTCAGGACACTGACTAGTGATGGGGAGCTCTTGCTATGTTCCTGTCCTCTGAGAGAGAACAGCATCTTATAAATGTGAAAATGTGGTACATTTAACTCTTGCTTGTATTTGAACACATTTCTTCCTTTTAAAAACCTTTCTGATTCTATTTCTTCATATAAAAAATACCTATTTAGTTTAGAGTTCTTGAGGTGAACAAATGATATAGGATAGTAATAATGTGTAATTAATAATCTGTAAATGTGAAAGATTGTGAAATGTTCACTTTTCATCTTGTACTGTAAACTAAAAACCTGTTATATATACCTGTTTATGCTATGGAATAATTATGTCAGATGAATCATTTAGGATGTTAATTTTTCTTTCTATGTAATCAATAGACATTGAGCTCCTGGCAGCGTGCAGAGAAGAATTTCACAGGAGACTGAAAGTGTATCATGCTTGGAAATCCAAGAACAAGAAGAGAAATACTGAAACAGAGCAGCGTGCTCCCAAGTCTGTTACTGATTATGGTAAAAACAAATCTGTACTTTTCAATGTTCCAAGTATATTATTTATAAATGCATGTAGCTATACATGATTTTTTTGAGTAAAAAGTCAACATAAATTTCTCATATTGTGATCTAGTGAACATGATACAACCATGATGACCTGTCTTATAAGAAGTTATACAATACTAAGTACATAGTTCCACACATAAACATGTACGCACACACATCAGTATTATGTATGGAGGGCTGGTGATATGCTGGGACCAGTGTTTGCCTGGCATGTGCTGTTCTCAACATAGCAAAAAGTCTAAACCAATAAAATGCTTACATGTGAAAATGTCAAGGTTACTATTTACTATGATCAGTTTATTCTGGATATCCATGAGCTTACATATGAAAATTAGCACTTTTATATTGTTAACCAAGGTCTCATTTTGAAATTTAATCTAGCTCAGTTTTTAGAGTAGTTCTTCAAATAACTAAATATACTTATATTTTTAATATGGAGATATACATCCCTTCTGGTGCCTTCATGGGATAATGGCCTAGTAAGGAAAGAATTGGTTCTTGTTCTCCACTACCATGCTGATTGTCTTATTTAAAAAAAGATTCACTGAAAATTTTATTTTATACTACTGTGAGTTTTGCCCAGATGCAGGAAACCACGTGTTCACTTGAGCCAGAAAGTGGGCAGTGCAGACTCACCAGGGCATGGCAGACTGTCATGATGGTTTAGATGACCTGCAATATGAGCTACATCTTCAGTTTTTAAACAATGTTTATTTTTGTCTTGTGTATGGGTGTTTTTCCTGGATGTATGTGTGTGCACCACAGGTGTGCAGGTCAGAAGAAGGTCTTGGATCCCCTGGAACTGGAGTTACAGATGGTTCTTAGTTGCTGTGTGGGCTGGGCATTGAACCTGGGTCCACTCAAAGAGCAGCCCATGCTCTTAACCACTGAGACATCTCTTCAGCCCCAGTTTTTTTAAAATTTAGAACAGTAACTGGAATTTCATTTGTCACCTTAATACTTTTATACCATCATAATTTTTCTTAATTCAGATTAGTATCAAAGTCAACACTTGACCATGTGGTTTAGCAATGTATTGAGCTTGAGTTCTTGCGTGTCGTTTTAAATTCTCACTGCTTTTCAGGGAAATAAATGCAACATTTAATCAAATTCAGTTAAATGGTAGGACCTCAGTTCTTCTCAGTTGTTGCAAAGAGTTATTGAGGTCAGTATTGTTGATAAGGGAGACAGTGCTGGTGACTGACTGTTCAGGGTCTGTTTTTGGCAAATTTTAATAGGATGAGGGCATGGGGATCATCTAGAGCTGAGATATGGTCAGCTTTGAAAGGTTGAATGAACAGTGAGTTCAAAACTCTCCTTCAACTTTTCTCTGTATTGGAAAAGACAGCATGGCTCTATGACCTGTTCATGGTTTATGTATTAAGATTTTGCCACAAATCATGTTTGTTTTGTATATAACCCCCCCCCCCCACACACACATAAGAAAAGCAATGGGCTCTTCCTTTTAGCTCTACTCTTCTTCGCTGTAAACATTTTATGATCACCTTTACCTTGACAGATTTTCACTGTCTTGTAAAATGCACACGTCTGAGTAAGGACAACACAAATGAAGGGGGGTTTTGAATTGAACTTTGCTACTTTTATTTTTAATCTACTTTTGTCCCCAAATGGAGCAAATAACATCTTGCTGCTGTGAGTACAGTATTAGGTCAGGGAAATTTTTTTTATTTTATAATTTAATTTAATTTTACATATCAGCCATGGATTCCCCTGTCCTCCCTTCTCCGCCCCCCTCCCCGCCTTTCCCCCAGCCCACACCCCATTCCCACCTCCTCCAGGGCAAAGCCTCCCCCGAGGACTGAGATCAACCTGGTAGACTCAGTCCCAGGCAGGTCCAGTACCCTCCTCCCAGGCTGAGCCAAGTGTCTCTGCATAAGCCCCAGGTTCCAAACAGCCAGCTCATGCACTGAGCACAGGACCCAGTCCCACTGCCTGGATGCCTCCCAAACAGTTCAAGCCATTCAACTGTCTCACTTATCCAGAGGGCCTGATCCAGCTGGGGGCTCCTCAGCTATTGGTTCATAGTTCATGTGTTTCCATTAGTTTGGCTATTTGTCCCTGTGCTTTATCCAACCTTGGTCTCAACAATTCTTGCTCATACAATCTAGTTCAGAGAAATTTCTTAAGAGTCCTATCCAGGAGTAAAAGCAAACAAGAATTTTATACACCTACAATCAATATATTAGCATTCAGAAAATTTTTAGAACAAAAATTTACTTCTGCCTGTAAAGTACGTATCATCTTTTCTGTGTGTATTTTTCTCATATAAAATTCAGTCTGACACAGGAATGTTGCTGAAAGGAGGGGCGAGAGGTGTCAGGGTTAGGTCATAGGTCAATGGAGAAGATTCTGTGCTGTGTAGGCTTTGTATTTAGATGTTTTGCAATTCATTTGAAAATGTGGAATGAGGACACTTTATAATTCACAAAAACAAAACTTGATGTCATAGAGCATAAGAGTAATATATTGATAAACTTTGGTAAATTTTACAGCAATGAATAAGGAGCATTAGTCCCCTTTCCTGGGCTGACTGATAATGCTCATCTCATTTATCACACAAAGAGATTTTCACAAATAATTTTGGACAGTGGCAAATCACCTAGTGAGTATTTATAATTGCTTCAAACCATGATTTTGAAAATCATTTAATCCAAGTTTCTAAAATAAAATACATAAGTTTAAGATTTAAGAAATTTGAAGAAATTAGAATATAATTTCATTATTATTAGTTAGGTTTTTATGTCCTAAAATTATAAATGTAGTAAAATTTTTAAATTTTTGTTCTCTTCACCTGTGCCTCAAACAGAACTCCATAAAATATAATTAATTATTTATGTAGCTTCCCTCCCTCCCTCGCCTCATTTCTTTCTTTCTTCTATGCTTTCTAAAGCAATTTTTAAAAATCAGAGTACCATGTACATATAGACTAGTCTTTGAGTTCTTTGCTACTGATAGAATATTTGCATGTTGGTCACCACCTCAATTGATGGGACAGATTTATAAATTAGAAAAATGCTCATTCAACAGCTTTGGCATTGTTATCTTTTCCTCAACATACAATATTTGTTCACAGATTTTGCGCCATTTTTGAACAATTCACGTAAGTCAATGGGTGGTAACTCATGAGCTAACTGGAAGAGGGGTTAACGTACTCTATAGAGCACTAACTTTCTGCCAAGCATCGTTTTGCTACGTTGTAAGTGGAGTTGTAGTATATTAAAGACACCTGCCTACATTACGATATATCTTAACTTGAGATATGATACATTTTCTCAGATCAATCCAAAACGTGTGTGCAGAATGATGATTGACGGAATGATGGCATCCTTTGCCAAATTTCATGCATTTAAAACTGGGTGTGTATACCACTTACTGTAGCAAAACGCTGTCTTCACTTCCCAGCTGACCTTCTACAAGAAAGACTAACTCTTAGGTGCTGGTTGCAGATGCTGCGCTGTGATGGTACCTGTGTTCTGTCCAAGGAGATTTGAGTTCTTTGTAGTAATATGCACAAATTTAATAATGACTCCTACTAGCAGGAAGAGGGAAATAACTTCCTGTGATGCCCATTTTCTTCCATACCTTAGAAGCTTTGGACCACTTTTACCTATAGTAAGTTCCTAGAGTTGAGCAGTTATATTCATTTGCCAGCCTGTTGGACCTGATTTTTCTAAGTGCTTCTTATTATTTATATTTTTGTTTTGTTGTTTGAAGCATCGTCTCACTGTTAGCGATCTCAGACTGGCCTCAGCCTTCCAAGTGCCAGGGCTTATTTCTTTCCCTCCGACTTTTAAAGTGAGCATGGTTGGAGGAAAGCAAACTGTTGAAAAGATTGGTGGCAAGATTTTAATGTCTGGTGTTTTTAACTTAACCGAAGTGCCTCGCTCTTTTCAGTAAAACTTAAGTCTCTTGTTACTAGAAAAGGCTATCAAAAAGTTTAGTTTTTTAATTTTACTCAGCGTATTAACTTCAGGAGGTAGTTATCTTAGAAAATAAGTTAGCAAATAGAGGCAGTCAATGCCCTAGTAAATTTCCAATCACTCATTTACTACCCAGAAGGGTTGGTGTTTTCAAAGTATTTATTATTTAATTTTTGAGGTGGGGGGTCTACTTCTGTAGCCCTGGTTGGCCTAAAGCCAGTGTTTCTAAACTTCAAGTGTGATCACTGAGTTGCCAAGAACAATGGACAGACCAGGAAGAGAACACAAACCCATCTTGATTTCTGTGCTGAAGGCCATGCGGGTCCTAATGTCTCTAACAAAACTGGCCCCTCATTCTTTCGCAGGCACGTGTGGCCTTCTTACGTGCTTTTTTGCTTTTTCTGATTTGCAAATAAATAAATCTAACTTTCCATAAGCTGTTGCTGTTTCTTGGGGCAAAAACTAGAGCAGGAGTATTTTCATCCTCTTGGTGTTTTTGCAAGTTCTCAGAAAAGCCACGTGACTGTGCGTGGTTTTTATGTGTTGTCTACTCTTTCCTGGATGCTCTTTGATTTTCATACTGAGGTTCTTAGGACTGCAGTAAATTGTTGTTCTACTTTCAAAGCTAAGATATAAAGCATATAAACAGCCTCGCCTGAGTTATGCTGCCCAGAATGTGAAGCCATTGCTCTAGGAAAGTGTTTACATTTGCACACTAAATAAAAGCCCAGTCATTCAGTGCTGAATTGAGCAAGGCTGAGAACTAGTTAAAAAGGAAGAAGTTTTCATTCTATTGGCAAGGAAACCCATATAGGATATACATTCCACTTATTTCAGTGGGTTTTCTGCAAGAGAAATCTCATTTCAAAGTGAAAGTTTTGAGGAAAGGGTCATACTTACTGCTATAGGTAGAGTATTTTGGGGGGGCAGGTTTCTCTCAATACTGTTATCTGTGCTATCTTGGCCTTTAAAAAACCCAGAGTAAGTAAAAAAGAAAAATTTTGAATGGATTTTTCTTTTTGAGGAAAATATAATTAAGTGAACAATCTTTCTAATTTTAAAATTGCTATTTACTTAGTTTTAAGTAGTCAAATATAAGTTATTCTTCAACTTTAACTTGAAATCCTGTAGGAATAATAATACTAGACTGCTTGCCTGGTATGTGAATTAATTTGGGGTTACTGATAAGTCATTTGTGGGAATCTGGTAAGGGCTTTGTTGCCTCTGGTGGTGGTAGCGGTGGTGGTGGTGGCGGCGGCGGCAGCACCTGTGTGTGTGTGTGTGTGTGTGTATACCATACTTTTGTGTGTGCACAATGCTTTAGCATGTGTAGTGTGCATGTACACAATGATTGAGTGTGTATACCATGTATGCACAATGCTTGAATGTGTGTATGTATGCCATGTGTGTATATAATATGTAAATGTGTATGTGTACCATGAGTGTGCACAATACTTGAGTGTGTGTACTATGCATGTGCCCATGCCTGGCTATGTATGTGTATATACATGTGTGCACAATAATTGAGTATGTGTGTGTTCACTGTGCATATGCACAGTGCTTGGGCATGTATATGAATGCATGCACATTCATAGTGCCAAGAAACATCTTTTGGCAAAGACAACTATAAGAAATCCTACTCTGAATCTGATTCATTAATAGGCAGCTAATACTGACATTTTAAATTTCCTTGTAGGAACCTCTGTTCTCCCCTCCCCGCTTTAAAATTCTTGGTGTATTTTAGGAATGATGTCTGTTTTCTTTTCCCACGGGCGGCTGGTGTAACATTGCCTGTTCTGTGTAATAGCTCAGCAGAACCCTGCAGCTCAGCTTCCTGCCAGGCAACAGGAGATTGAGATGAACCGACAGCAGCGTTTCTTCCGCATCCCGTTCATCCCGCCCGGCTGACCAGTACAAAGACCCTCAGAGCAAGAAAAAGGGCTGGTGGTATGCCCATTTCGACGGACCGTGGATTGCTCGGCAGATGGAACTCCACCCTGACAAGCCACCCATCCTTCTTGTAGCTGGTGTGTATAATTCACAGGAAAAAAAAACAAACAAAAAGGATGATAAAGCCTTGGATGAAACATTCTAATATATAATGTAATAAGTCAGTCACTGGGTTTCAGAGTTGAATGACAGAGCTTTGCAGTTCAGTTGCAGTTCTGGTTGACGGAAGATTAGCTAACTGATTTGCAAAGCAAAATTGTTTTTATGCCTGTTTAGAAGAACATAAAAATATGTTCTAAGAACTTGTCATTGGTGTTTAATTCTGTCTCTAGTTTTATACTGGCTTTGAGGGCACACAGAATTCGTATTAACCCTGATGACTTCTTTGATCAATGGTGGGGTTTATAAATTTTGAGAACCCTTAGTAGGGGCAAATTTAAGTGATTTCTGGAGAACTTAATAAGATTTCCATCTTAGAGAAATAGTTACAGGCTCTCAAATCTGTGAGAATTGTTAGGTGTTCCAGGAATAGCACTCATAAAAATGCTGTGCAAAGAGATGGTAATTTTGTGATGTCTCCTGTCTGCAGGCAAGGATGACATGGAGATGTGTGAGTTGAATCTCGAGGAGACGGGTCTGACTCGGAAGCGTGGCGCTGAGATCTTGCCCAGACAGTTTGAAGAGATCTGGGAGCGCTGTGGAGGCATCCAGTACCTTCAGAGCGCCATTGAGAGCAGGCAGGCCCGGCCCACCTATGCCACGGCCATGCTGCAGAACCTGCTCAAGTAGACCGCAGGCTCCCAGCCTCGCCCTGGCCCACAGGCAGGGAGGTGATCGGAAGGCTCACCATATCCTTGCTCCCGGTAGAACGCCTTATGCAAAGTGAACAGGTTTTATTAATCATGGAGTTTGTTAATTTGTTCAAGGTTAATTAAGGTTGAGGTAGTGGATTCAGGACCAAAAAAGAGAATAGCCCTGATCCCAGTGGTGACTCGCACCTCTGGCTGTTCTCGTGCCTTCTGCATGGGGACAGAGTCCATACTTCTCACTCTGCACACTGACTACCTTAAGTCCATGGTGATTATTGTCAAGGATGAGCCTTTTTTTAAATTTCAAAATATTTAATTTTTTAAAAGGATGACACAGTGCCTTTATAACTGGGGTAACGAAATCTTAGCTTAATTTTGTGCAAGAATTAAGGTACTTAAAATGATTAAGGCACAGAAGTTTTGGGTCTAAAAGTTGCATTTTGTCTGCTTTCTCAGAAATCCATGGAAATGGATTTACCTCTTCCTGCAGTGTGCTTAGCCTGAGTGAAGCCCAAGTTCTAGATTCTGGAAAGAGCCTTAATGTATAGAATGTATTACATGCAGAAGAGGTGCTAGGCATATGCAGCATTGATGTAGGGCGCTTTTCGCCAAGCTCTGTGTTCCTCTTGGAATCTTCTAGTTCATGGTTGAGTCAAAGCAATGCAGATCATTTGAATGACTGGAAGTTCTGATACAGCTTTGTTTCATTTTGGAAGGGGGTACAGGGTGAGGTGGTGCTGTGACCTTACTGGACCAAATTCAAATCCTGTCCCCACCCCATCTCAACTGTAATTTTTCAGTTCAAACCTTGTCTAAGTTATTTCCTGTGATTTAAGCTGGTGTACTGCTTCAGACTTTTCTTGTTCCTGTCCCTTTTCCGGGCATCTGTTTTGGTCTTTGAAATGGGGTAATTGTAGGGCTGTTTTGTAAACTTGGTAACTCAGAAGCCCTTGTACCGAGGCAGGGCTTGTTTCATGCTGCAGGCAGTTTTTAAAACACTCCTTCTGTGTGCTGTTGGTCCTGATCAGATGTCAGCAGCTGGAGCTGATATTTATGACTTTAATATTAGGAACTTAGAGACAAAACTACATCAAGGAGTTATGGTGACACCCAAAGGAGTCTTTGTTTGTATTTTAGAATAAAAGTAGAAAGTAAAATTATTCTTTACACTCCCTTCGTTTTTAAATACCCTAACCTTTGAAATTTCAGGGGGGTTTTTTTCTTTAGAAAGATACCTCAGTTAGGAAATATCTACCAGCTGATGAGATTAATGTGTAGCAGCCGCAGATTCTGTTGTCACATGGTCCTCTTAAAATGTCTTAGTACTGAAGTACTTATTTATTGTGATGCTGTGGAAATGATTGTTCTGTGTTAAGGAAGTTAAATGGCCCTATCTATACTAATAACTGAAAATGTGAATGGGGTTTTCTTCTGGAGCTTGTCTTACTGCTTAGGCTCATACAGCATTCGGTCATTTGGTGATTGGTGGCAGAAGGTGTAGTTCCTGAAATAAACAACCTATTTTTTTCTCTTTCATCTCTCCCCTGTGATTGGTGTCTTTATTTGTGCAGGATAGCAAATAAACTTTATTTTCTAATCATCAATGAGTAGTATAGTCTTTGAAAAAAGTCTGGGGGCCTAATTGATTGTTAGTGACTTGTCAGCTCAGCACTATTTTCTGTAGCACTTTTATGTATCTTCTGGATCCGTAAATTAGCACTAGATGAAAAATTAATCAAAAAGTGGAAATTATTATGACAGAATTTAAAAATTTAAAAAAATGTATAGGAAATATAGGACAACAAAACATTGTTGAAAGGTTTTGTGTGTGTGTGTGGATTTTGACTTTGGTAATTCTACAGTTAACTGTCAAACCGTTTTCTTCCTAATTATGTCACCCAGCTGTCCTACAATTTTTCTGTTTCAAGTGGTCTCCTGAGTTAATTTTGCCAAGCAGGAGAACTGCCCTAATTCAGGCAGGCCTTGAGCCTTCTACATGTCATAGCATAGCACTCAGATCCTTCCAGACAAACTTCAGGACATCATTTTTGGGGACACAGCAGAAACGATGTTCTGTGAGATGCCGATCCAGCCTCTCTTCCAGGTTTTGTAGGTTCAGATCCACAAAAGCCGTGTGAGAACTGGGGGTACCCAAGTCAACTAACTCCTATTTCAATCAATCATTTAAAATGATAACTTTAAACCCGTATGCTACATATGAAGAAATAATTCCTCTAATGCTTTTCAGTTCCAGTTTCTTCCAAAGTGTGTACATTTTAATAGAATGTGAAACAATACTGGCAGGTGTTTCCCTGTTGGATTCAGTTGTGACACAATGTCCAAGGCCAGCAGGAGCTGCGCTCTCAGCAAGAACAGGGAGTTTGTAGAGGCCTGGTATGTTCAGAAGCTGCAGCCCCTTCACTGTCAGGGAGTCAACACCTGTGCAGGACTATGCAAAGAAGTAAAATGACTGAGAGCAGCCTGCCCTAAAGGGTTCTGGGGAAACAGGGTCTCACTCTGGCCTGGATAAATGTCTTTCCAGGCCAGTGAACCCTCCTGTTTCACAAGCAACCACAGCTTAAGGCAAGATAAGGAGATGTTTGTGAGATTTAGACAGTACAAAGCACAGGCAAAATAATAGTAAGAATAGCTACTTATTGCATGTGATCTTTATTAATTGGGTTGCCTTTTCTATGTTGGGGATCGAACCCAGGGCTTCATACAGGGTAGGCTCTGTCATGGAGACACCTTCCTGGCCTGTAGTTGGATACTTTTGGAAGATAGTTTTACTCACAGGTTATTAATATGGTTCTCAGGGGATTCAAATATGTAGACCTTTGGTTTCTTAAAATAGCTTTAAGATACTTGGATCAGCAGAATATTTATTGAACTAATCAGTCAGTTAATACTAAGTTAATGAATGATAGTCTTACTTCCTTACATGAAAAAAAAGTTGTAGAAAGCCAGGGAGGTCATACAATTTGTACTTGACCATGAAAAAAATATGCCTTTCCTCCAGCTGTGTAGCAAAAAAAGTGAAAACAATGTTTTGTTTGCTTAGCCAGTCCCGGGAGATTTACAAATGGTTGTTTCTGTATTTCCCCATTTATCTTTAACATTGGTAAATAAGTATTGAGTTTTAATTTCTCCCAGAAGATACACTAACAGCGGGGGAGGGAAGGGCAGAGGACATTTAACAATGAGGATAAGGATGAGGTGTGGGACAGTGATAACCATAAGGGCAGTAGTGGAAGAGATGGGAAATTGTCCATCCCCTGAAGACTGCACGTCAATTGGGAAACACTGATACAAACATTCCTGGGTCCTTGCTGAGTTTTAGGATGCATTTGGTACGACTCACGGACAGAAATTGCGGTTAGTAAACTTGGATATTGAGTCACCTGGTGTGTAGATCTTAGCAGGTAAGAATGGTGCAGCTGAACTGGAGGTGCCCAGGAAAGAACATGGCATCCTGTACACGAGCCTTGTGTGAGGGTAGGTAGAGAGCCTGCCCATGGCAATGCCTCATCTTTTGACTACTTCCGGCAATTCAAACCAGTGTCTTTTTTCTCCAGCACTAACCTATGTATGAAGTAACTTTGATTCTTGGAAGTTTCCCAGGAGATAATTAGGGAAATTTAATACACATTGAAAACTGCATAATCTTTAATCTTAATTTTCATAAAGAAACTCAACTTCAAACAGGTTTATTAAGTGGCCACTTTTCACTTCTGGAAATTTGTCTATTTGTAATTGTTAATTTTTCTTCATGAAGAGTGTGTATCTAATACTTTCTTAAAATACCAATGTACCAGAAACTCAAATAAATGCCTTATATGTAGAACACCTGTGTGTGTCGTGTGCCTTTAATACAGGGTGTGAAATGTCCCACTATTGGTAAATCTCCGGCATGGTGTCTTGGGGTTAGAGCCCCTGCTAGGTGGCTATGTGGAGAGTCAGGCATTCCAGGAGATAGGCAGGGCTGTGGGTGAGCTACTAAACCCATTTGAAACTGGAGGCAAACCAGCCTTGGATGTCTCCCCCCAGACTCTGACGAATCTGTGGGAAGAGAACGTTTGTAAAACCTGGTGACCCAGAGAAGAATCCACCCTAAGGTTCTGAATACCAGTCTGTGTAACTCTACGAGGAGTGTGGAATCTTCCATGCTCCTCCTAGTGGGTCTTTGAAAGGGAAGGAGACTAATGTCTCCCTTCACTGCTTTTTCCCAGATGCCAAAAGATGGATGAGCCGCAGAGTAAGAAGCATTTAGCCTCAAATGGGATGCCTCCCCGCATTGTGTAGAATGTTTCATCTGCATAGCAGCTTCTCTGTAAAAACCTGCCCTGCTCTGCTTAGCACAGGACTGAAATGTGGATGAGAGGGCTGGGATTGGAAGGGGTGGATAACTCCCTTTCCTTATGTAAGCATTTCTCGTGCTGTGGTTGGCCACATGCTTTTACAGTTCTGTTTGCCCCAAATACATTTGACAATTGGACATTTGAAGGAGATGTGGAGATATGAATTCTTCATCCAGTAGCACATTAAATGTTGAACGGTATTTCATTGGTGCCAATATAGATACATACAGGACAGTTTGAAGACGTCGTTCATCTGGTGGAAAACGGGCACATTATGTCATATTATGCAATCCTCACCGTGCTTTCCTTCAAAACCGTCCTTTGGGTACCAACAAGAAGAGTAAGATTTTCCCATGATGTGTGTATCTGAGCCTCAGTTTCTCTTTCTTTTGAAGAGCAATTCAGAAATCATTGGCAACAAAATTACTACGTAAGCAAGAACTGTTTATACAAAAACCAGAATGTCTAAAAACTAGAGAGAGCTGGGTGGAGTTGGTGTGGGGGAGGCGGTGATGGGGGAAGAGGAAGAAACACACACACACACACACACACACACACACACACACCACACACACACACACACACACACGGGGGTGGGATGGGGGGTGTGGGGAAGGAGGAAGGAACTGTAGTGTAGATCATAAATATAGTCATCACAGTGCTTGATACTACATTCATACATGAGAAACCTGACCCTCACACAAGTGATCATCTTTAAAATTAAAATATTTTTAAAATTTAGATTTTAAATTTATGTGTATGAGTGTTTTGCCTGCCTTCTTGTATGCAGACCACATGCCAGCCTGGTGCCTGCAGTAATCAATTAGAAGAGGGTGTTAGATCCCCTGCAACTGGAATTATGAATACTCGTGAACTGCCTTGTGGGTGTTAGGAACTGAACCTGAGTTCTCCAGAAGAGCAACAAGTATTCTTAACTACTGAGTCATCTCTCCAGCCTGCCTCCTCACTCCCAATTAAAAAATTAATTAAAAAATTGTGTGGGTGCATTTGTTTGTGGTTATGTGCACCTGAGTACAAAGGCCAGAGGAGGGTGCTTGGGTTCTCTGGAGCTGGAGTTGCAGGTGCATGTGAGCTACTCAGTGTGGGTGTTGGGATCTAAACTCAGGTCCTCTGAAAGAGCAGTATACACTTTTAACCATTTAGCTATCTTTCTAGCCCAAATAACAATCTTATAAATGATTATTCTCATATATAAAAGAGCCTGATCCCTGATGCTATACAACCCACAAAACAAGTTGTACTTGTTGGAAATAAGCTTTAAGTAATAATTTTAAGACAGAAACAGGCCAACCTGTTTGTTTGTTTTTTTTTTCAACTTGAGTACCATCCAAAAATAGTCAAAATGTGTTCCACTGATTTCTTTGAGTTTTGACTAAAATAATGTACCCTCCTCCAGGTTTAACCAGTTATCAAATACACGCCTATTATAGCTGAAACATGTTGGTTCTCAGTGTTAACTACATGCCTAGATTCCAATGACCACTGCCTCCATTTTTCTGAAGTTAACAGAATGGATGCACTTTTCTTTAGGAAAGAAAGTTGCCTTCCAACATACTTTAAAATATAATGTGTATGTTTTCAGTTTTTAGTTTCCTTCCCAATCCTGGTGGTCAAATTCTTCAAGTTCTTTAGCAGATAGTTTATAATTTCTTTTCTTGGCTACCTGGAAGACAAAGAGTTTTATTTTAAGAGCCATGCAAGGTCAAGTCAACAGTTAATTCTGGTCCAAATTCCATCGGTGGGGTCAGAGGGTGGGCTTGCCATTTAGGAAATCTTTGAAAGGTCAGAATGGCTTCCATTTATTATTAACTTTATAACCCACTGGGACTGCATTTCCTCCCCCTCACGCCCCCCCCCCCCCCCCCCCCCCCCCCCCCCCGCTTTTTTCAAACCTAAATACATTTCCAGAATGATTGTCTTTTGGAGCAGAGATGGCAAATAGTCTGTGCATGAATTTCACCACATTTCTTCCTATTTACAGAAGACACCACTAATCTATTAGAGCATTCTTCCCTAAAAAACACACATGTCCTTCAGCTACCACAATGCCTGTAACCTTGGAGAATCAGCATTCATGTTTGTTGATTGTTACTATTCATCTATTTTTTTTTCTTTTATTCACTGGGAACCTTCATTTGACACATGGTCCTTAACTCTCTCTGGTATTTCAAGATTCAATTGGTGTTTGCTTCATCCTGGATGAAACATGTTGTCTCTTGGTGTTAGCTTTATGCTCAGGAGGTTGACAGTTGAATACAGTTTTCCTTAGGGAAGCAAATCACCTCTCAAAGTAGCATCAGTTTTTTTTTTTAAATCAATATCAGATCCTATATCCTGTCATCATTTTGTGGCCCTTATCTAAACTTGCTCTGTTTCTTTAATTTTCCTGGCTTCAAAAATTCAGATGGCACACCTCATTCTCAGTATGCAACTGAATACAAATTATTATCCCTTCTAGTCTTGTTACAGTGCCCTTGATTGCATGTCAGCTGGAAACCACTTCAGGTGCAGGCCTGAGGAATGTGTGTTATTGATTGTCTCTAGGGTGAGCACTGGTTACTTCCACCGATTGTTAATATCCAAGACTTCATATAATTTTTCAAAATAGGTAATTTGGGAAAAAAAATGTCCACTATCTTTCCTCTCAAAGTTCTTTTACAAAACTAAAGCTCTGTAGATTTTACATAACCAGACTATAGATCACTTTTTTAAAATAAAATAATCTTGGTAAAATAGCTTAATTGTCTTATAAAAGAGACTTGAGCTTTGAAGACTTTCTGAAATTGCTCACATTTCACAAATAATGCTGCTATATGGCTTATTTCAAAACAGAAAGAAAAAGAATGTAAGAATAATTTACATGAATTACTCAGTACCACAAATATTATTACTTGGAAATTTTCAGTTTTGCGAAAACACATTTGGGTACCAACATATTTTCCTCGAGAAAAGATTGGGAATATTATAAAATACTTAGTTTCTTCCCGTGATTTCATTATTTTGTCTATTTCAGTCGGCGAGTGTTCTGTCATCCTCCTTGCACCAGGAAATACCTCCTCCCACCCATACTAAGTTTTGAAAGTCTACCAAATAAAGAATAGGTGCTTGACGTATCTCCACTAAAATTTTACAAAAACGGTACAGAATTGGTTCTATTTTTTTCTCAAAATTCAAACGACTTCAAACCAATATATAATGAAGAAAGTACAACGTTACCTTGTTTTGCTGGTGTAACTTTTTAACCCTAGGTGGGTGGGCTTGGTTTGTAAAGTGCCCTGGGGGCCTGCAAGAGAAAGCAACAGTGTCATCCTTGGCCTCCACGGAGAGAGCAGCTACCGTCTCGTGCTATTTTGGATTTGAAGTTATGACAAGTGAGAACGGCTACCGCAGCCTGGCAGGTGCAGCCACTGCAGTTTTGCCTTTCAGATGGCTTACTTTGTGGGGAGGCACTGGTCTCAGGAGGGTTGACAGAAACTCACGGGAAAGATAGGAGGATAAACTCACCATGCAAGGGCCAGTTACTGTTCAAGCCGAGCTCTGGATTGTGACAGCTCTAAGAACTCTACCAGAGCATCTTCTTCACAATGCTATTCAAGAAAGGGTTGATTGTAACTGGTGTATATAATTCCAGACTGTATTATGTGATACAATTTCTGTCCATAATAGATATGTTTTCACTTTTTATTTTTCATCATAAAATGGGCATAATAGCTGGAGGTCTTCTTTCTATATAGGTTCCTTTACAAGTAGACGTTTATTTCTCCTAATCTTTTAAAATATGTATGTGCGTTGCTCTGTTTCTTTATTTTTAGTTTTTTTGATGGTTCATGGCTTTGTATAACAGATTTTAGTAAATGTCACCCTCTGCTCTCCGGTCCACGCTACTCCCCTTTTCTGATGAGACTCTTTCATTTCTGAGCAATGATATGTTTCCTCACCCTTGATAACAATCAGACCTTAATAGCTTCTCTTCAGGTGTGTGCCCACTGTATCTGGGTATAGAAAACAGAAAGACTGATATGGCCTAAACTTGTTTTGGGTGCACATGGGCAAGGTGAAATTGTGTCCTCTGGTACATGTTTAGGAACAATTTTATGCCTTACCATCCATGCCTATGCATAATTAGGTATGCATATGATTAAAATCAGATGCATTTAAGATGGGACATGCCTGGTAGGAACAGTAAATTATATAACCCAATCTATCAATCAAGGTAGAGAACTATCAAAACTATGCCTTTTAGTAGCCAGCTATTCCTTATCTTAGATTCCATAAAAAGAGGTTCCAGGCTATAGCCAGTGAGCCTTGAGTATGCTCATTCATGCAACCCACTGTCTTAAGAGTGCATCCCTCTGTAATCCACGTGGTTGCATTACCTTCTGTAAGTCCATATGAGCCCTTATTCTCAACTGTTTCGGTAAGAGCCCAAGAACCTAGATGCACCTGGCCCAGACCAGAAACACCAATAATGAAAACAATGATGCAAACATTCATGCGTACAAATCTTAGTGAATAGATGCAACTTTAAAATTGTTTAAAAGTAGAATACCTGAGTCACAATGAAATGTTTAGAGATGCTGACAAGTTTTTCTTGATGTCTTTCTGATGTGCAGGTCCACCAGCAGTGATGGGTAGGAGCAGTGCTGCCCTTGGCTCCACATTATCTGCCCTGGATATCATCAACCTTCTTGCCAAACTCATGAGCAGCATATAGGATCGTAACTGTGCTTGTTCACCCCTGCCCCCAGTGAGACTGAGCATCCTCGGTACTCAGTGGACTTTGGATTTCTTCTGTGAATAACACCTCTGTATCCATTGTTCATTTTATCATTAGGATGTTTGTCTTTTATTGACACTCTGAGTCTCATTATTATAGACAGTAGCTTGTCTATAGTATTTTTCTTTAATCTTATTTATCTATTAGTTTGATTTTTGACCCCCCCTCCTTGCCTGCCTGCCAGGGACATATTAATGTCTTCTGGGGTGGGTATCTAGTTAGCATGGCCTTTTTAGATTATAGGAATTTGTTTTGTTTTATGGAGAGAGAGTCTGGAAACTGGAAACTTGAACTTGCAGCAGTCTTCCTGACTCAGCCTCTGAAGTGCTGGGCCACCATACCTGGCTCAAGCCATCAGACACATATTTTCTTCATGCTTAGGTGGCTCTGCTTTTGTAAATAGGAAGCGGCTGTACTTGAGCCCTGAGTACCTAGTTCGTTCCTCCCTTGTTGAGTTGCCCTGGTTACTAATAGAAATGCCCCGGTATAGAAGGAGCTTTTTGGAAGTTGCCGTTGCTCTGCTTATCACCTCTCTTGCTGTTGCCAATATTATTTCATGTCAGTTTGCTATCCTGCAGAGAAACCACACATTGCTGTATTTTATCATCTTTCTTCTCTTACACTTTCTCATTTCCAAAGGAACTTTAGAAACAGAATGTCAAACCCATCCGAGACCATGTTAGTGCCTTAACTGTAATGAACATGGAGATAGCCATGGAGTAGCATCAGCCTCACTTCCGGGGGTGGATACCCTGCACTGCATGTTCTTGGGGGAAAAACTTTGTGATGCCACTTCATGGTGGGCTCTTTCAGTCTTGTTATCCAATAAGGAAACTACATTTAGAGAAGGAATACATGCATGATCACTCAACCATTTCTGATTCCATTACTAAACTGCACTCTTAACCACACTCTGACCCCAGAACATTGCTTCCTAGTCATGTTCAGGTAGTTATTTTAAAAGTGTTGATGCCTTAATGGAGCAGGGTGAGTATTATTAAAGAAAAGAAGAACTCTCTCTAGTTTCTTGCAGATGGAGTTCTTGGTGTTAGATGACCATGTGCCCTGGTGTGACATTTGGGAGTGCGGCCACTTGAATGAGCAAGAGGGGAGTGAGGGAACCTGAACCACCCACCAGCCATCTCACACACCGACAGCAAGCATTTCGTTGTGTGCCTGGAGGCTGTGGTTGAGAAAGGCTGGCTGTGTTCCAGAAAATGGCCCACAACTGGCCCATGCTGAAGCCCTTGAGTGCAGAGGTTGCATGGCAGACCTTTTCTGGGTAGCACTGGACACCTCTGTGTTGTTTCCTGCTCTCTCCTAACCACACACTGATGTCTGATCACATCTCAGTTCCTTCTCATGCCCACTGAAGTGCTTCCCTCATCCATTCTGATTCAGGTAGAAATCACACTACAACACGGACTAAGACTGGACCACTGTAATCATTAAAAATGATGCTATAGAAAATACTTCATGATGGGAGGAGATATTCGGGCTGTGGAGATGGTTCACTGGATAAAGTTCTGGTCGTGCAAGCATGAGGACCTGAGTTCAGATCCCTAGGACCCTCATAAGCCTGACAGGCAGTGAGTGTCATTAATCCCAGTGATTCTCTGGTGAGATGGAAAGCGATATGGAACCCACGGAAGCTTGTGTCAAGCTAGCCTGGCATATGAAACAGTAGACAAGAGACCCTGTCTCTAGCAAGGTGGAAGGAGAGGAAAGACACCCAGGGTGGACCTCTGACTTCTACACACATTTGGTAACACATACACACACACACAGAGACACACAGACACAGACACACAGACACACAGACACACACACACACACACACACACACACACACACACAGAGAGAGAGAGAGAGAGAGAGAGAGAGAGAGAGAGAGAGAGAGAGAGAGAATGAGATGCCTATCAAACAAGTCAATGTGGTTCCATGCTTTGTTAAAAAAATTCTTAAATTAATTCACCACAAATATGGACACCAAGAGAATGAGTGATGTAATGAGTTGGGCAGCCTATTGCTTCTAACTTTCTATATTGTTTAGTTTACTTATGATTAATGATGCTGTTGCACTTGTAAACAGAATGCCCCACATTACACACACACATACACACACACACACACACACACACACTCACACACACACACACGGTGAGGGCAGTAAGACAGCTCAGGTCTTTCTTGCTTCTCTGTGGGACCAGTGCAAATACTAACAGAAGCTCTGTGCAGGGCTCCCAAGTGTGACCCTTGAATCACAGCCCCAACTCTTCTTGAGCCCCGCCCCCACCTCTGAGTCAAATGCAGGGCAGAGAAAGGTGAGAGAAATGTTTTCACAAGGCTTCTGGAGATTTCCTTCACCTACAAAAATGACTCTCTTTTTGTCACCAACAACACTGCAATAGTATCATTTTGATTTCTTAAATATCACGTAAGTGTATTACAATGTATTTACACTTGAGAGCAAGGGCACATTAAAGAAGCTCTTGGCAAGCAGGATCCCCTGCTTTGTTTTATACGTAAGTAAATTAACATAAAATATTCAAAATAAAACTTCTGACTGGTGGTCTAGAGGAGCACATGAATTTATCCACACAGTAGCTTTCTCAGAGTATGAGCAATGGATACTTCTTGGGTCTGCTATCTACATGCTTGACCTACCTGCATGGAGCTGCCTGTCCTCGGCCGACCTCACATGTCTTTCCAGGGGGACAGAGATTCAGGTCCTGGTAGTCCAGGGTCCTGTGGCTCTCATGCCCCTGTCTGCAGCGACACTCTGCTTCCTGCGTCCACTCATTCTTTATGCACCGGGCAAATTTGCCACAGTCCAGGAATTTGCAGGGATCCGCCTGATCAGCTGCCAGAGACAGGGCAGATTTTGATGAGTTCATGGATATCTAAACAGTGTGACTAGCAGCAGTCAAAGGTGAGAGACCAAATGTATTTACCATTGCTCCATTTGGGAATGGGTTGTACTGTAGTGGTAATTAGGCTGGAGGAAAATGAGAAGTACACTTTGTATCTTTGATAAATGAATCTAGACCAGGGCGATAATATATTTAGCTTTGCTATAATTATGTGCAGACTTCGGAGCACAGCAAAGTCATCTGGAGGCCTCGTTCAGACAGATTCCTTCAGAGGGGGAATTATACATTGAGAGCATCTCAGGATGCTTTGTTCTGGAGCACACTGGCCCTGCCAGCCTGCCCTTGCTCCTATAGAGCTGACACGGAGCGCACACCAAAGCAGAGTCCCCAAGCACTGGCAGCAGAACTGCAGGCCATCATCAGATAGCTGTTCTTTCTGCATTGAAAGGGTTTTCTTTTTAATCCTATTACTGTGTCCATTATGTACACAAGCCCAGGGCCGACAGTCACGCATAAAACCTCTCTTTCCTGAAGTCCTGGAAAGTCATTTACACAGTTAAGTCTATATAAGGAACCCAATCTGTAGTCCACTATGAGTTTGAATATGAAGATGAATTGGAGCCAAGTCAACCCTTCAGGAGTGGTTTGGACCTGAGGGTTTAAAAAGACTCAGTGAGAAAGACACCTGCCATGAAGCCCGATGACCTGAGATCAAGTCCCTGGAGCCACATGATAGAAAAGGAGAACTGACTCTCATAGGTTTGCAGTTCTGACCTCAGTATGTACTATAGCATATGCGCCCCCCATACAACATATAATATACACATATAAATGAATGTTATGAAAAAAATTAAAACTAGCTTCTCTTGCATGTTTATGACTGGGACAGGTGTTCCCACCAGAGACAGCAGCACAGGCAGAGGCACAGAGGGGAGGAGAGAGCAGGAAAGCCTGCTAGCAAGGATCAGAGGCTTGTGAACGGGAAGGATCGGAGTTAAGACGGAGAAGGCTGATGACATCATTTCTGAATGCCACACTAAGGCATATGGACTTTTAAAAAAGCCATTTCCACATTGCCACCTCCATGACCCCACATTTCCATGTTTCAGGCACACAGCATCCACAGAAGGTTTTTGGCCCAAGGGAAGAGTATGATTAGAAATGTGCTTTAGAATATGCAGAATTAGAACTTTTATGTATTTAAATGTTATGATGACTTCAGAAACCCTCTGGTCCAATATTTCCCCCAGTGGGAACATTTATGGAACTCTGACTCAGCAGGATTTGATATGCTTTATACTGAAAAGGGTCATGCTGGCTAAATAAGGTGTTAAAAAATGCCATGTGACTATTGATGAGAATATAAATTTGTGCGGTCATTATGGAAAACAGAATGTTGGCAGCCTCCAATTAAAAACAGAACCACCAATGATCCAGCAATATCACTACTGGGTGTGTGCATGTGGTGGTTTGAATAAGAATGGTCCCCATAGGCTCTTGTATTTGAATGCTTAGTCACCAGTGAGTGGAACTGTTTGAAAGGATTAGAAGGATTAGGAGGTGTGGCCTTTTTGTAGTAGGTGTGGCCTTGTTGGAGGAAATGTGGGGATGGGTTTCAGAAGTTTCAAAAAATGCCACACCAGGCCCAATATCTCTCTTTCTGCCTACTGCCTATGGGTCACAATGTGAAGCTCTCAGCTGTATGCCCAGCACTGTGTTTGTCTACATGTTGCCATATTCCCTGCCATGATGAGAGTAGATTAACCCTCCAAAACTGTAAGCAAAACCTCAATTAAATGCTTTCTTTTTATAAGATCTGCCTTGTTCATGGTGTCTTTTCACTATTAAGACAGTAACCAAAGAAAAATGAAATCAGTACATTGAAGAGGCAGCTGCAATCCCACATTTACTACTGCTGTGGGATGTTCTGTATGTCAAATGTGTTGCTGATTAGTCAATAATTAAAACACTGATTGGCCATTGGCTAGGCAGGAAGTGTAGGCGGGACAAGGAGGAGAATAAAGCTGGGAAGTGGAAGGCTGAGTCAGAGAGACACTGCCAGCCGCCACGATGAGAAACAGCATGTGAAGATGCCGGTAAGCCACGAGCCATGTGGCAAGGTATAGATTAATAGAAATGGATTAATTTAAGCTGTAAGAACAGTTAGCAAGAAGCCTGCCACGGCCATACAGTTTGAAACCAATATAAGTCTCTGTGTTTACTTGGTCGGGTCTGAGAGGCTGTGGGACTGGCAGGTGAGAGAGATTTGTCCTGACTGTGGGCCAGGCAGGAAAACTCCAGCTACATACTACAGCACTATTTATAGTGAGAACAACTAACTGTTCATCAACTGATCGGTAGGGCAGTTTACACACACACACACACACACACACACACACACACACACACACACACACGGAATACTATTCAGATGTAAAAACAAGAAATTTGTCTGGAGAGATGATTCCATGCTTAAGAGCAAATACTACTTACTGTTCATTTCCCAACACCCACACTGGGTGGCTCATAACCACCTGTCATTATAGCTCCAACAGATCTGACACCCTCTTGTGCCTCTGTGGGTACCTGCTCTCTGCTCTCTTTCTCTTTCTTTTTCTCTCTCTCTCTCTCATAAGAGTAAAAACCTAAAAATCAAACAAAACCCAAGAAATCCTTTCATTGTAACACATGACTGAGCCCGGAGGACATTATGTTAAGTAAAATAAACCAGGCACAGAAGGAAAGATACTTCATAATCCCACTTACACATGGGATTTAAAAACATTGGTCTTAAGAGTACAGCAATGGTTGCCAGATTCTGGGAATAGCAGGTAGGAGGGAGGGGTGGGGATAGATTGGTTCACAGGTGCTAAGTTACAGTCAGATAAGAGGAGAAAATTCTAAGTGTCCTATGACACGGTCCTGTGACTATGACTAATAATAATGCATTTTGTCTCTCAAAATAGCTAAAAGAGAATATTTTGAATATTTTCATCATGAATAAATAATACATGTTTAAGATAATGGATATATTAATTGTCTTGATGAGAACAAAATGTGTACATATGCTGAAACACTACATTGTTTCCAATAAATATGTACAATTATTCTATGTCAACCAAAAATAAAGCAGGAATATAGTGGTATGCACCTGTACTTCTAGCCACTTGGGAGGTCTGCTTAAACTCAGGATTTTGAGGCCAGCCTGGACAACACAGTGAGACCCTCTTCTTTAAAAAGAGCAATAAAATAGAAGTTAGAACAAATATATTCTACAAAATAAATATAACAGGTGTCCCCCACCACCCATGTCCTTTTATCCTCCAGTACCACCCCTTTCTATTTTTACCTCTAAATCTTGTGAGATCATTAATAGGCTGTGTCTACTGTGACTCTTCTGTAGCTAGCTGCTCCAACCAATTTGCAGAGCAAGAAGCTGTGCAGGTGGATGGGTTGAGAATTGGGATGCTATATTCTCTACATTCCTGCAGGGCGCTGCTTTGTGGTGGGATTATCTGAGTGAAAGAGATGCATGTGACTCACCTGGGTGTTTGAATAAGAAAATGTCCTTAAAAAAAAACCCCAAAGAAAAAAACCCCAAAACAAAACATGATTTGGGTCTCCTGGCAAGGCAGACTGCTGAAATCTTTGTGTGAGGCTGTATTTCTCTGTAGCTTTTGGGTGCCACACGTGATCTAGCTTTGCCATCTCATGGTTCTCAAAGCTGCCATGTTGAGGGACTGTGTCACTGTTGAGGCAATAACTCGAATTCCCACTGACAGCCCAGATGATTACACATCCACGGCCTGCTTTAGTAAATCACAAGTGTTAGCAACTTCCCACGCATAGTTGTGTGCTTGAAAACAGAAGCCCGGGTGGGGTGCGGGGAGGGGGCGCTCCACTTCTTTCTCAGCAATAGATATTTAACTTGGACAGCCGGCCAAAAAAGCATGGGTGCTTCCCCTCTGAGGCCAATAGCAAAGGTGTGAAAACTGAAGAGTACGTCTAGAAGAGAAATGTTTCTGATTTTACTGTAATTTCCTTTCGTCCTTCCAGACACATATATCATCAAAGTTGTACAATGCACAGGCCGCATTGGGGCAATGACTTTAGCCAAATGTGGGGTTCCTGAATCAGACATGAAGGACGAAAGTAACCATTTTATAAGTTAATTCGTATCCTCCTGTTATTTATTCAGGACCAGTCAACAGAGAGGAAGGAGACTTTAAATCACCAGGCTTAGGTTTTGTTTGCAGTATATAGCTTTCTAGATACTAAGATAACATCCATTTATTCGACAAATATCAACATGGCCTTTCAAAACTTTCAGCAATAAGAATTGGTATGGGCAGTTTTATGTCAACTTGACACAAGCTAAAGTCGTCTGAGAGGAGGGTACTTCAAATGAGAAAATGCCTCCATAAGATCGGGTTGTAGGCATGCCTGAAGGGCATTTTCTTAATTAGTGATTGATGGGGGAGGGCCATTGTGGGTGGGGCCATTTCTGGGCTGGTGGTCCTGGGTTCTATAGGAAAGTGGGCTGAGCAAGCCATGAGGAGCAAGTCAGTAAGCAGCTCCCCTCTATAGCCTCTGCATCAGCTCCTGTCTCCAGGTTCCTGCTCTGTTTGAGTTCCTGCCCTGACTTCCTTCAATGATGAACAATGACATGGAAGTGTAAGCCAAACAAACTCTTTCCTCCCCAACTTGCTTTGGTCATGGTGTTTCATGGCAGCAACAGGAACCCTAAGTTGCATTTTTTATTTTAGGACAGTATGCATTTTTTATTTTATCCATATAAAACGTTTACATCTTTGTAAACTTTTGAAAATAGAAGGTGTGTTAGAGATTTTTCTAAACTAACTTGGTCACTTAGCAGCTGAAGAAACTGAGACTCAGTGAAGTTGGATGTTGCTAAGAACATGCCTCTTTATGGTTAGGTCTCTAACAGGTTCTCAATTCTGTCAACTTGTGGACTGTGTGACATGATCCA